TACGCCAATGGAGCACAGCCAGGAATGTATTGGTTTTGTAATGATATTTATTTATTTATTTTTTTTTTTTTATCTGTGAATAACTTTTTACTAGTGACTCTACTCCAATTTACAATGATAACACTTTTTTTGAAAGAAAATCTGACTGGAGTGGTACTTAAGGAAGGCCGTTTTTTATTTTCTCAGCTATTTTTTAAAATGGGAAAAACCAGGAAATCGGGAAAATAGGTACAATATTAAACAAATATTATAAAACAAAATATACAATGCATATTTATTATTTTACTATAATATGACATATTATATATTGTTGACAAAGCAACCCTATTAACAAAACTCCGCTCAGAATCATTTTTCGATAGCAATGCTTAATCAATGCGTACAAATTATACAATAAATTTCCCTTCTACCGTCCTAACTTCACACCTATAACAGTGGCCCACCCACGTAAGAAATATGTCCATCATTTTTTTCATTGGTAATTGGTTATAAATAAGCTTAAGTTGTAAATAAATTAATATTAATGGCACATTTCATTTAATCATAAAAAATGCACCGTTTGAATATTAATCAAAAAAAAAAATGAAAATTGTTTATTTTGAAAAACTAAAAATGTGTCTTAGGATAATGAGGACGGGTGTAACCACTATTATAGATAACTGTATATATATTTGTAAGCAACGATAAACCATTGCTTACGAAAAAAAAGATTCTGAACGGAGTTTAGTTAATAGTGATGCTTTGTCAACTATATATATTATATATGTCATTTTATAGTTAATTAATTAAAGAGGCTTTATGTATTTTTTTTACGGATATTTGTTTAATGTTGTACTGATTTTCCCAGTTTTCCTACGTTTTTCCCGGTTTTCCTGTTTTCTCCAGGTTTTTCACATTTACTGGAAAAACTCTCTGGAAAATCAAAAAACGACCTTTCTAAAATACCTCCCTAGTGAAATTTTTTTTTTTAGAGACATTGCTGTCATTAAAAGTTGGAGCAAAATTGCTGGTAGAAATGTTGTGCATAGGAAAAAAAAATCGTAATATTTTAGTAATATATTTTGTAAATTTTCCCGTTTTCTTTCAGTTTTTCAAATTTTATGAGAAAATTCTTGAAAAAAAGAAAAAATTACCTTTTTAAAGTACCTCTCTACTCTAATTTTCTTTCAGAAAATGTGCTACACTTAGATATCTGAGCAAGTCTTTTGGTAGAAAAGTTGAGCACAGATAAAAAAAAGTAAACATCTTAGTAAAACCATAAGCTTCTTCATTCCGTTCAGAATCTAAAATTATTATTATATAATTATAATACAGGTATCCTTGCAGAATTATTAAACCAGCAACAGATCACTGAATTGGTTAATAAAATTCGTGTGTTCTAACAATTAGGAACCGGTACCCACCTACCTAATGCATAAAATACTTACTGTTTTATATCGGGATATAGACCGTGGTTAGTACGTTATGACATCGGATCAGTATAAATATAAGTTTAAACTACCTGTAAACTTTGTTATGCGTAATAAATTTACCATAATAATAATATCATAGAGAAATGTATAGAAAATTATAGTTACCGCCACCACATGCAGTACCTACATAATATAATATAATAATATTAGATTAATTAGAATTTAAAAAGATACAGAGATCAAATTACTATCGGTCTCCCGCATGTTCAAGCATTACTCACATAATTAGTTATATTTTTATCCTACTGCAGTAGAACAGTATAGAAGTCAACTTTTGGTTTGTTTTTTTTTTTAATTTTAAAGACCGTAATTTTGACTCCGAAGATGTGTTTATAGTTGCACAGTATTAAAAATATTCAAATGAACGTACGTTACACCCCCTCCTCTATTTGGATGTTAGTGGTTTTTAAATACCACCGCGAATTAGTTTTTAATTTGTTTATATTTGTTACGACCCCTATAACAGAAATGATGGAAAGAATCTGTAGAAATATTTCTCTGGCCTCTGGATTTGTGTTTTTTGGTGCCTTATTATAGACCATAATTTGTTTGTATTTATTTGGTAGTTTGGCTTTCCTTAGTAAATTATAGCTTTGGTTTTAGTTTAAAAAATAAAACTTCAAGAGAATTCAATGGTAAAATAGAAAATAAATTTGATTATTAATGTTTTTTTTTAATACAAATACAAGGCAATTATAATTACACAGTCGATATATGATACACAAAGAACAACTTCGTTAGCAAAAATCTATTTCTAACGAGCATAGAAATAAAATGGCTGTCATAAGGTCGAACCAATCAGATTAAGTAAATAACGTGAAAAAATAGCAATAATTATTATGATATCTTCATTGATTAAACATTTTATAATATTACAACTACATAATGTACACTTATTATACTACAATAACGCGTCATAACATGTAATAATATGATATATACTATAAAACAATCCATAATATTTATTAAAATACAATTTATTAAATATAGGTATATAATAATAATATTAATAGATCTACCTATTGAGATTTTAATTTTCAATAAAAAAAGAGAGGTGATATTATGGATGGGTGCTGCCACTGCTATAGGTGAGTAGTGGTATAGATGAGATACATAAAGTTATTTAATGTATAGCTTCTTTTTTTTCTTTTTTTTTTTGCCATTAACCGACAGCAGTGACGGTTTTGTGTTAACTTATAATATTTTAAATTAATTTGCTACAAAGTCCTCTACAGTCCTCTTCTTCTTGATCTGTTATTCCAATATGTTTACACATTAATATTTGTTCTATTGTATTTATTCGTTTGTTTACTAACAAAGTAATATTACTTCACTTTTTAATTTTTGTTATTGAAATTGTTTTTTCCATGTTAATTTCTTTTATTGAATTTACTATATCCCGGATTTGTATGATAAAATTATCAAACTGTTTGTTTATACAATTTATTGATTTTGTGAGGTCCAGCAATTGTTCATTGGAAGCATTGTTAGGATTTTCAATTGTTAGTTTAATTTTTTGCTACAAGTGTAGTAAGACCTACTTTTCATTTATGTAACAGCAGATATTACCAAGATGCTACCAGATGGTACTAATGCTAATGATATGATTCAGTCGAAAAATATGAACTAGAATTGCATGAATTGCATTTGATAATTATGGGTCATTAGCAATCGCATTTTAACAATTTAAAATTTTATTTCATTTCATCCATTCATTATTTAAGATAATTTCATCTCGTTTCTGTTGACATCTATAATAAGTAATTAATACAAATAGGATGAAAAGAGCAGTTTAGTCTCACGTCCCCCTTAAATTTTACGAGTTTAGAAAAAAAAGCGACGGAAAAAAGCAAGTAAAAAACAAATGGGAAAAAATAAATTAACTAGATATTTTTGACTCAAAATAGGAACAATTGGAAAAAAAATTTTAAAAATCAATAGGTACATTATATTATTATAGGTATATTATATAATGAGTCATATGAAATAATAGTGTATTATTTTTATAAAAAACAACAATACACGAGTACCTCCCAAATATTTCAAATTTCACTGATTGTACTAATTATGGCAACCTATAATACAAATATACCTATTTATTATTATTATTTAAACTGTAGTCACGCACAAGTGCACAACCCGTATTGTCCACCACAAGCTATTTAACATATTCAGCTACCACTCGACACAATCTATATGTTATCGCACTCTCATTTTTATATAGGTGTAAGAAAGAATAACATATTACATTTTTTTCATTTTAAAATATAAAAATCTTGTAGTTATTTCGTACAAAATGGAACTGGTAGATGTCAAATTAGTTGTTTTGTTAAAAAAAATTTCCAGAATTTCACAGCTCCGAATCGAGAACTATTACTATTTAAACAAATTAAGCCTATTAGGCGTTTAATATTAATGGCCAATGAGAATCCTTCTATTGAGCTCTAATTATTACAAATATTCGTTAATTTGTTAATATTAATCTAGATTAAGAAGGCTTAATTTTAACCTTCTTAATTAATTTTAAGATGTTAAATTTAGTACATTACTGTAATTATTTAATCATTTGTAAAATGTTTAAAAGGATTCATACCCGTTTATTAAAATAAAACATAATTACATAGCATTTTGAAGACGTATTTAACAAGAGGGAAATGGCTTATTTTCTAACGGACAATCACAATTTTCGTAACCAAGGAGAGTACGACGATGGCAGCAATATAATTGTAGATAACAAAAATTAGAAATGGTCATGTGTGGACGAAATGCAGGAAAATTCAGAGCTAGTCATAGTTGGAAACAAATACATTACGGAAATAAACTTTTTTAAATATTACAGTTCGAAAACCTGGATTCATTGCATGTATCCAATTTCTGGTTAATATTTTTTTTTGTTTAGTTTTAAAAGTAAATTTTTTCATATTTAAAAAATGTACTAAGTAGCCCAACTTAGGCAATCGGTTGCTTTTTTTGGACCACGTAAATATTTAATTAAAACATATATAGTTTTACGTAGGTACTTACACTCTTAATATTTAACCATACAGTTTATTTAAAAATATTTTATGTTATTCTAAATTAAATTAAAAATAACTGTATAATTGTATTAATTACCTATTCTCGATACCAACGAATACAAAATGAAATTATCTTAAATAATGAATAGACTATATGAAAAACCATTACTCTATTAAAATACGAATGCCAATGAAACATATAATTATTAAATCATGCATTTATATTTCATGATTTTAGGCTAAATCATGTCATTAGCCAGTCCATTAATTTGAATTAAACATCTTCAATACTGACAAATAGATTGACTTTAAAAAACCCTTCAGTTAATTTTTGCTGTGTGTTTTTGGTACGATATATCAATTATTTATAAGACCACGAAAATTCCATATTATCTTGAAAACATCCTGTATGTTAATTATTATTTAATAATTTTTAATCTACAACAACATAATCAATTTCAGTGAAAATAAAAATTATAATATTTGTTTTGATCGTTTGTATTTGGATAAGTTATTTATCAGTAATATCTTCACTAGTGGACATACCATTAAATTGATTCATTTTATAGGAATCACAATTATTACTCAACGAACTATTGTTTGTATTATTCATTAGAAACTCAACTAGTTCTATAAACTCGTTGTTCATTTTATTCATTATCCCGAGAACATTGTCATTTAATAAATCTGAAAAAGACATATAACATTGTATTATATACTACTTTATATAGTATACTTTGATATTACGCAATGAACTATTTTTTGTGGTGTTTTTGAAAAACTCCGTCAGTTCCATAAACCCAATGTCCAATTTGTCCAGAATCTCAAGAACATTGTCATTTAATAAACCTGAAAAATAAATGTAATATTGAATGATATACAACTTTGTATAATATACTTTGATATTTAATTGTTATGTTAGTATTGCTTATATACGAGTATTATGTAATTATATTTTAATGATAAAAAATTCATCATACTCACTTGGAGGACATCGCTGCGGTGGTTTTCTAGACCCAATTGGCTTGGGAGTCTTCGGTTTACATGATCCAGCCGAAACGCATGAATCGCATAATCTAATGTTTTTATCATTGGTCATTGGTGATCGTGTTTGAATAACTTCAGATTCTATATCATTTCTTCGTTTTGTTAAATCAATAGGTCTATTTTGATGTACTATTATTGAAAACAATATTTATATTAATATATTTATTTTTTATCTATATTAATATAAATAAACAAATTTGGTTTATTTCAATTAAAATTTGAATAAAGAATATATTCATTATAAAAGAGTTTCTTCCTAGATTATAATGTTTATTATATAATTATAACCTAACTGTTATCGTGTAATATTGTATCTATTGAAAATAATATATTATAATACAAACACAGTGTAACCAAAAAATGATGTTAATATTATCTTCACTATTTTACATACCATTAATTTGATTCGATTTATCAGAATCACAATTATTACGCAGTGAACTATTGTTTGTATTGTTCATTAGAAATTCTTTTATTTGAATAACGCTATTGTTTACTTCTTTCAACATTCCAAGAATATCTTCATTTAATAAACCTGAAAAAGAATTGTAACATTGTATGACGTATAATATTGTATGATTCACTTTTGTACTTTATTGTTATTTTAATATTTCTTATATACGAGTAATAACAACCATGATAAAAAATAAACCATAATCACTTGGAGAATATCGCTGAGGCGAATTTTTAGNTTGCTTATATACGAGTATTATGTAATTATATTTTAATGATAAAAAATTCATCATACTCACTTGGAGGACATCGCTGCGGTGGTTTTCTAGACCCAATTGGCTTGGGAGTCTTCGGTTTACATGATCCAGCCGAAACGCATGAATCGCATAATCTAATGTTTTTATTATCGGTCATTGGTGATCGTGTTTGAATAACTTCAGATTCTATATCATTTCTTCGTTTTGTTAAATCAATAGGTTTATGTTGATGTACTATTATTGAAAATAATTTATATTAATATATTTATTTTTTATCTATATAATTATGAATAAACAAATTTGATTTATTTCTATTAAAATTTTAATAAAGAATATATTCATTATAAAAGGGTTTCTTCTTAGATTATAATGTTAGTACTTAATTGTTATCGTGTAATATGATATCTATTGAAAATAATATATTATAATACAAACACAGTGTAACCAAAAAATGATGTTAATATTATCTTCACTATTTTACATACCATTAATTTGNCGAGTATTATGTAATTATATTTTAATGATAAAAAATTAATCATAACCACTTGGAGGACATCGCTGCGGTGGTTTTCTAGACCCAATTGGCTTGGGAGTCTTCGGTTTACATGATCCAGTCGAAACGCATGAATCGCATAATCTAATGTTTTTATCATTGGTCATTGGTGATCGTGTTTGAATAACTTCAGATTCTATATCATTTCTTCGTTTTGTTAAATCAATAGGTCTATTTTGATGTACTATTATTGAAAACAATATTTATATTAATATATTTATTTTTTATCTATATTAATATAAATAAACAAATTTGGTTTATTTCAATTAAAATTTTAATAAAGAATATATTCATTATAAAAGAGTTTCTTCCTAGATTATAATGTTTATTATATAATTATAACCTAACTGTTATCGTGTAATATTGTATCTATTGAAAATAATATATTATAATACAAACACAGTGTAACCAAAAAATGATGTTAATATTATCTTCACTATTAGACATACCATTAATTTGATTCGATTTATCAGAATCACAATTATTACGCAGTGAACTATTGTTTGTATTGTTCATGAGAAACTCAACTAGTTCTATAAAATCATTGTTCATTTTATTCATAATCCTGAGAAAATTGTCATTTAATAAATCTGAAAAAGATATGTAACATTGTATGAANCATTAATTTGATTCGATTTATCAGAATCACAATTATTACGCAGTGAACTATTGTTTGTATTGTTCATTAGAAATTCTTTTATTTGAATAACGCTATTGTTTACTTCTTTCAACATTCCAAGAATATCTTCATTTAATAAACCTGAAAAAGAATTGTAACATTGTATGACGTATAATATTGTATGATTCACTTTTGTACTTTATTGTTATTTTAATATTTCTTATATACGAGTAATAACAACCATGATAAAAAATAAACCATAATCACTTGGAGAATATCGCTGAGGCGAATTTTTAGATCCAATTGTGGCGGGTGTCTTAGATTTACCTAATTCAGCAGAAGCGCATGAATTAGATGTGCACGATTCAGCAGAAGCGTATGAATTAGATTTGCACGATTCAGTCGAATCACATAGACTGGATGAACATGATTCAGTCGAAACGCTTGAATTATATTCACCTAATTCAGCAGAAGCGCATAAACTAGATTTACATAATTCAGCAGAAGCGTATGAATTAGATTTGCACGATTCAGTCGAATCACATAGACTGAATGAACATGATTCAGTTGAAACGCTTGAATCCCATGATTTAATCTCTTCATTAGCGATGATTGGTGATCGTTTTTCAATAACTTCTGATTCTATATCGTTTCTTCCTTTTATTAAATTATCATGTTCTTGTCGATGTTCTATCATTGAAAATAATAATATATCTACTATAAACATAAATAATAAAATATATTAAGTATAAACAAAATTATTAAAAAAGTTAATACTCGTAAATAAAAATTGTGTACATAAAAATAAAATAAATAAATTAATGAATGCGTAACGTTTTACATTATGACTGTGATATACCTGATGATGAATTTTTAATTCGAAACCGGTCGTATAATACACTCATCCTAATATACCAGTCGATGCATTCATTAATTAATTTATTTTATTTTTATAAATTTATTTACTATATTTATAAATATAAAATTTAATATTCAAATTTCATTTATTTTAAATTTAATTTTAATTTTAATAACATTAATATTCAATATCTATGGTAGTTATTTCTTATAAAAAAGCTACCAACTAGATTATAATATAAGTGCCTAACTGTTATCGTGTAATATGATACCTAATTAAAATCATATATTATAATATAAATACAAAGTTTAATCAACATATGATGCTGACTATGCAAACATCTCTCTCCTTGAAAAAGAAATAAACAACTTTTTACGATATACTTTGATACATTATTCATCAATTACTATGTTAGAATTTCTTAAATACGAATTGTATATAATTATATTTGAATGATAGAAAATTAATCATTATCACTTGGAGAATATCACTGAGACGGTTTTCTAGATCTAATTTGTCCGAGTGTTATATCCATAACTATGGGATGGGGATTTAAATCTATACATGTTCAAACGTTTTTTGAACTTAATAAGATAATAAGAAGGTGAAAGTGAAATAGAATTATTTGGAGGTGTTAATGATTTATCACTAATTATTAATCATTGTGTTTTATCCAAATAATTTTGTAATTCAATTCTAAATTATTCATATTTTTACTGATACATTCAATATTTTTACCTATCCTCTTGTCATTTTTGTTGGTTTTACCAAGATATTTACTTATTAATTTTTTTTATTTTTTTTACAAAAATTCTATCAGAAATTTTGTTCTGATATATACGAGCGGTACTATTTCTGAAAAGAAATATTGTCCAGATGAGATTTTAAGGCGATCATTTTTTGATTTTCCAAGCGGTTCTCATGTTATCTAGGAAAAACCCTGATAAAACGTAAGAAAAACGTGAAATTTACGTATACAATGCTTTTATTATTTTTTTAATTTTGTCATTTGTTCAATTCAGTTACATGACAATGTAACAATGTTGATTGTTTGATTTTTTTTTATAATGGTACAGTCAGTCTACAGCTTTTTAAATTAATAATAACAGGACATTATGATGAAATTACCTATTTTTTTTTTTACAATTTATTGTATTATTACCTGCGACTTCCCCTTTGTTTACTGTATTATAGAAATTTGATTCACTTCCAGTCGGTTTAGTTCTCATTGATTCATTTAAAAAATCTGGACTGACATGATCATATGGCTCAATGTTTTGATTAAACGTCGGTTGTGATGATATTTCAGAAATTTCATGTATTGAATATTGAATAGAAGATATTATGTCATCGTCTTTTTGTTCAGAGCCTATAATAATATATTAATAATCACTCCATTAATGGTAACGCTCCATTAATATTTAATTATTTTTACTATTGTAATAAATAATATTAGTAAACGTATCTACATACTTTCTAAACAATCTTCTGTATTTGTATTTTTTTTTTTCATAGCCTATAAATCATATCATGAATTAGTTATTATTATACTTCGATATTATTTATCACATTACTTTTATTAAAATATAAATTGCAAATTAATTTTTTTATCGTTGAACACTCACTATTTCAAAAGTACTGACATTTTTAAAACAAAATTTTGACAATTTATGAGACAAGTAGCTCTAAAATGCTACATTTTCATTATTTTTTGTCACCCTTATTTTTGGGGTTGGGACTAAAAAGATTTTGGTTTTCAAATGGCACCCTTTAGTTAAAATTACAAAAATATGTATAGAGTATTAGTATAAATACATTTTGCCGTTCACATTTTATGATATACGTCAATCTATTGAAGAGATATTTCACTTTTAAGTTTGGTTTGGGAAAGAATAGTGGATCATTGTTATAATACCACGCGCCCACGGTACCAACCAAATGATGCTTCGTTTGTCTTCTCCAATCAAAATTTAAAATTAAAATATCTTGTCAACGGATCATATATTTATTTAATTTTTACTAAAGGTTGCCATTTAAAAATCAAAACTAAATTTATTAAAATTATATATAAAATAGACGAATGGTATACAGTATGGAAATTTAAGTAGAAATAAAAATTAAGTATTAAGTGAAGTAAACGAGGGTATAAAAACAAATTTAGATTAATATAAGCGAATTTCATCAAAAATAAAGAAAAATGCCTATATGTAAAAGAAATATGAATATCAAACAAATAAAATAGAACCGAATGAGATTTTAAGACGATATAACATAGAAATTAATATAATTTAGTATTTAAGGTGACTTTATAGAATATTGTTAATTATTTATAGTGACGGTTACGTTTCTTATTTTTCGGAATATCCAGCTCACTATATTCATTCTACAACCTGCTTTTCCTTCTTCCATCAACTTTTTATTATATTTTTGTTTTTCCTGCTTGAGTATTCTAGTTGCTTTCTTCTGACACTTCTTGTAGATGATTTTTTTTTCTCTATTATATTGGTCAGAAAACCATTGGTTTCTAGCATCCTCCCTCTGATTCAACGTTTCTTCGCAGACATCATTGAACCATGGTTGTTTAACCTAACGAAAAAAACTATTCTAAGCGGAGTTTGGTTTATAATGTTGCTTTGTGAACAATATATAATATGTCATATTATGGTAAAATAATTAAATATGTATTATATATTTTATTTAATAATATTTGTTTAATATTGTTCCTATTTTCTCGTTTTTCCTACGTTATCCCCGGTATACCTATGTTTTTTCCCTGTTTTTCACACAGAGTGAGTATACGAGGGTTAGTCGGAAGAATAAGAATCAGGCATAAGAAAAATGTATTGAGGGGCATGTAATTTAAAAATTGTACTTAGCTTTATTTAAAACCAATGTTGTCCTTTATGTAGCAGAAATTTAGCCTCTGAAAAATTCGAGGAACAAAGGTTGATAGAATTTGAGCGAAAAGTCCTCAGGAAAATGTATGGGCCATAATTTGTTGCTCAAATACTAACGAATAGAGAAAATTGTATAACGATGAATTGTAATCCCTTTTTCAGCGACCTTGTATACTAAAGGAAATAAAGAAAAGAAGCTTTGTTGGCAGGACATGCCTGGAAGAAATGTGATTCGTTGATAAGAAAAGCAATAGAGGAAAATCTAGTAGAGAGGAGATCTATTGAGAGACTGTAGTTATGGTGGATGTACTGAAAAAGGATGCAGAGGCAGTGAGACCAAATAGTCACTGGCGATACAGAAAATAATAAAGGATAGAAGTAGATGACGAAGTGTGTGGTTGGCGGTATGGTCTTAATTGGCTAAGGTACAAAGTGAGAAGAAAAAGAAGATGGTTAGTTAATTTGATGTGGTATTTAAAAAGAACGGAAAAAATAAAATTAAAACTTCAGAGCGCAAAGCTTTGACTGTTTAATAGCTTATAGGGAGGAAACTGTAGAATTTTTAATAGTTTAATATCGAAACAAATACAGATTTTATTAACGCAATTCAATTAAACAAAATTGAAGTTAACGTACAAACAACAGAAGGCAAACATTTAGAGACATTTGAATCTTCTTTATCGCAGATAGATTATAATATATTTTTCAATGATATATTTAAACAGTTATCGTACATCAAAAAATATAGGTTATAAACAATTTTACATAAGTAATTTGGTATAGTAACAACCGGACACATGCAAGACCAATTAAGATAATTAAGATATATAGCATGAAATATCATTTTTTTTTTTTTTTTTTTTTATTAGCTTCAAATTGTAATGCATTGAATTAATATTTGTGAAATAAACGATCAAGGTAACCTAATAGATACAATTATTAGTACCATCAAACATAACATCCATAAAACAGTGTCACCCACACAGAGGCGCCCTACTTTAAGCTACTGTGGTGGTCAAGTGGGAGTCACTAGAGTAGGGTACCATGGAAGGCATAAAAGCACCACACGCGCCACTTTTTACAGGCTACGCCCAGCAGAAACAGTCACTTTTTGCTCACTCACTTCTACATATCTACATTCTTCCAAATCTATACAACAGCTGCAGATACTATAGGTGGGCTAATATTTGGTTGTATTTGGTTTTCCACTCATCCTAAAATCTGGTTGTTGTACAAATTGTTACTTTCCTTTTTACTACACATCTAAACGTGTTTATTATTCTCCATCACTATATATGTATATAAATATACACAACACATTGCTCTCGATTGGGTTGATCACAGTTCAACATACAGCAGCACGTGGTCACCTATCGAGACAAACAGTTGTCTATACATTTGTAAGAAAGGGGTGCATTGAATCACAAGTTGGATGTTATACTCAGAGAGATCTACGCCTATTGTTTTAGTAAAATACAAAGTTAAACAGTCACTTCATACTGTCTATTGTTTAAACCACGGAGAATGGATACTTCGTTCGGTTTGGCTAAAAAGGTAGAACGCAGAACGCAGACACTTCGTACAAGTATATATATAAGCATATAGCACTATAGAAAGTATACAGAGTGCCACTTTACATTAACTTTTATTCAAAATATTTGATATATATATTTTTTTTAAATAATCAATATGCCTTTGCGTTACAGTTTATGTGTAAACATTTTTTTTTAGGGGGAGTGGGATTAGAATAAAAAATTTAAAATTTTACTATAATTACTAAAAATGTTGGTGGTTGAAACTTTTGTTAAAGTATGGTCTTTTATTTTTCATGATTCGTTGAAGTTTTTGGAAATGTGAATATCACCTATTGCGGTTATTCTATTACAATATTTAATCAGTTATTAGTCAGAGCACATGACAAGGATTTTTTTTCCATGAGGTAATATCATGCAATAATATTATCTTATTGTAGGTATAAGATAGGATCTATCAATCAATAATGGTAATTTATGTTGATAAACACATTACTATGATTGAAAATAAAATTATTCAAATTTTCAAAAAATTATAGAAATTAAAAGATTTAACCACCAAACATTTTCTAAAAATCTATTTTACAAAATGGCTATTTTGAATTTTTTTTAAAAAAAATATATTAAAATTTTAAATTTTGTATTTTAAATCTCTCTCCCCTCTAAAAAAAATATCCATGTATAAACTGTTTGGCAGACGCATACTAATTATTTAAAAACAAATATATAAAAAATATTGTATAAAACAAAAGTTATTTTAAGAGACAGACCAATATAGGACACCCTGGACACCCTGTATATGTATAAATAATACATATACCTAGTTGAATACATTGTATACAATATACATCAATATTATTTGTGGTGATTACATAAACCAATATCAAATTTAAAAGTATTAAAACGCGGACACTTTGTACTATTATTTGTATTATTATTATTAGTACTATTGTTATTATTACATATACAAATTATAAACAAATATTTAACAATAACGTTTATAAAAGTTAATATATTTAAGCCATATTAAAAATTAAAATAAAAGTAAATTGTTCAAATAATATCCAACAAGCTAAAAATTTACAAAAAAAAAAAAAATGAATAGTTTTTAAGTGTCAACGATAATACTTATATTTCATTTTATTTAATATTGGTTGATTTCCATAGGATAATATTGTATACATTTATAAAACTAGTATCGATAATAATTCGTGTAAAACTCTGTACACTATATAATTTGTACTTGGTAAGCATGTTTATATGTATAAAATATGTAAATATAATATATATATACTGTTATGTACATAATAGTACGAAGTGTCCTTTTTAGCCAACTGTATGAATTGTCTGCGTTTCGTGTTTTTCGTGCTTGACCGTGAATTTTAACCAATCAGTGCTCATTGTTAAAACAAATTATTATTACGTTGGTGAACAAATCGTTACACTACGAGCACCAGCTCGCAAATTCATAATTTATTTAATATCCGAGAATTTAAATAAATTTCTAAATTTTAGAATTTAAATTAACCAATTGATATTTATATCTAACGATTCATCCTTACACATCCTTATATTCTGTATGGGTTGGAGTATTGGACTGTAGACAGAAATATTAAACAGAGAATGAGTTTAACACAGATGAGAATACTTAGGTTGATGAATGGAGTGATGAAGGAAGAAAAGATAAGAAATGAATACTAATAATTAAGAGGTAGTTTAGTTGTGGCCTCGATAATGGTTAAAATGAGAAAAAATAGATTGATATGGTTTGGGCGTGTTATAAGACGAATCATAAACAGTGAGAATTGTTGTAATAAAAAGAAACGTAGGAAGAAAGAAAGGGAAAGAAAGACCAAACACAAGGTGGTTGGAAGCGATTGAGAATGATATTATAAAGATGAAGAGCGACAGTTTAGCACAAGGGTCACAGACTCCAAATAGTTGTGATGATGGCGAAGGAGAAGAAGACAATATAAATTACGCAATAATTACTCATCCTAAATACTTTGGTACCTATAAATATATATGAATTTATATTGTGTCCAGAAATACTCAACTTATGAATGTAAAAATATAACAGAACAAGTTTGGGGAGAGGACTCTTGACATTTTTAGAGGAACTTATGTATCCACATCTAGTTAAATCAATTGTCAAAAACAATGAATATCGTAAGTAGGTACTTTATATATTATTTACTTGAAAAGTATCCATAAAGATATCAGATAATTAATATTTACTTACTAACGCACTATCAATTCCACACGGTTCTTTACTGTTAGCCTTTACTTTAACATCTGCCTCTGCTGCAACAGACATAGTGTTTTCCAGACTCGGCGTTAAAGAAATGCTGCTTGTTGTCTGTGTTATACCTTATGGAACATTTTTCATACAATATAAATAGAACATAGTAAATATTAAAACTTATATTATCTTAAACATTACAGAAACTTTTATACAAATTAACTGTACCTTTTAAACTAAGAAAAAAAAATTAAACATATGAAATATTTTAATAACTATTTGTATAATAACTAAAAAATGTATTTGTAATAGTATTAATATGATGAATTATGAAAAAATTCAAATATTTACCGAATTCTTCATTTATATTTTCGTCATTATTGATCTAAAAATTACAACAATTTACAAATTATATTTTACTCCAAATATATAAATTAACGTGTTCCTTATTTTTCAATTTAAATTTATTTTCGGTCTCCTCCGAAATTTGTGTACATGAATAAAAAAATGAACTACGGAAAATTTTGGAACAATCTGTTAAGGTTAAGCCGTAGCAACTTTAATTTGAAATTTTATTCTCATTATTTATAGAAATTTGTATATTGTATTAATTTTGTATTATATTATTAAATTAGAGCGGTTTTTTTGTGTTGCCTTATGGCAACTATTATTAATTTATAGAATTGAAATAAGAAATTTTATCAAGATTTCAGGATTTTTATTATTCATGTTCATAAATTTGGGATTTGAAACCTAAAAGAAATAAAAATATATCTCCTATGTGTAAGGAAAACCCTAATTTAGATAGGTAGATATTAAAAACAAAATTTTACCGAAATATTAAATCCTTCGGTTATGACTGACGGTTTGATATTTTCAGATACAAAATTATCACGCTTTTGAAAGAAATCCATTTTCAAGTGTTCGATAAAACTTAATCTTGGATCTTCGTAACGTAAAAATATGTTTTATTTTATTAATATAAAATATACTTTTAAACAATTATTTGTTACATTAGTATTATATTTTTTGTTCCTAAGTTGCTTAGTAAAAATATTTTTTATAATGTTTATAATTTATAATTATATTAAGTAGCCAGAATTAATATAAATGCTCAAATAAATAATAATGCACAATATGAATGGATTATATTGCGTCTGGATTATATATTATAATATTTATTTTTTAGGTGAATAATATAAAGTAAATTAAGTCAATAAAGTATAGGGATCCTGTAATGACGGAATAAATTTCAAGTGAGCCACCATTTTCTTATCTAAATATTATTAACTAGGTAGCAAAGATTATAAAATTACCCTAAAAACACAGTTGTCACTCAATTATAGAGCTAAAAAGTTTGATTATAGACTGTAGTGAAGAAATAAATTAAACAAGTGTGTATTATTTTTAATGAAAATGGTGTTGCCATGCTCTTCGGATACAGCCTTTGTATGGGAATGTGTACAATGATTCAATTTATAAAAGTTAAGCATCAAATAAATATATAAAGATATATTTTTAAGATTATATAAAAATGTTGTGCCACCATACCCCGGGTCAAGACAGGTGTCGATATTTACTCGTTTGACGGTCAGTGTGTCAATCTCCATTTTTAAAATCGAAAATATCTGCTGTATGTGTCAAGCCTTTGCGTGGCATATATAATAAAATGGCGTGGCCCATTTTAACTAAACAGTACTCGTTATCGTGGTCATTTAGTTAAGAGTTCAAAATCGAGAGTACTTAGGTAATCTGTGTTAAAACGTTGCAGCGCACAAAGACGTAATATTGCCTTGGGCGTCCAGTTAGTAAAGCTGATTACCGAAGCCTTTGAGGTTCGTTCAAATACTCACTGCCATATACGTCCAAGAAAGAACCTTGCATTTACGACAGCAGGTAACAAACGGTATTGGGAACTAATTAACAAAGCCTCAAATCGTACTAAACAAAAACATATGATATTAAAGATTCCCAACGTTAAAGACCAAAATGATTAATCTCTAAATATAAATAAAGATGTAAATAAAATAGGTAATATTTTAGATTCTGAGTGAAGCGAAGTGATTTCTTCGCTTCTCACTTTTCCGCAAAAATCAACCTTATGATTTACCGCTAATATAATAATTTGTGTTTCTAATAACTTGAGCTATCAGAAAAGATGCTACACGTAACAAGTTTACTAGGAAAAACGTGTCCACAGACTAGAAGAAAGAAAGAAAGAAATAAGAAAAAAATAAAGATCTTAGTAAAACCAACAGCTTACGAGTTATATATAAATAAAAAATAAATACTTATGCATAGTGTAAATATAAATTAATCAATTCAAAATTAAAACTTAATCTTTAATAGGATAAGATGTGGTTGCCTTCACCTTTTCCAAAAGAAAAAAAAGTAATAATAATAACTTATAATAATTTCTATTTTCCATTATAGGGACGAAAAAACAAATTTTGCCTCAGGTCGTTTTAATGTGTAGTTACGCCACTGGCTTGAATGAAAGTAAAACAGAACCGAGTTAAAATTTAAAACTGCATAGTTGAGTAATTTTTTCGCTAAACTTACAAATAGCTAGATTTCACTGGATCGTAAAAAAAGTACCGATACTGCTAATGGATGTACCTAAACTTTAATCGCTTTCATACGCTTTACTGCAGGGAACAAAATTGTTCACAATAACTCCGTCGTTTTAATCAATTTAGTACATAATTTAAATTTTTAATTATTAACAGTTATTTGTATAATACACTTAAAATGCATGAATAAAATTACATAAGTATACAAAAAAATAATGCATGTTTATAAATAAATAAGTAGTTGAAATTTTCATAGAAAATGCCCAAGTAAATATTATTGTTTCACTGTGTTAAAACTATACTGGAACGTCATAGTTTTCTATTTCGTGGTCGATCCATTTCCGAAAACGAGGTACGTAAACGTAGACTCCGGGAATATTTTCCAAACCACATTCAATACCCCAAGAAACGATTCCCGCTTGCACCAAACGATTAGGATCGTTTTTTAACGAGCACATTAACGGACCACCGCCGTCACCCTATGTAAAAAAAAAAAATTATAATAATAATAAATAATTTAATGAAAATATAAAGTGTACATTCTGTTATTTCAACGTCAATAATGAATCTGTATTTATTTAGTTGTATTAAGAAATTAGACCATTTATTTAAATGTTATGATAATTATGTATTTCATCAGGTTATTGCGATACCGCAAATTTCAATGTGCACGATTATTATATAGTATGAGTATATAGGCAATTTAGTATGTTTTGCTGTATGTTTAATCGTATATTCACTTTTCAAATGAAACAATATAGTTCAAACGAATATTAATATTTCTGTGGTCGTGTTTAGTAGCAGTCAATTAGAGCACCATCGTTAACATTTTGATATTATCATCCAAAATGTATTATAAGTAGAAAAAAAGATTGAAAAAAATAGATGATAAAAATAAAAGTTTTTTTTTTTTTTTTTACAAGCGTGATGATCATTTTATAAATATAAAAGCGAGAATTATACGATAATATAAAAACTGCATGATAGTTAGGTAATAATAATTATAAATGGTAAAATTATTATTAGAAAATTAATTGCCACTAAATTAACCCATAAGTCATATTAAATATAAATATTACATAAAAAATTGTACAAATAATTAAAACTCAATTGTTAATATTATAAATGTTGTATTAATTTCTTTTTTTATGCGATTTTGGTGCCTAATAATGTCTAATAATGTTGATGAAACCCAATTCCAATTAATTTGTTTTAAAAGATTTAAAATCATTTGTTTTCCTTCGAATGGAAGTTTTATTGATTATTACCATATAATAATATAATATGATTTATCTAAATTCTAAAACTTTTTCAAGACAATTAAAATATTTAATGTCATCTATTTTCAATAAAAATAATTTAAAAATATATATATTTTTTTTTTATTTATATTATGTATTATATATTTCGGGTGATAACAACAAAATGATAACGGTGATGCTCTAATCGACTGCGAAAAGACAGATCCCCCAATTTCAGTGGTTTATAACCTTTTACGAATCGCGACCACCTATTTTTTATTCATGTAAGACGAACCCTTAAAAAATTGTTTAATAGAACTTGAATAATACAATACACAGTATACAGAATACTTATAGTTTTGGGTAACTTCTAAGTATCACTCACGAACTCTGTATGGGTTACAACCATCAGGTTGAAAACCACTTCTCTATTTGACTAATTTTACCGAAGCTTGGAAACGATATATTATTATAAAATATAACTACATAAGGACATTACATTCAGTAAATTCATTAAAAAAATGAAAATTTAATATAAAACAGAATCATCTAATATTTTACTTTTCAATATTCCATGAGAAAAAATTACGGTAAAGCTTAAATTATATGTAAACAAAAAATAATTTTATATTAACCGGTACATGTTTTTATAAGTTGGCAAATTTTTGTTCTAGATAATAAATTTAGCGAATATTATTCGTTATGTTGTTGAAAATTAGTGCATCATGTACAATATTATTATCGAGTGTGTAATATAAAAAGAAGAGGTAGACCAAGAACATGTTACATAAGTCAAATAATTAAAGATGCAAGAGTCGATTCGTACAAACAACTCAAAGACAAAGCACAAGACAGAGAATCATGGAGAGGACATTTATTGTAGACCAATCTACGGATTGAATACTAAAAAAAAAAAAAATATAAAAATAATGTCTTACTTTACACGTGTCTATTCCTTTTTCACCTCCCGCGCACAAGAAACTTTCGTGCAATATAAACTCTGGCCCAAGTCTTGTGGTCTTGAGGGCTTTCTGACACTGATCGCGAGCTACGATTGGAAGTTCGACCTTTTTCAGTATACTAACTTCGTACTGGCCCGATTTATCTATCATCAAATTAATATAATACATTAATTTATTTGCGGTATGTACTTAGTTACACATGTCTAAGTTAAACGTTATTATTATCAGTATTATTACTACAGTGACGTACGAATATTTCCCGATTCAGTTTTCCTGACAATACTATAGTTGTTGTACGATACAGTTTTACCCCAACCGGTCGAGAAACATCTCGAATCCGCAAAACTGTCGTTTTCCTCGGGTAAGCACATGATTTGGACGTTTTCCTCGAGGATAAAATTTTTTTCCGTAAAAATTAGAGCTATATCGTTAAAAAGTCCTCCCGAATAATATTCTTTATGTGTTACGATTTTCGACACACGGACTTCTTGGGTGGGATACAACTCTCTTTCGGTTTTCAAGTCCCAATCGCCTGCTCTTATAATAAATTTCGAGTGATTACTCCTAAATAATAACAATAACATGAAAATTAATAAGAAATATTAAAATCATGTTGATACTTTGATAAAATGTTATTTGCTCAACATAACAATGTTAATTCATAGTACATAATTTACCCATTAAAAATATAAAAATAGTTAATTAATATTACTTGATAACACAATGAGCAGCTGTTAATACGACATTTGGTTTAATTAACGATCCTCCGCATTTCAAAACGAGTTTCCGTTCAGGGCTTTTCAAATCTTGTTCGAATATGGCCACCATTGACGGATATTCAGAGTATTGTGATTCACCGTCAATATCATTGAATATTCTAAAGCCCACTCCGTATTTATTCCAAGTACCGCATTTATGGACGGATTGACTGTCAATAGAAGAAACTACTGTTTCTTCCGTTTTTATCGGAAAAATCGAAGATTCAGTATTACCAACCAATTCATTTGTCGTTTCAGACGAATTTTGATTTGATGGGTTTTGGTGAAATTTGATAGTTTCAGTGGACTCTGTGGAAACACTATGATTTTCTGGACGGAATAACTGGGTTAGATGATTAGTCACCGTAGAAATTTGTTCGATTAATACATTTTTTAGTGGTTTTTGGGTGTTTCCTGCAATGTCCGTAGCACTTACTGTACTATACGTAACGTCATTGTTTTCAGTTGAAGGCGTAAATTCTGTAGTTGGAGACAACATTTGTTTATCAGATATCGCTGTTTCTAATTTTTGGCCATGGTGAATATAACTGCCGTCTGTGTTATTATAATGTGGAGTACTTGAAATAGGCTTTTCCGTCTTAGTCTGGTTTTTGCAACACACATCCAAATAACTTTCGCATTGTCCCAATGGCATCCTGTTATATATTGTACAACATTTATGAGTATATATTAATATGTTGTAAATATATAGTATTTGTATAAATATGAAACTATTATTTAATTACTATGCAAACTGAAGTTGGGAGGTAAGTTGGATAAGAAGGGTAGATCATTGACGTATTTATTAAGGGGGGTATATGAGGGATATATTCCCTCCCTCGTCCCTTTATTTTGACCAGGCATAAACTGCAGTACAGTTGTTGTTACTTATAACATAATTATGTTATTCTATGGGCTGTGAGTGACATAACACAATAATAAAAACAAAATTAAAATAAGAACACCCAGTATTCTGGCTAATCTGTATTCTTAAAAATTTTTTTTTTTTGATTTTTTAAGCTGTTTTCGTAATATTTGGAATAAAACACAAAAGAAAAACAAACAAATTTACAGCGTTGAAGATTTCATTATTTTAAATTTTTCGATTTTTTTACTACTGAATAAAATTGTACAGTTGGTTTTTTTTGTTTACGCGTTTTAAGATCGAATTTTGATGAAATTAGTAAAAACCGCATCGAAATTCGCTCAGAGTCGTATTTCGTTAGCAACGATTGCAGGTAGAAATTAAATAACTCTATGCTATCCTACCTTCTCAACATCAGCAATCAGCAGTATAAACTCGTTTTAATTTTCTCATTAATTAATTCTACCTACCTAATGGCAATTATAATCTTCACCATCACACCAGGCATACAATATATAACTACCAGTTCATATGAATAATATTTCGAAAGTCATGGAATTTTATGAAAGGCCGGACTGGGCTTTTTTAATATAAATTATTTTGAACTGGATCGGACTGGGCTTAAAATAAATGTCCTCGGATCTTGTCTGGGCTTTTTTTATACGGACATTTTTAGATTGGATCGTACCGGGTTTAAAATAAATTTCATCGGACCGGATCGGGCTTTTAAAGTTATGGAATTTTATGAAGAGCTAGATCTGGATTATTATTTTTTTTTTTGGTTTGGTGTTTCAAAATGTATTAAAATAATCATAATTATTTGAAATAAAAATGATAATATGTATTATGTAATATAATATCAAGACTATACAGTATCTAATTCAGGGATATACGTATTACGTAATAAGTATAAAGTTTAATAATAAAGCAATGAAAAAAATCAGTTACTGAATCAACACTTTTTAAGAGATTATCATCGAACTGGGCTTGAGCTTTATTTAATAAAACATTTTGAACCGGATCGGATCGGGCTTTAAAGAAATATCATCGGACGGACGGGGTTTTTTAAAAAGTTTAACTATTTTCGAGTCGGGCTTAGGCTTTTATTTTTTTGGATCACACCGGACCGAAAATTGATGGCCCTTGCAGGTCTATAACAGGTACCTAATTATTTATGTTATTATTATATTTGTCGTAGTTTTCGTATTATTATAACTTACATTGATCGGACCTAATGTAATAAATATAGTATAATATTAAATTGTTTACCTATGCTTTAATTTTTACATATTCTATTTTACATTAAATTAGAAAAACTGCATTATTTATATTTTTATGATTTTTTTAAAAAATATTAAATTTATTTTATAAACTATTATTGTTAATCACAATTAATAATGAATATTTATTATTTCTAGTTCAACTTTAGATTCTGAGAATAGCGAGAAATGGAAAAATATGATTTTATATTTTAAAAGATGTGTGATAGATAATTTTAATTTGTAAGTCAGAGTGTAAAATTTGATTTTAAATATTGAATGACGCATTCGTAATTAAGTGGATTGTTTCATTTTGGATTATTTGTTTTTTATTCAGGTCGAACTTTTTGGTGTGGTGTATACCCAAATTTGTATACCGCATGTCCAAAATGATTGTAGAAAGAGTTTGTAGAAAATTTAATTTTGTGTGGAGTGTAAGTTTCGATTTTAAATGAAGAAATTGTCTTAGTAAGCATAGACGATTAGTGAACTTGTTAATGGTATTTAATACATGTATTTGTGCATTTAGTGTTATCGATTTAATGATAATATGTCAATACTGCGGTACAAGGTTACTCATACTGTGATTTGTTGTTTGTTATGGTTTTTCTTATTCGAAACACGTCTGACGAGTTTAAAATGCTCTGGGGGTAGGTATATTCCCTATCAAACAAAAGTTTACGTATTACAAAATAAGCAACTGGCCGATTATTTAAATGAGAGAACCTGTATACTATAATATACTATACTTCAATAAGAATAATTAACGAATACATAATATATTTATTGTGTATCCTAAAAGAAAAAGCTGCCTCCTCCCCGGAAATATAGTTCACCTACCTATACGTCCTTGAATACCGTACAAATAGTACCGTGCGATTAGTTTGGCGCCTGTAATTATTTTAACGAAGAAAAAACATACACATCCTTTTTGCCGACTCAAGTAGGTAAACAGTTTCGACTAGTGGAATATTGACAAACGATAAAACTACACATAAATTTGACCACACTATTGCACAACATTAAACTTCAATAAGATCCTACCCTCTAAAATTCTATGTATATTATATAATATTTATAGACACCTTATGTTTATAAATCCGGCGCCGTCACTAGTCGATACGAAAGTAGCACAATCGTAGTACGGCTTACAAAGACATTCTTGTTCAACTTCTTCTTCCATTCTGTCGTAAAATCCTTCGTCAGACGTCCATACTGTCGTTGTGTTGGTGGATTTGACGGTGACTTCATCGCCAACGGTTGTTGATGGTGGATCGGGAAATAAGTCATAGTACAAGTTTTCGTATCCAAAGATCGTGGAGAGCGTTCCGATAATAACAATCGACTGGAAAAGGACCATGATGATTCCCGCTGCCTAACGATGTATGGTACACACCGTAATTATACTGATATTTTCTTTGTTACGTACACTAATTATACGTGTGTAGTTAGGCCACTAGTGAAAAAATGTAATGTGATTAATCGAATGGTAAAATTAATAAAAAAAAAAAATACTCACGTCACAGTTTTTCCGATGTTTTCATGAGTCAGACTGATTCGTTAACGGAAACGTCGAAAATGAAATTATCGTTACGATGTTCCGCGAAAAATTGATTTAAACCTGCTTCATCGATTCGTGTCTGCATATTAACAAGAAGTTCGACCGTGAAATACACACTGCATAATATGATAATAATAATATTATTTAAATAGTAATGTTTATCAACCCGGAGGCAAAGAATCCGGTTTTCACTAATGCCGTGGCTTGCATAAACGATTGATATAAACTACATGATAACCTATGTGATATCGCTGATGACTGCGTATGAACTACAGTACTGAAAATGGCGTACCCCACGCCAAACATTCGCGACTCATAATAGTTATACATTTGAGGGTTAGGGACATTCATTTAAACAAAGAACATTAGTAATCAAATTCAACCAAAAAAATTAATTTGCACTGAAACGCATTTATGTGAGAATAAAAGATTAAATTTGTATTTTTTTATTTTTATTTTAGCATTGTATTAGGTCTAGGTAATGGCTTATCAATTTTTTTTTTTTAATATACTGTTTGAACTGTACCTATCAATTAATACAGATTGGAACAAAACACATTTTACATTGTGGCACTTACTATATTATTTTATATATTTACCTATACAATGTATCAGGGGAGTATACAAGGGGGGGGGCGATAGGGGCGATAGGGGCGATCGCCTCCCCTGGGCATTGTTGAATTGAATGTTTATGTATAGGCACATACTTATTTTATTATTATTAATCAAACATTTTAAAAAAAAGTTATTTTTTTTGTGCGGAAATAGTTATCAAAAACTTCTTAAAAGATTAGAGATATTGTAGCTATCATAAACATATACATCTACTGTTGGTTATAATAATTATATTATGATTATCTGTACGATTATTGTCTGCACTCTGTAACCGTGGTTCGTGTTATTGACTTATTCTTTTTTTGGGGAATGAGATCATAGAGCCGTGAAAACTATATTATAACAAAAATTGATAAGCTTTAATGGAAAGACGGTCATGGTAGTACGAGTACACTACAGGTCTGCAGTACCTAGTTTTCGACTTTTGTACTAGCAGTTATCATTTATACTCTACACTGAAATGCATAATAAATTTATACACGAAATAATGTTTATATATAATGGTTAATAATGGAAAATTAGGAAAAAAAGCCCCTGACCAAAAACCACATAAGTAATAAAAAGCCCCGACGAAACAAACAAATATTTCCTTAATATTTACCTATCTACAAAAACTACAATCAGATATTCTTACAATAACCGATATGAATAAATGATTACAAATTACACAAAAATTATTATTTCAAAACCTCGAGTATAAAAATACAATATAACATATATTTGGTACCTATACCTACTATTATTATTTTATACTATTTTTTATAGTGTTTTTCAATAAATTAGAAAAATAAGATAATTATTTATAAATTAATAGATTTCTAACAAAAGTAGGCAATAAGCAAAAATATACATAAATAATGTTTTTGAATAACTACGTAATTATTTTTGTAACTTTTTATCTTTTTAAACGTATTATATTAATTTACAACGGGGCTTTTCTTTCCAAGCCTTCTTTTCAATACCTATAAACAATTTTTGTTTAAGATGCCATAACTATATTTTTTTCCTGAGGCTTTATTATCCTCAGTTTCTAATAATAGTTATCAAAGTGGGTAGAAATCAATTATTCAAGTTCTAAGTAAGCGAAATAATCGGAAAATTGTGAACTGCCGATGTATTTATAATCTGTAACACTGCCGTTTATAGACATATACTTTTAAACTAATAATTTATAAGTATGATTTAAGTTTGAATTTTGCCCCCCCCTCTGGAAAATGAGCTGAATACATCCCTTCAATGTACTATTCATAGGTATAAATAAACAGTCATTTCGAAATGAATGCATTATTACATTTAATTTTCATTGACGTTCATTAAGAGGACGTCACACCCACATTTACTGTCCCAGCCTACTACCCGGCAATATGCAAAAACCCATATAAAAATCTCACCAAATCTGAAAAACCGGGTTAAAACATGGGAAAACCGGGAAAAACATAGGGGAACTCGGAAAATCGGTACAACATTAAACAAATATTATTAAAGAAAATATATAAAGCCTATTTAATTATTTTACTATAAAATAACATATATTGTTGACAGAGCATCATTATCAACTGAACTGCGCTTAGAATCGGTTTTTCGTTAGCAATGGTTTATCGTTGCTTACAGATGTACACTAAATTACTTATTACAGTGGCTGAACCCGTCCCCATTATCCTAGGACGTCTTTTTTTCCAATACATATACTATCGGGACATAATGCCAATAAAATGTAACAGTATAAAATACTATGATTATATGTTATTTCAAAATATATTACAAATGTAAATCATGTTATTTGAATATTTTATAATAATATGTGGAACATAACACAGAACCGCAACACTGTGAAACGGAAAGAACGTCATGACAGTGACTTCTGGTATGCGAATTTATCGTACATTTATAGCTATAACGAACAATGATTATTCAATGTAAATGAATCGCAGAAACCAGTTCTGAAAATCAACATCAAAATCAAAACAACACGTTTTGATGAAATTGTAATAATATTTCGCAAACGAATTAATCGAAATGTATAAATACAGCACACATACAACACAGAGAACAACGTAGAATACGAGAATATTATGCTAAATAATTGTAAATCTGTATTAATGTTAAAACAAAATAAATTTTTATTAAAATATTAAAATAGTAAACAATTGAAATTATTTTTATTTAAATAAAACGACATTTTTAGTTAATGATAATAAAATACTATGTATACAGCTTCCATAATAATTGTTCAGTACAATTATTGTGCTGAATAGTGGATATCACGGCAATCTACACCACGGTGGATATATATTCATCGAGGTAAAGACTAAAGGCCGTTATCACCAACCTAAAAAGAGGCGTTTATCTGATTCTTAAACTGAGTTTATGGCTGATAACCGGCCACGATTGGTCGATTATTGTATAAATTTAGTTTAAAAATCAACGTTTTTGTTGATGAAAACGGGCCTGAGTAGTATAGTAAGCGTTTGAATGTTTGATTATATTCTTTAAATCGAAGTATAGAATACATATTTGCTGATTTAATAATAAACTTATAACATACAAACCGGTTATTATATTCTAAGCTGATATAAAACGTACCATATCAAGCAATATGATTGGTCGAGTATTATCATTTATCAACACCATAATTTCATAATCTTGATTAAGTTAGGTTAAGTCCTCAACAGTTGTTAAGTTGATTTGGCAATAATTTTGAGCGAAGCAAAGAATGTATTGGTTTTACAATGGTGTTTATTTTTTATTATTTTTTTTTATATATATAATCAACTTTTCTACTAGAAATTTTGCTTTGATTTTCAAGTGTAGCACTTTTACTGAAGGGAAATCTGATTGGAGTGATACTTAGAAAAATAATTTTGATTTTTCCAGCGTTTTTCATAATAAATAGATAAAATCGTAGGAAAAACGGGAAAATTTACGAAATATATAATTTTAAAATCGTACATATTACGGCCCTTCAAAACATGTATAACCAAACTCCGCTCAAAATCGTTTATCGTTAGCAAAGAATTAATCGTTGCGTATAGATATACATTAAATTCTTCTCTATATCTTAATTTCCAACTTCTCACCTACAACAGTTGCCTTCTCATTGTGCGATTTTTTTTGAAAGAAAATTTTATCTAGTTGGTGCATTGAGGGGGTTATTTTTTGAATTTTAAAAGGGTTTTCATGATAATTGAGAAAAACCGAAAACAAATATATAAATAAAACGGCAAATATTTACGGCATTATCGATTTTATTGTTTTTAATTTTTTCAAACTATGATTTCAATGAGAAATATTGTTTTAATCAGTAAATGTCTAGAAATCTCTTTTGTTGCATTTTGAATATAATTGCTCAAGTTATTTTATACAGTGTACACAAATTCTATCAGAAACTTTCTATACAAGTATACCATTGCCAAAATTTGCCCCATTACCAAATAAGATAAAATTATAAAAATAAAATTCACTATTCGGAGTATAAGAAAATAGTTAATAAATGATTTCCTAAATTTTCATCTTCAGTTGAAAAAAAATATATTACTGTTCTGATTCATAAAATTAAGTAAATTTCGACAGTTTCTTACAGCGTCATGCGTTCAGCATTCAGCGTGTAACAAATTATATATTAGGTACATATTATATGATATATATATATATGTATATGATATATTATATATAGGTATATAAAAAAGAAATAAATTACAAAGTATAAAATTGTGTGTGGTATGTATAAAAATGAGAGTTTTAAGTAACAAAATAAAATCAGTTCACAATTTGATGTTTACAATATGTTGCCGAAAATCGGTTATGTTAAACTGAACTGTGATTTTCTATTTGATTGTTGATCCACTTTTGAAAAACGGCGACGTTTACGTAAACGCCGGGTATATTTTCTACGCCACAGCTTATACCCCAAGAAACGATTCCAACTTGGACCAGGTTATCAGGATCATGTTTGGATGGACAAAACAACGGACTGCCACCGTCACCCTAAACGGGGAAAACAACGTAAGATTATTCATCATAACTACAGCGATTCAGAACATTTTAAACGCTATTCTAATCCCCCCCTCTTTTGATGAATATCGAATAGTTTATTTAATTTATTCATGAATAAAATTAATAATAGCACAACATAATTGTATCAACTCAGTATTTTACGTAACGCACATAAAATTAAAAATATTTACATGCCATAGAATTTTATTTACAAGCAAGCATGTTTAAAATATAAAAAAAAAAGTATAAAAATTTAAATTGTACATTAATATCTTACTTTGCATGCGTCTTTTCCCTTTTCACCTCCCGCACACACGAAACTATCGTGTAACACAAATTTCGGACCGAGTCTAGTAGATTTGAGAGCTTCCATACATTTGTCGTTTGGTACAATAGGAATTGTGACCTTTTTTAATATACTGACTTCGTAGTGGCCGATTGTCTCTATAATGATGTTAGAATAAGTAAAGTTTGTTAATATTATCGTACAGTTCGATATTATTGATATTTATTTATTTTTTATCAATATTATTATCGACGTACTAATATTGCCCGATGTGGTTTTCTTCGAAATAGTAAAGTTATTGTAAGTCACTGTTTTCCCCCAACCAGTCGTTATGCACGGCAGCGATTCGTCCACATCGCTACTGTCGTATTCATCGAGGCACGCGATTTGGACGTTTTCATCGAGAATAAACGGTGTTTCCGTAAATATTAAAGCTACATCGTTGTGTAGTCCTGCAGATTTATAATCGGGATGTGTGACAACTTCCTTCGAGATTATATCTTGGTGAGGGCGTATCTCTTTAATCGTTTTTATGTCCCATTCACCCGCTCTGATCACCAAAGTCTTCGGGTTGACCCTAAAAATCAAAACGCATACAAATTTATATTGTCAACCAAAACATAATGTTAAATTTAGTTTTTAGTTCAATTGATCCCAAGAAATTCAGGGAAGTTGTTGTTAGTAAATTATTCGAAACATTTAGTTTTTTGAATTTAATATCGAAATGCGAAATTAATATTTACTTGATCACACAATGAGCCGCTGTCAAAACAACGTCGGTTTTGATTAACGATCCTCCGCAAAGGTACACGAGTTTTTTTTCACCTTTTAACTCTTCTTCCTTGAATATGGCAATCATTGACGGAAATTCGCCAAATTGCGTTTCGCTGTCGATGTCGTTGAAAATTCTAAAACCTACCCCATTTTTGTTCCATTTACCGCATTCATGAACACGTTCCTTATGGTCGTTGTGACTATTGTAAAATGATTGGCCATTTTGATGTACTCCAAAAGTTGGAGTTTCGGGTGTGATTTCACTTTCAGACGACGATTCAGATGACGATTCAAACGTTAATTGAGACGACGATTCAGATGAAGATTCAAACGTTGATTGAAACGACGATTCAGATGGCGATTCAAACGCTGATTGAGACGACGATTCAGATGAAGATTCGGACGGGTGCCCAACGTATGTTTCTTTAACACTATCTTCATCTTCGCACGAACAATTCTCACTTGGACTTTCTTCGCTAGAACCACCGTCCGTATTGCTGTGTTTCTTTTGATCACTATCACCTTCACTGTTATCACTATTTTCACTGCTTTCAGTGCTATCACTACTATCAGTACTACTACTTGAAATATAATTTTCTGTTGACAACGTTGGTTTCTCTTTACAGCAAACGTCTAAATAACTATCGCACGGTCCAAAACTCCTGTAATTTATATAATTTTATTATATACTATACTCATTATATAAATAATTATGATTTAATTTATGTATATATAGTATAAAATAATATGAGTACAAAAGAGTGATTGAAAACCCGACTATATTTTTATAATATCAACATAATATTCTAAATGAGTTTAAAATTTAAACTGATTCCGAGCGGAGTTTGGTCATACGTGTTTTAGATAGCCATAATATTTACGATTTTCGTCGGGATTTTATATTAGGATTTTTATAAAAAAAAATAATACATTAAACTCAAATTTTTCTTGTTGATCACAAGTACAACTTATAATAAACCTCCTGTTGTATTTTCAATCATTTCTTTTTGGTCTAACAATTTTTTCCACAGAGTACCTACCGAATAAACTCACAAAGTAAAAATATCCATAATTAGCTAAAAATGAGTCAAGTTTTGAAAACGTTATCACGTCTATAAAAGGCAAATATAAGGATTCAGTAAAAAAATGTCTACGAACATTTTTAATTAAATTACAAAAAATGATCTAATTGAAAATAATAATACTATTATTACTTTTAAAAAAAATTCCGGTTTTTCCTAATTATTTTTAAAACTGTTTGGAAAATCAAGAGAAGGTGCCATGCTCGAAAATCAGAGCAAGATTCCTAGTATAATTTTTATACACAGTATAAAAAAAAAAATAATAAACATCATTGTAAAACAGATATATTCCTCCCACCGCTCAGAATCTAAAACATATTTTGCAATGCGAAAAAACAAATGACTTACCTTATATTAATAAGGCCACCACCCTCTTCAGTCGATTCGTATGTTTTACATAAATTAAATGGCGTACATACACATTCTTCTGCAGGATCAATGTCATGTGAACTCTCTAAATATATTGTCGTTGTGGACGCTACGGTATTACTTCCGCTTGATATTTCCGATTCGTTTTCTAGATGTCTAAGAACTACATTTGGTGATGACGTTTCCCTCGACTTTTGACTGATTACTGACGTAAATAGTACACCAATAAACACGATAAAACTAAAAGTGTTCATGATTTTCTAAAACCATGACGAACAACATTTAAATATGTTTTTTCGAAATTCTGTGTTTGTGTGAAAATACTATTATTGGCAATATTATTTTCACAGTTCACAGTTTTAAATAATTTAGTTTTAATGGCATTTCTAACTGCTAAAATATGTATTTATAGCCGACATTCTGATTTTGACGCATTTTAATAAACTAAAAATTAAAATTAAAAAAAAATACTCACCACCATCGTGAAGTACAATTTTTTTAATATAAAATATATATGAAAAAAGTACAAACGTATATTTGTATGTATACAAATAAATATTTTGCCTTTACTAATAACTAGGCGTTGAAAAAAGTTTTTTGTTTGAATTGTATTAATTGCTTAAAATACCACTTGCAACGCTCTTGTTCCCAACATATTGAAAATAAAATCGTAACTGAAAAGTTATTACATTTTATATCACACAAAATATGTCCACTGGGAACCTGATATCCTTGAATCCAGTGCTTAGAGAAAAAATAACATGTTATTCATTTTTACAAAAATATACTTCCTACGTCTTACGATTTGCATACCCGTGTTACGGTTAATTCGAGATTATATATTATTATGTATCGTAAAATCACTTTTAGAGAAGAATTTATTTTTAAAATGTTCAGGTACAGTGGATTTATCGAATTTTCCTTAAAGTTATAGAATATTGCACTATTTTGTGTCTATTATTTATAACTATTTTTCTCGGTATATTTGGAGACTTTTAGCAGCTTTCTCTGGCATAAATGGGCTTAAACTCGGAAAGTAGAGTTTTTATAAATTAATTGGTGTTGATGTAATACTAATGTTAATTGAATTTTAATATGATATTTACCAATTTTATTATGTTGTTGCGGAAGAAGGGCATTTTTTTAGTTTTCTATATCACGATAGACCAAGCAAATTAATCAAGAGAGAAGTTAATTTGTATTTGCACGAAGTGTTTATTAAGGAAGTTTCTTTGGGGATTTTCACTTTCAACCTCCTTCCCAATCATTTGTGTAATCAAATTTCATGTTCTCGCTGGAAATAACGAGTTTTAAATAACCATATATAGACTCATAAGTAACTTATTCCCGTGAGTAACGGAATTAAAATTTGTTTGGTATTTTTTAGTATCTCAGAACTATTTTTATGTCAGCGAAAATCTCGAGAACTACTTTACCTAGATTGATAAAATATATTTTACACTATTGCTTATTATTAAGTATATAGATGTTACCAAATAATAACTATAGAGTCACAAAAATGTCAACAAATCAATAGAATGTTTTAAAAATTAATCGCGTCTAAAAAAGGCCAATATAAGTATTCTGTGAATATTTCGAATTTCTACGATTATTTTAGATTGTTAGCCAAGCGAGGAATGTTATTCCCAGAAATTATATGAAAATTATTTTTTTTAAATTAAATTAAAATTGTTTTTAAATTTAAAAATAATCAGGGTATCAAGTATACATTACACAAATTAAAAAGTTATTTACATTTATTGGTATACATAATATACCATAATAACTTTTAAAGTCTACTCATAAACTATTATGTTACTCAGGAAATAAAAATGTAAATTTTACTATATACATTAAACCTTTTTAAGTTTTAATTAAAATATCCACAATTTTATATTCTAAGCTAAACAAGATTGATATTTTGGTTTTACAATAATGTATTGATATGTGCTTTTTTTTTTTTAGCCCCATTGTGAGCCATTATTTGGGGGTTGGATTTCGGTTATTCGAGGTGCACACGGACCCGTTCGTACATTTGAGTATCCAAGTAAATGTCCAGACGCATTTATCCGATGGACTCGAATGTGGATCGAACACAAAAAAACAGAGAAACATTTACTTTTATCATAAAACATTTTACACGAAAAGTTAATTTGAAAATAATATGCGATCGTGACGAAATTATAAAATTTCGAAAAAGAGGCACATCCCGATACTTTATACTTTGCTATGCTATCGAAATCGAGTAAATGCAGATGATATATTCGTATTATACGGATATTTGATGCCGCCAGGCACTCCGTCTTGTTTTTTTTCTCAATTCACCGCACAGCTTATTATTATAATTATTATTCTAAATTTGATGGTCATAAATCATAATATTCTTTATCAGCGATTATGTGAGAATTATTCTTGTATGCCAATAGACCAATCGTTTCAGCGATACTAATTATTTTAATTTTGATAATCCACATTTTGCGTTCTCTATACTGTAGATTGCGTACGTTAATTTATTTATTTAATTAATTGTTGGCGTACACATTGTTCGCAACAATATCCTCGAGCGTTCAAATCTTAACGAAATTTTTGAACGAGGCTCAGACGAAGGACATTCAAACGGGTGCACCGAAACTAAAAAAATATTATTACACAAATATAAATACAGTGCACACTCGTGTTGTGAAAACATGTACACATAGTATTTACACGGATCGTTTTCTTAAAATAAACCAGTTTCTATAACACAAAGTGGTTTTTTTCTTTAAACCCTCAATCATTATCTCAGAAAATGTATTAGGTAACACAGCTTTGTAATGTTTTTTTTTATCCTTTTATGTTTGGCGGTAAACCGGCACAATAGAATTTTGATTTTCAAAATTTATCCTACACATTTAATGAGCTTGGTCTTATTACATGCAGAGCGGCCATCACCAATCATTACCGTTTTGAAAATCAAAAGTCGGCAGTGGTTTATGTGATTCGTCAGGAAAAACGAAAGCGTGAAAAAATAAATGCACCTAATGTGACATTTGAACATCACACGTACCTTACCTATCGGAAATTTCCGGAAAAGTGTTCAATTATTAATAAAAATTAGAATCTATAGATGGCTGATAGCAAAACGTTACATTTTAAATGTATTATTATTTATTTTGTTATTAATGAAGTATAAAATATTGATTACCTATTTAATTTAAAATTGATTTTTCTTTTTAATTTATTTTATTGTGTTAACTATTACTAAAGTATAATTACTTAAAAGAACAGCCAACCTATTCGGAAACACGATTTGCTTGTCGTTTCTATAACAATTTATTACAGATCTCAAGTTTTAAAATCTCAGCTATAATGATAGGCACTCATAACACTCTAGTAATCATGAACAAATGATTTTAATACAAATTATAAGAACTATATAAATAGTTACTATATTTACAAAGAAACAGCAAAAATTATAAATGTTAATAAATTAACACTTTATTTGGATATATTTTTAATAATATTTATGAATAATAACTATAGAAATTTGGATTGTAACATAATTATAACAAAAAAGATAGACATACTTCGTACGACGGGTGGGCCACTGTTGTAGCGCCATATAGGTGAAAATTTGAGAAGGTAGGCTATAGAGGAGAATTTAATTTATATTATTAGGTACGCAACGATTAATTATTGCTAACGAAAAACGATTCGGAGCGAAGTTCGGTTATGCATGTTTTAAAAGGCCGTAATATTTACGATTTTTGTCAAAATTAGATATTAAAATTCTTAAAAAAAAGAATAGGCATTACATTAAATCCAATTTTTTTTTTAAACCACAAAATTTGACCTATATTGAATCACTTGTTAAATTTTCAAGCACTTTTGTTCAGACCAATAATTGTATCCATAGAGTACTTACCGAATACAAATTACGTAAAAAACCAGCAAAATAAAACTGTCTATAAATACTTATCTCAACCGTTTTAAAATGTCACCACGTCTAGATAAGGCAAGTATAAGTGTTGTATATACATAATAATAATACATATTTTTAAGAAAAAGTAAATATTAATGTCTGAAATCGGATTCTGTTGTTATTAATAAATGTGCTTAATTATTTCGCTATTTTACATAGAACAATAATGTACACAAATATAATTCATATTTTTGTGAGTTTATGACGTCAAATAATTTCTATTATACAGAACATTCAAGTAATAAGGAATAAGGGACGAATTGGCAACTATCCACTATTTCGCCAGTAGATTTTCATTGAACTTCCTGTGTTCTCGTTGGTAGTTTTTGGTAATATTTAATGATGCGAAGGTGTATAAAATTGGATGACACATAGCGTATAGAATAATTTTATTGCTGTCAACTATTGTAGTAATAATAAAGTATTACAACTTACAAATATCTTACCGCTACTAAATAAAAATTACAATTAACCATCTACAATATAATTTGTAATAGAAGCAGTATTTTTCATCAGTATGAGGGGCAAATTATAGGCAAATTAATCGGGAACACTGATAAGACATTTTTCGCCACTCTATTTGTTCAGTATCCCGTAATGTCGTTTATAGAATTTGCTAGCAATCATAGCTCAAGACACAACTTTGGTCACTTTCGATAATGTAGAAAGTTAACTAACGAATACACTAAAAATTATGAATTTATATTAGTTTTTCAAATTATGAATTTATGATAGTATCTAACCCAAACAAAACACAGGTATTTTGCTCCTACTTATACGGAACAGTGGCGCTAAGAAGCGTTTTAATATAGAATAACTTGAAAAAATATTGCTGAACACTGACCACTCCGTGTATCTAGCCATAGATGGCTCATAGCTATCTATGCGTCATTTTAAATAGACCGCTGATATACAAATTATTACACCATTTAAATCAATAATTGTTGTAACGTAGAAATATTCTTTTTAAGTGAGAATTTCGGACTACAGAGTTCAAAGTCTATAGGTATGCAACATTTTTACACTTATTTTACGAAAATGTTCTTCGATGATTTTTACGTGTTAAAAATAAAATGTTTTCCTAACCACGACGATTTGCAAAATATTGATTAAAGCGAATAAACCGTCACCGTTTTTCGGTATACATACAGTGCGATAAGCTGATGAACTAATCGAATTTCATAACATTAATTCCTTGTTTAATTATGGTAATTAAAATATAATTTATAAATATTGTTTTTGAACAATATTTTTCGTTTATTATTAATTAAACGGATTACGTTTCTAGTATGTACACACAAGTGTTTTACTATTGCTTATTTGACGGTTAAAATTGAATATTATAATTCAATATTATTACAGTTGCTTTTTATAGAGTTGAACAATATGATTTCAGGGGGTTTCAATAAAAACAATAAATACCGCTGAATCACAATTAGTTAATTATATTGATCAAATAAAATAAAATCATAACCTATTTTGTAGGATGTGTTGTTGATTTTTAAAAGATCAAAATATTGTGCTATTTAATCGTTTTGTATGTTTTTCAGATTTTTAATTCTATTCAAAACAAGTTCAAATGATATCAAAACTATTCATTGGTCAGTTCAGTTTTAAACATTTTTATTTCCAGTCGTCAGTCGTTAGTATTGTCACTTATGACGGCATTAAGACTAGTCATAATAATAATTAAAATAACATATCGAAGCAACCAAAATTACAGAATAAAGTAAAACATTAACAAAGTAACATAAAGTTGCAAACTCATCCTATAAGCCAAGCTTGTGTTTGATGAGTTGAGTTTATAAATTAAATAAAGTTAATAAAATCAAACAAACAACATATAACTTCAATTGAATTTAAAATCAAAAAGTTAAATTATTGTATACGAAGTATATGATTTTTATAATGTTTAATATTAATAAAAGAGAAAATATTTATGTTAAATTTACATGATAATAAAATCCTGAATAAAATCATAATAATAAAAATAATAAAATAATTATAGGGCTATAATTCCCAAATTTGGTTTTATTAAAAATTGCATTTATGTTAAGTTATTGATTTTAAATCTTGTATTATAAGCTTGAGATGGTTGATAATCACTAATAATAGATTCAATTTTAAACATATACAATAAAGTTTGACGTTCATATTGCAAATTAAAAGTTCAAATATTAAGATCAGAATACAATAAAATAGTTGAATATAATCTAGGTTTATTTAAAATAATTTCAATTAAAGAATTAATAGTAATATTTAAGACATTAATATGGCTAGAATAAGTACCACCCCATACCAATAAACCATATAAGTAGACAGATTGTGCTGAAGCTAAAAATACTCTAAAAGTTTTCAAGTCTAATATATTACATAGTATTTTAAATTTATAAAATAATTCTATGCTTATATTATTTACTGAATAGATATGTTCTACAAATTTAAGCATATGATCAAAAATTATTATTAACTAAAAATCGTAGTAATCCCATTATTATTAACTAACAATACGCCTACCTAATACAAGTCAACTTTTATGCAGTGGACATTAGCTTCAACTTATACACTATTGTTACTTAAATTGAAATAACAACACTTAGTCGATTAAAAGGTGTTGTACAAAAAATTAAAATTAAAATTATTATAAATAATATATTATTATAATTATTATAATTGTACTATATAAATATTTTACTGAAAATATTTTTCTTCTCCCACCCAAAAGAACAAATATTAGAAATTTTTGCTCTGGACCAGAAATCAAACCGGAGTCCTCTTCATAATTAGGATTTCCTATAGATATTTTCATGGAATTTTAAAATAAAATTCTCAGAAATGAGCTTTTTTATAAAACTATTCTTTAGTTTTAAAAACACACAACATTATGACTGTGTAATAATGTATCGATCGCTATTATATTTATGTTTATATTTATATTTCTTACTCGGGCCAACACAAAAATTGTGTAAAAAACATTCTCGAACTTGAAAGGTTTAATTCAAAATCAATTAATTTAATTTTAAATTTTAATAAACTATAATTAGGGTTTATCAGGTAACAGTACACTTGCAACTGATTATAATTTACAAGTTACACCAACATTAGATAGCTGATTACAAACAAAAATTACATTACTAAATTTATTAAAATTTACAAGTTAAGTACAAATGTTTAATATTTTTTATAAAACAAAAAAAATAGTAGTTGTTCAATAAAATACATTAGATTATCTAAAATGCATAAATTAAAAATAAATAATAATTATGATAACTATTTTAAATAATATAACTACGTAATACAGCCATACTGGTATTAAACAATTATATTAAACATAATAATGACTTTACATATTTAAATACAAAATAACTTCCGCAGTAAACACAATCATCAAATCATTTACAGATGGGTTATTAAATGAAAAATCATAAAATATTTATATATTTTGGTATTAAAATGTGTATTCTTTTATTTTAAGCTGCAATTATTAATAAACAATAATTATTAGGAACAATTTTAACCTTTGCACTAGTATTACGATAAATATTTCTAAAATAATAATATCACTTATTCACCTAAACTCAACTATGATTTCATGAACGATTTTTACTTTTTATTTAACTTACCTTTCGGTTTTACTTTACAGCAATAGCAATTGTACGAGTATTCGTAGGGCACAAAATACGTATTACTTGCTCCACCACATTTAATGACTGCTTTTTTGTGTTTTTTCCAACAAAAATGACTTTCCTTACAAGATCTTGTTGATAAAATGAAAAAAAAACAAATAATAACAATCGAAACCATAAAATATTTGAAAAAAAACATCATCTTATAAGTGAATCGTAGTGAATTTTGATATTTCCTCACACAACGGTAACGTCCAGTCAATAATATTATTTCATAACTAGCTATTGATGTAACAAAATTAGATTAGTAACATTTAATTTAGGTACAGTGTTTTTAAAATGAAAATATGAAACGAATCAACCACGGTAAGTTAAACTGACACATTCAGTATAATTTAGCGGACATCGCATGAAGAACGTTAGAGTCGTGACGATTTGCAAAATGTCGATTAAAACATTACCATTTTTCTATGGAGTTAATATATACACTGCAGTACTCCTAATAATTCATTACTATTCAAATAGTACCTACATGGAAAATACGAGTATAAATTATTAATAACTAAATTATTGTTTAAGATATTAATATTTTTAAATGTTTATTTAATGATTAGGCAGGTATATGTATACACAATTCACAAATGTTCTCTACTATTACCCATTTGACAGATGAATATTATAACAAGTGTGTGTTTTATAAAGTTAAACAATTAATATAATATGACTTCAAGTTTGATCACGATAAATTGTATAATAGTATATTGTGATTTTGTTTGTATGTGTGTGTGTGTTTTTATCATCATTTCAGATTATAGAGCTGTTTATATTTGTTGTACGCAGTTTTTTTGGTTTTTCAGATTTTCTACAGTTTAAAATTATTTATGACAAGTCAGATGATTTCTTAACTTAAAAAGAAAATCTTCAGTTTAGATTTGATGCATTATACATTTTTTTTAATAATATTTTTATATTCTGAGTGGCGCGAAGAAGTTTATGGTTTTACAATGATGTTTATTTTTTTTCTGTGAATAATTTTTTTACCAGAAATCTTACTCCGATTTACAAGTGTAGCACTTTTTCTGAAAGTAAATCTGACTGAGGTGATACTTTAGAGAGTTGTTTTTTCAATAAATGGGAAAAACCAAGAAAAAATAGGAGGAAAAACGGGAAAATGTACGAAATGTAGGTATTTCTACCGGCAATTTTGCTCCGATTTACAATAATACCTAGTACTTTTTGAAGGAGAATCTGACTGGAGAAATACTTTAAGGAGGTCATTTTTAATTTTCCAGCTGTTTTCATAATAAATAAGATAAAAAAAACGGGAAATTCAACCATAAGTTTAATGGGTCAGTGAGCCGATAATGCGTTTACATAATCTTATTTATAGGTCATGTTTGATAATGATACTTCTTGTAATGTATTATCATAATGCTCATCATCTTCAAGTAATCCTAATGCTTTGCAAGCAGATTGAAAATTAAGATAAACTATGCGATTGATTAAATACTCCAGGTGACTTATTTATTTATATATTAATTTACGAGTATTAACCATTTAATAATTTTGTTTTTACTTTATTATTTTATTAAATACTATTTGTTACAAAGAAACTGTTTTATTTAAAATTCAATAATTGTATATTTACATCAATTCATTTTAAAATGAATATATAAATATATATACAATCATTATTGTATACAGAAAATAATATTGTTACAGTATTTCAACTTTGGTGAAATGGTGACACTGAAAAAAGTCTATTTGTGATTCAATTTTTGTTCAGATTGCCACCACTATATTACTCTATGTAATGATAGTTACAATTTTCAGAAAATCGATGAGAAGCCAGTCACAATATTTCAATGTTGTCAATCTATACAAACGAATTTTTGAAATTTGTTTTTCATTTTATGAATAACTGCCAATCGATCTCCCCGAAGTATCATAGTACCATATTTTAGTATTTCGTATATTTCCATAACTGTATTTTCGCGATAAACGATAAGTACCTAATTCCAATACGACTATACCCTATACATTAATAAGCTATAATGTTAATGTGTTATACCTTTCACCTATAATGCTCTTTACTTTTTCTTATAACCTACCCGACGTGGTTTTGAACAACAAATCGAGGGTTATTTTCGATTAAAATTGTCTGAGTGAGCACAACGAGCGAGTGACTACCTTGATACTCTAGTTCCACTTATAATACTTTTTCAATTTTCCTTGCTACTTACCCGGTGTGGTTTTACCCAAGACCAGTTATCATGAATACATAATTTGAAACAATATTTTTTTCTGCGTTGTTGGTGTAACTAAATTTTTAATTCAACTTTTTTTTCTTAACGTTGGCGTTCGTGCAGACCGATATGGCTACAATTTTTTATCATTTTTTCTGAAAACTATATACTATCCTCTATGTTTTAGGCTCTGCAGTGTTATCATAACTACGTGATACCTAATCTATCATTTAGCGGGGAATATTTCAAATCAAATTGTACATATTACCACAGATATAGGTAATAAACTAAATTATTACCTATATATATATAAAACATATTATAATGAAAAATAAATTATACACGTAAATCATTAATCAAAATGAATGTATAAAAAAATACAATTATTTATAATTATTAATTAATAATAATGATAAACAATATTTGATAGTAACATGTAAGAAAAAATAAAAATCTGATTGAAATACGATCTAAAAATAAACTATATCCAATACCTTTAAAAAAAAAAACAATAAACAAATGAGCATATGCATTTTAAATGTTATGATATGAAAATATTTTTGATTTCATGAATTATGATAAAATATATATGTGTATAATCACAACGATAAAAATTGATAAAATACCATAGCTCTCAACTAACATAGTAGAAAAGCGGCGTCGACCGACCAGCTTGTGAATTTTACTAGTTAACAATCTAGTTTATTATCTTTACCTGTGTTTTTAAATATGTTGTAAAAAGCTGCATGTTACTGGTGATAATCTCGTGGTGATAATATTTATTAATTGTCTACCACACATTGTACTACAGATATACTCGTACTAGATGTCGGACTGAGGTTATTACAAATCGAGGATTTATTTTATTTTCAATTACTTAAATGCGAAATTTCGATTTTACCTTTTTTCTTTATCATTTTATATAATAACCGTTTGACCCTCCAGTTGGTTGTGTTGATCCTGTAATTCAATAATAATAAAATTAATAATAGCTACACAATTTTAAACCAAAAATCATATAAGTTATAATGATATAAATTGACCATTGAATGTTTATATTATTCGTAAAGAGTTAAATCTAAGTTTTAATTTCTTTTTAACATGCCTTTGTCCGTTTAATAACAAATAAATAAAATAAATGGTTCATTTCTACTTTTCAATACCTAGATATTAGGGGCAAGGAATAAGTGCTATGGAATTATGGAAAAGTTGATTTATTGCAATGAAATCGATACAGTAGGTATTCCACTAATAACTCTATTAGTTATTATTAGGGCTCGGATTTCAATTCATTTGCATCTTTTTTTTTTGGAATGTCTTACACGATGTTTTCCAAGCTACAAATGTATTTCAAGAACTCCATGTTGTAGCTTAAAAAAATGTACGGAGCATTTTAAGACATTTTTTACTTATTTATCGTATTACGAATAAAAAAAATGACTTCATTGAAATATAAATAATTTTATTTTGGATATTACATCAGGTTTTAAATTAGACAATGCAATTTTTATTGGAGTATTTTCTTACCGAGCGATAATATTATATCGGTTGTGCTTGTGGCCTATTGTGGAACGCTTTTAGTCCATTTAATTTATTAAAAGGGCATTTTTTGATATTTTTAGGGTATTTAAATCCGAGCCCTAGTTATTATATTTATTAATTCTGTAGACCAGCCTTTAACAACTTCTCTTATTCGCGTACCCCTTGACCTCTCACTACTGCTTTACGGACCCTCAAATGTCAATTTGTCATTTATTTTCACATAAGATAGATATGAATTTACGAAATAATAAAACGAAAAATTTGGAAATATTATAATACGCACATAAAATTAGATGAAATCCAGTGTACACGTACTCCCGCTTAATGATATATTTCATATTATACTCATATTATACCTATGTACACACCTATGTATAATGAAGAACCGATTTAGAATCACAATAACACAAATATCAAATACAACAATTTTCACTTTTTCCACCATTAAATTTTTTTGTCATGAACCCCTTAATACCTACTTGTATAAGCGTACTTTCAGGGGAAATGTTTTTTAAATATAATTAATATATTTTGAAGAAAAATATTCTCTTTATTTTACTTATTTTTTACTTTTTATTTTTATAATATGATATTATGATCAACATTCGCCATAATAAACAATTAAAAATACAATTAAAAAGAACTAATACTGAGGATGGGAGCGGCCACTGTTGTATATGAGAAGTAGGTTAGGTAAGATACATAAGGTTATTTCATTTATATCTGTAAGCAACGATAAACCATTGCTTAATGAAAAACAATTCCGAACGCAGTTTGTGCCGTAATTTTTTTTGCGATTTTTGTTTAGATTTGATTTCAAAATGCTAATTAAAAAAAAAGCCGTCCAATAATTTTGGAAATTTTACCACATCTAGATAAGTTCAACATAAATATTATTACCAAGTTTCAAATCTCTACGTGTATTTATAACTGAAAAACAGTTAAAAATCTCTAAAAAATTTAAATTCCTTAAAAACTCAAAAGTTTTAGCGATGATACCGTAAGAAAGCAAATCATAAAGACAACAAAAAGGGTATTTTGTAATTTTTTGATTAAACCGATTTTTCTGGTAGAAAAGGCCGTCCGTGTTTTCATAAAATAATGAAATCGTGAAATTTCACGTTTTCCTAAGTTTTTCCCACTTAAGTACTTTTATTTACATATTGGCGTCGAAAATCAAAAAGTAATATCTTTAATGTACTGTATGTAGACAACTTGAGCTTTCAGAAAAGTAGCTACACATAAAAATCAGACCCAGTTTACTAGGAAAAAACATGTCCACAGACTAGAAAAAAACGAAAGAAAAAATAGACATCTTAGTAAAACGAATAGCTCTCTCGCTACGCTCGTATCTAAAAATAGTTACCTACTTAAGCTTAAGTATATTTATTTATTTTTTTTTAAATCTAAATATCCACAATCTATGCACGATTCTTTAAAGTGTAGATACTGATAGTTTACCTGATGTAGGTGCTGGTGTTTGTGTTGGTGGAGATGCTGGTGTTTGTGTTGGTGGAGATGCTGGTGGAGATGCTGTTGGAGATGCTGTTGTTGGTGTAGATGCTGGCGGAGATGTCGATGTAGGTGTTGGTGTAGATGCTGGTGGAGATTTCGATGTAGGTGTTGGTGTAGATGCTGGTGGAGATGTCGATGTAGGTGTTGGTGTAGATGCTGGTGGATTATAATTTGGCATACTTGTCTGAGATGGTACAGGCGTCTTAATTGGTATAAGTATTGTACCATCGCGCATCCGTTTTCCCGGTGTATGCCAAACATTGTCCGGATCACCGGGTTTCACTTTACAGCAATGACAATTATGTTGAAAAGTATGTTTAACAAAATATGTATTATTTTTTCCTCCGCAATGTTTTATCGCCGATTTTTCTCTATGGTAGCAGTAGTTTTTATGATTGCAAGACGTTATCGAATTTATTGAAATATAAATAACTACACAAAATATAATGTATTTTGGTATTTTATAGTTCATGTTAAATCCACAATTTATAAATATATATAATTAGTACAGATTATAACTAGTAAAAGCTGGAAACATATAATACAATATGACGAAAACTATTATAATTTTAATCACTAATACTGATAAATATAATTTGCACGAAAATTCATTTAAATGCCTCGATATACCAATTGTACTGCAGGTATTATTGTAGTACCAATATATATTTTAGCCTAATTAATACTACGCCATCTGATTTAATTGCTATAGCTGATGCTAATAAATTACCTATGTAGACAAATTCATACAAAATCAAATTTATTATTACTAGGAAGCTGTGAATTGAATGCATTTGTCTATTTTATTTTATTTTATTTTTTTGCTACATCAAATAAGAAATTAAGTCAAAATTAGTTTTGTGTTGTTTATAAATCTAATACAAAATCTTACTTTATATTTAATGGAATACGACACATAAACACATAGTTGATGAATTATTTATTATTATTTGATTAATTAATTAATTATTAATTGATGATAGTTAATTCTTTGAAGTTTTTTTCTTCTTAAAATTTACTTTTTTCTATTCAGCCAATCTAACTTAAATATTGTTATTTAAAATATAACTTAAAGTTTCGATGAAAATTTTAGCAATATTACTATAATTCTGTACTTTGATATTTCCATATGAAGCCAAATTATTTTAGGTTAGATATTTAACTAATTGTTATCTTTTTCTTATGCACAAATCAGGTAATATTGTGTAACGGATTCGCATATTATGCCTATGATATTTACAATCGTCAATAAATAACTTAAAAATAATTACTCATAAAAGGCTTTTATCAGGTTTTAATTTTGTTATAAAAATTAGTGCGTATTTTTACACTCTTTGAGAATTTAACTTTTAGAGCATAATATTTAGTAGTATTATTAGTATTTAGCTAGTATTTTAGTGCACCTATATTATCTAGATTATCGATCACGCGAATTGTTCTACTTGTAGTTTATTTCATATATTCGTATACCTACTATAATATACCGTGCTTAACGAATCGGGTATGATTCAATAGTCGTGTTTCGCATCTAGGTTCAGTTAATTTTGGAGAGCAGTAAAGTTAATCCATAAGTTAATCATTATAAATAAATATCATAATTCTGTCTTTATATCAAAAATTGTTATTTGTAGTGTTAGGTTAAGTTAGATAAGGTATAAGCACAAATATATTCTTATATAATAAAATAATTAATAACCTAAGATCGTAATACATGTTTATTATTAAACAGCTTTAAAATATCTTAGCATCTTGTACATCACATATATGTAAAACTACAATATTCAAGATGTTTACTGATATCTTCTTCATCATCAACTAATTATCTAATTGTAATGAAATTCGCGTATCATATTGAAAACTAATTAATTGAGAACTGATCGATCTTTATAAAATATATTGTACGAGTTTCTGCACTAAATTTATCGAAAACCCCCTGAAGAAATATTATTAGAACCAGACGCATTAAACAACTTTCTTTTTATAAACCTTCCTCTTTCGTTTGAGTATAATGTACTTTCTTTGGATTAAGTTGATTTATTTTATTTTCATATAATATACTACAAATTAGCAGTGGCGGATTTAGTTCTTTGCTTATGGCCAATATTCATTATCATATATAAATTATATATACATGCCTAATGTCCATACATAAATAGAAATTAACGTAATTAATGTAGGCGTAGAGTAAAACAAAATATCTAAGAGGACCATAGGTGCCGTGATTCCCCTCCCCTAAACGCCGCCTCTGCAAATTAATAAATTTGATACATGTTTTTTTTTTTTAAAGATACAAGCAAATCTATCATAATTTATTTCTAGTATTTCTATAGCTTATTAGTTGTTGATATAGAAAAGTAAAATATTTAAGTTAACTTTCATAAATAAGTAGGTCATAAAATTTGTTTTTTTTTTAAATTGATAAGTTAATAAGCGTAACAGGCACACAATATAAAGATATTCGGAGGCCTGTGACCATGGCTCTCCTGGCTCATCCACGCCTGTTTACAACCGAAATTGAGAAATTTAAGTTAAATGACCATAACACAGTGGAATTAAGGAAAAAAAAAACAATATATTTATTTTACGCATTATAATATAAAAAGTAATATTATTGCTTAATACTACTTATTATATAGTACCATGCACGATCTATATGGTACCATAGTACCTACACAATATTTTAATAGTATTGACTATATTATAATGAATTCAATCACACATCATGAGCGCAGGCAGTGAGCTGGTTTTTGTTATTATTGATAAGAACATTAGAGGTCACTTTTTCGTGGATCGTTGGCAGTGGCGGCTCGTGGGTTTTTAATGAAGTAGTGCACACCCAAAAAAAAAAAAAATATATAACCAATATTAAACATAATATATTATAAATTGTATTAAATAATTGTTTACAAACTTTAGTTATTTACCAATTACCTTTTATTCTTATTTCCATTCTTTACCCAAGCGACATCATTAAATTTTTGACCAAAAAGTAAACAGGGAAAACAATACAAACGATTAGTTTCTGAACAACCATAAATCCAGTCATAGGTTTTATATATATTATTATTAAATTTTCTTACATATTCTCTCGTTTTACATTTAGTAATTTGTTTAATATTTAAGTCTGGAGTAGGCCTACCTTTATTTTTTATTTCAATCTTTTTCTCCAACGAGATTGTTGAAAAATTGCATNCACGAATAATAATAAACGTAATGTCGGTCGTCGATAGAAAACAGAAACACGATTGTTGTTTTGAATTTCCGATAATGATTGACTAGCCAATATTATCAGCTGATAATCGGAATATAATAAATGAATGAGAGTAAAAATAAACTATAATGCTGATGCCGACGCGCAACGACACGGCGACGTCGAAAATAATTCGCTGATAACAATTTAATTGGTTTTGTGCACAGAAACAAATGTGCACACTAATTCCATTATAACGCGGGTTGCGTGTTTCGGCTTGTTTTAATTTTTACACTGTACAAATGTGCACAACGATTGTGTGCACAACTCTCACCACTATAATACACACCGATACTGTTCCGTCGCGGACAACAGTCCGGCTATTTGGCAATCGAAATAACGGCAAACTAAATATTATATTATTTTCATAATATTCTGAATTTATAATTTTATATTTTTAAAAATAATCTTAATAATACTACAGGTACTTAGTAGTTAGTTGTATTATTATGATTTATGTTTTCAATTTTTCTTGAGTTTGGGTAGGTAGTGCACGTGCACTTGTGCACATATAAACGAGCCGCCACTGATCGTTGGTCAACCATAGTATCTATAGACGTGATATAATCAAACATTAGTATGAGTGATAGCACATGTACTCGTATGGAACACGCCGGACGCCGTTGTTTGTTATTTTATTGAATACCGAGTAATATTAGTAAACTATATTATACATAAACAAAATACATAAATTACAAATTATAAAATTTGTGTGGGATACATAAAAATAAAAGACTTAAGTAGAAAAATAAAACCGAATCAATAAATCATTTGATTTTTCCCAATAAATGGGAAAAACGTAGCAAAAACAGAAAAATAGGTACAATATTAAATAAATATTATTAAAAACTTTATAAAATAATGCATACGTATGTAATTATTTTTCCACAATATGACATATATATTATTTACAATGCAACACTATCAACAGAACTCCGCTTGGAATCGTTTTTTCGTTAGAAGTGATTAATTTTTGTTTACAAGTGTACATTAAATTATCTACAACAGTGACTACACTCGCCCCCATCATCCCATTATCGTCTTTTTATATCTTGAATCAACGGCCAGTGGCCTGTGGAAGAAGTGTACATGATCACGGTACATACACTTACATACACATTCAATTTCTCCTATTATCTAATTACCTATAAAAGTGGCTGGTGGCTGCACTCGTCCCTAGGATAGCTTTTTTTTCTGTTTGTGAACAACTTTTTTCCTATAAAACTTGCACCGAAATATGAACCCCTTTTCTGAAAGGTGATTTTCTCTCGTTTGTGCATTTTTTGATAATAAAAAATTAAATTTGATAATATAAAGGGATTTTCGAAATGATCGGGAAAAACCGAAAAAAATTATATCTATATTTTTTTCGATTAAGTCAAATATTTAAAATACCAAACATTTACGGGGCGACGCGCCGCAGCGTTTCCTTTCATTGTTTTTATTATATTTACATGATGTTTTCCCCAATCCAAAAATGACGAAAAATTGATTATATTCCTTTTAATATTTGGCCACTGACAAAGTAAGCCGTTTTTCGACATCTAAAGTATTTTTTTTAATAATTATTGAAAAACTAAAAAAGACGAAATATAAGATTTTTTTTCCAAATTACAGCACAACGACTTATTATTTTAAATTTCTACGGCTTATTTTTTACCAAAAATATTGCTCCAATAGATAAACGACAACATACCTCTTTTGTTGAATTTTTAATCTAGTTAGCGAACAACTAATTATAGACATTTTAATTTTGCGAGTTTTGTACGTAATTGTTATTCAATAGGTACTCTGTGGGTAAATTTTTTAAACTAAACAGAATTGCTTGAAAATTTAACAGGTGGTTCCTTAAATGTCGTACTTTATGGTCAAAAACAAAATTGAGCTTTATGCATTATTTATTTTTATATCAAATTTTGAAGAAAATCGTTGGAGTAAAAAATCATGTGGAACAAATCTAGGTACTGGTCTTTCAAAATTTTTAAATTTTTTTAATTTTGTTCATATGTATACTCATTGCCGATTTAAGAACGATGGTGAAACCAGAATTGAGCAGACTCACTTAGTTTCGAAATTATAGCTTTTCGAAGTTCTAATATTATGTTGATGCAATATGTGTTGTATATGTTAATCTGTTATGCTAAATAACTCAATATTGTCAATACCATAGTATGTATGTTATAGTCTAATGGTGATAGGTACCTGATTGTCATCCCAGAAGTCGCAAGTTCAAACCCAAGTTCCGTAAAATACTTTTGAAAAACCACGTCAGATAAGTAACAGGGAAAAAACAAATGAATATTGTTTCAAAAAATAACATTGTGTGTAATGTAGTATTTTTTTTTTTATAAGTTTTAAAATTAAATATTGGCGAAAATCGTAAATATTACGGACTTTCAATACAATATGTATAACTGAACTTCATTTCTTCTGTGAATAATTTTTCTACTAGAAATTTTTCTTCGATTTTCAAATGTATAGGACATTTTCCTTGGGTGGTTCTTTTAGGTAGCCATTTTTTAATATCTTAGAGGTTTTCACTTTTCATAATAAATAGGAAAAACTGAGAAAAAACGGAAAATTTACGAAATGTATTATATTCAAATCATAAATATTACGACCTTTAAAATGATGTATGACTGAACTTTGCTCAGAATCGTTTGATCAACGTGTCAAAAGTTCTATAATAAAATAAATATCCTTTTATAATACTTTCCTTACGGCAAGAATTATCAACGTAATATACGATTGAGGAGTGTGGTTGGGGGGGGAGGGGGCGCTGTTCCCGTCATCGGTCGTTCATCAAGCCCGGTCGTTGGCATCAGCGGTCATGAATCGAGGTCAGCACACTTTGTATCCTCAAGTAAACCTTGACCGCGGCTTTAGATACTATGGTTGCATATTGAACCACAATAAGATTTCCTGCCAAACTCTAGAAAAGTCTAAATCTTTATGACGCCATCTAGTAGGTTCGTTTTGTCGATTTAGTATACTAGAGACACTTCTTGGTTTATCGAGTCTTTCTAGTAATAGGGCCGCGGCGCAGTCACACGGGACCAACTGAGTAATTCAAGCTAGTCTCCACTGCGAACGTTACTCTAGTACCTCATTTTAGATTCTGTGAGGAGCAATAAATTCTTTGGTTTACAAATTACATTATCAACCGAACTCCGCGCAGAATCGTTTTTTCATTAGCAATGTTTAATCGTCGCGTACAGATATTAATTGAATGTTCCCTCTTCTACATTCCCAACTTCTAAACCAACAACAGTGATCCATCCACGTGTGAAGTATGTCCGTCTTTTTTTCGTAATATTTTGATAAAAACCCTCGTTATTATCGCTGTATTTCGTATAGACTACAGCCGATATATATGTAACCATGATATATATTATGCCGTGCCCTTGACCCGACGCAGCCTGTACCACCGTCACCGACTTGTCCGCCAAAAATCTTGTCCGCGGTAAACCGGCTGCTGTAGTTCTGAGAAAGAAAAATGTATAACCGCATTACATTAGTGGAGAACTTGACACCAAGTTCCACGTTTGATATAAAATAAGGAAGTACAATATCCTTGTGCTTAGAAAACGGTCGTAAAACTACAAACACAGCCGCATATAATATAATATCCCAGGCTACGTATTTTTGTGTATATTTATTTATTTTTCTAAATTTATTATTTATTTGATATACAGAGTGATCAATTGTAATGCAAAACACTCATTATCTCAGAAAGTATTAACTTTTTCGGGAATTTTTTTTAAAAATGTATTTAAAAAATTTAAAAAACAATAAGTAGCTCTAAAATGTTACATTTCCCTTATTTTCTTCAACTTTTCGTTTGGGGGGTAATCCCACTACCAGATTTCAATTTTTAAACGACAACCTATATTAAAAACAAACACCATAAGTAAATGAAATGTACCTATTTAAAATAAATGTTGGTTTTAAAATATTTAATTATCGTTAACCCGTTTGAGGGATATTCCACTTTAAATCTAAATCGTTTTCTGCCGGGTAGGAAGGTATAAGTGAAACATAATTTGTGTGGCAACGTGGCACTACGGCTCCACTCTACAGTAGCAGTTTCACCCCAATAATAAGGTTGTCAAAATATAAGGGAAATGCAACATTTTAGAGCTGCTATTTGTTTTTTAAATTTTCCAAAGAAACAAATTTTAAAAATCCCGAAAAAGATAATACTTTCTGAACTAACGAGTGTCTTACGTTACATTGATCACTCTGTATACACATATATTTGAAACGTAGGTATTTATTTATTTATTATTCTTTGAGTATGTATTAACTTCCAATGCAATTTTTTTTTCATTATTTGACTGTGTACAATTTCCAATTCGTCACGACCCGTGGGTATATATATATATGGTATTTTATCCCGACAAAAAATATACTGACATTAAATATTTTACAATAACAAATGTCTAACGCACAACCGGTACAACATAATATTATATTATTATATTATTTCGATTACAAACGCGTATCGGCGATCACTGCAGGGTGTCGACAAATTAGACGTTTTTTAATTTAAAGTACGACGTTAGACCATATGCAATAAGAATTCTCAAAACGAATATTTGAAATCGAATTCTTATATTTTTTTAGAATTCTGAGTGATGTGAGAAATGTATTGGTTTTACAATGATTTTTATTTTTAATTTTTTTTTTTATACTTTTTAAGAAGAAATCTTCTTACACCAATCAAAACATGACAAGAGACTTTTTTTGTTGAATTTTGGCTCTATAGTTGGTACTTCAGAAAGTTCATTTTTGAAATTATCATTAACATTTTATGTTCTTTCATTTTGTATTTTAACTTCTCCAAATGAAATTGAAATACAATAATTATTTTAATTTCTATTTTTTTCGTCTAATTTTTGTCAGGATTTAGATCGATAAAATAAAAATATGTCAAATATGCATTTAGTACACTTTACGAAAAATTAAAAACTGTTTTCAGAATAATTCTTATCGCTTCATTAGATACGTCCAAATGAAAATTCTCTTAAAATTCCAAAATTGCGATTTAAGAAAGACTACACTAAAAAAAAAAAAGAAGATAATTCTCAATTAAAAATAATGACATAAACCCCCTTTTGAGGTGTGATTTAAATAATATTAAGGGATATCTGCTATGGCCAGCCATTTATTGCCCCTGAATACAGCATCATAACATATAAAACCTCGTTGTTTTCTTATTTTAGGCGAACGTACAATATATAGTCCGATTTGCCTTTAAAAACTTTATTAAACCACAAAGAGCCACAAGAAGTGTTTTCCAAAAATATCAGGGTAAAGACATACATAGTGTTCATGCTAAGAGATACCACTAAATATTTCAATCGGATGACCTTGTATTGAAATAAAGTTTTCAGAAAATGATAGAGAGTACAGAAATACATATTTTCCGACAAATTTTAAATTGTTAATCCTTTCGGTACGCACGTGTGCAATACAACTTACTTTTTTTTAAATGACAACACCATTTTTTTTTTCTACAGATTCGAATAGATTATTTTTTTTTAAACAATTTTTGTATAAAAAGTTTTTTTCTAAATACAAAATTGTCAAAGTTATTGTATGTTGAAATTGAATATTTACGAATTATCAGTTTTTGGCGAAATTTCAATCATGTTCAACTCATTATCGAAAATCTATATTATATCTCCAATACTATGAAATACCTGTTATTTGACAGATAAGATGTAAATAAATACTTAATTGTTTTCGTAATTTACTATCATTTATCTAACCTGAATGGCTCGACTTCGGCAACATTTGTCAATATTTAAGATAATAAATCCAGTTCGTTATCAATGTATTTTATAAATAAATGTTGATAAATTATTTTCCCTGACGAGTAACAATTATTTTAATAATTTGAAACTAGTACTGTGACAATTTGTAGTGTATAACATCAGGTTTTTAAGTGAGTAATTTTTGAAGTACATACCAAGTATTACCGTTTAAACTAAATATATATAAATGTTTAGGATAAACCAAACCAAGGTCTATTGCAATGTGCCTACTTTTTCATAATAATAAAAAAAAAAAAAAATCCTTCCTACTGTATTCTAACCGTATTAAATTGTTCGATACGCATTCAAATACGCACATGCGTTCGCATCGCAATAAAGACAATAAATATTGTTATACATGTCCGGATCTACACACACTGCAGTCGCGAAATACCGTCATAAACTCACAACCTTTGTCTCATTGTTTGTATAATATAAGTACCTACTAGTTCGAGTTTATAATATTGTAAGAGATTTTACGTACCTAGGTATAGGTAATCAAATCGAAATATTTGAAGTGGTAAAGGCGATCGATGGTACGTTTCGTCCTTTCGTAACAGCGCATAAAACGCATAAAACGAACAGCGCACTTATTAAAATCGGTTGATATAATTACAAATCGCTAAAAAATATATTATTTAATAAATTATCTATTCAAATTCGCGTTGTGCATTTTTGTTACAACAGTTTTTCCCTCTGTACACGTTATGACAACTCGCAATATACAATACATACAATAAATCTCAGTAACAAAACAAATTATTCACATTTACGAGAACACAGAGCTTATAATTTACCTATACAATACTCAAAAAAATCTTTTGGACAATCGTTTGTTGACTATTTAGATCCAACTTATTTTAACCAAATGCCAACGTTACAAAAAAAAATTATTCATCAAGGTAAAGCTAATGGGAAAAAAATTGTATATAAATGGTTATTCTCAAATTTAATAACTTCTTAATTAATAGTATTTTCGGTGATTTTGTTTTTGTTTTTTGTCTTATTTTGTAATCTAATTGTATATATTTAATTACTACATTGTTAATTGTTANAAAATCTTTTGGACAATTGTTTGTTGACTATTTAGGTCCAACTTATTTTAACCAAATGCCAACATTACAAAAAAAAAATTATTCATGAAGGTAAAGCTAATGGGAAAAAAATTATATATAAATGGTTATTCTCAAATTTAATAACTTCTTAATAGTATTTTCGGTGATTTTGTTTTTGTTTTTTGTCTTATTTTGTAATCTAATTGTATATATTTAATTACTACATTGTAAATTGTTATTGTATTTCCTCCATAAATATTATATTTTGCTTACTTAACTGTAAAACAAGTCATATTATTATATTTTTCATTTTATTCTGTACAAATTATAACTAACAAGTCGCATGTATCTAATTTTGTTTGATGTACATGATGTATTTAGATTTATATTTATTTTTGTTTTATTTTATCTATCAATTAATATCTATTGTTAACTCTCTACTCCACCACAAGCTTCGGCTTAAAGGAGTAGATATATCTCTTTATTTATATGATGTTTTGTATATTTAAAGAATAAAAATAAAAAAACAAAAAAAAAATTAAAAAATACCTGTATAATAATGAATGTGTATTTGACGGTTACACAACAGGCATCGAAAAAAATATACGATAAATTGCAACGACAAACCATTGCTAACGAAATACGATTCTAAGCGAAGTTCATTTACACAGAGAGTTTCATTTAAGTGGGTACACTCATTATCTCGGAAAGTGTCAACTCTTTTCGGAATTTGTTTTACAGAACATTTAGTAAACAAGCAGCTCTAAAATTTTACATTTATGTTATTTTTTGTCATTCTTATTTTGGAGGGTAAAACCATTACCTACTTTTGATTTTCAAACGGCAACCTTTATGAAAAATTCCATAAATATATAGACTATTAGCAAGGCCGGCGTTAGAGGTGGGCGACCAGGGCGCCTGCTGTAAGGGAGAGCACATCAACGATTAATCGTCGTACTCGATTAATTGAAGGGAGGACGCAAAAACATGGTTTCGCCCAGGACGCCGGCATGTGTTACTCCGGCGCTGAGTATTAGTCAAAATAAATTTTGGTGTCTAAATGTTTGATTTCCGTCAATCCATTAACGAGATATTCCACTTTTAAGTTTGGGTCGGAGGAGAGCAGTGGTTCATTATTAAAACGCCGTGCACTGTGCAGCCATACAAATGAAGCTCAAACTGTTTTGAAATGCTGTAATATTTTCGATTTTCATCAAAATGTGATCTTAAAATGCTTATAAAAAAAAAAATAAAACACTGCATTACGCTTTTATCTTACCACAGTAAGTACAACTCATAATGAACCTTGTGTTAAAATTCCCCAAGCATTACTGTTTGGTCAAACAATTATTATGAAAACTAGTTGGAAAATAAAAACATGACTTTCTTATTAACCAACTGTACCTAAAATGGAACAAAACAAGTTTCTTGTCATCTTTCGATTGCAGTGATATCTTTTGTAGGAAATATGACTCGTTAAGGTTTAATATAATGAAATCTCGCTACGCTCAGAATTTAAAAATACACATCAAAGTAAACCAATAGGTACATTCATGTTATACATTATGTTCATGTGTAAGTATATGTTTGTAGGTTTTAAACAAAATCTTAAATGTGTCTTATTTGATAAATATTCTATTCGATTAAAACATAGGACCAACTAACATATTTAAATTATTATAATTTAGGTATATCATATAATTGTACAATTATTTAGAGTACCTACCTACAAATGCAGATACAATATTTTGATAGGTATTTGAACACTTCGCCAAAAAGAGATTTATAAACAAATACTATATCAGATAGATATGCTATTGAAAAGCATTTCATATTTATAAATTCTTTCAAATAGGTACTTTTTAGATCTTGAAAGTATCAAGGATAATATTAGTTTAACTATGATTTTTTTTTTTCAACTTTTCTATCAGAAATAACAAGAGACCTTTTTTGTTGCTTTTTGGATATAGTTTGTGCATTGAAAAGGTTTATTTTTTGATTTTTTTTCCTTGTTTTTAAAATGATTGAGAAAAATTGTAATAGAACGAGAAAAAATACGGCTATTATGGTTTCATTTTTTAATTATTTATTAACATTTACAATTTCCAAGATTTTATTTTTTATTTGATTACATGTGGAATAAATATGTACGGATGAACGTTAACGATTTCATTAGTTTAAATTGTTTAAATTTTTGTTTTCTATTAGAAATCTTAATCAGAATTTCAAGAATAACATTTTTTCTGAAAGAAAGTTTTATCTAGTTGGTGTTTAAGGAAGTCGTTTTAATATTTTCCGAAAGTACAGGTTTGAGAAAAATTGAGAAAAATCAGGAAAAAAACATATAGTTAAAACAGGACAATTTACGACATTTAAGGTTTAATTATTTCAAATTTCGTTTTTGTTTTTTTTATTATAATTCGGTGAAAAATAATCGCAGAAATACAACGACTAAATTATATAAGCGTTTTCTAGATGCGGTCATTATTACGATTTTTCAACTATTTACATTTTTAAGTTTTTTTTTTGTTTTTATTTGGTTTTATATGGATAATTTTTTAGCCCAACGAAAATTCTGGAAAATTATTACGAGATTTATCATAAGTTGTACTTGAAAAACCAGGATAACACATAAGAAAAACGGGAAATTTACGAAGATAGTGCTTTTATTGTTTTCAATTTTTCATTTCTTTTAATTCAGTTTAAGATATTCGTATGGACTTTATGGACTTGTAATTTGGACACAAAACTTGTATTTGACTTTTATAGACGTGGTAAATTAAAACAATTATCTTATTTTTGGTAGCTACTTAATTTATTATGTTTCAAACACTTCAACGTGTTCAAGTTAATGTTTCGAAATAACGCTTTTGTTTATTTAAAATTAGTAAATTAATATTACATTTGGTTAGAGTATTTCTTTCGCAATAATACTTAATCAATAACGAAAAGTTGACACCGGCGAGTTGCAATGTAAAACATTACGTATCTAGTATAAAATATAAATACAATATACAACAGTACTTTGATCCTGTCGGTAAAGTAATTCTAGTTGGAAAATTGCTTTATTGTGACGCACAAATAACAGCTGTTATTTAGAGCCGATAGTTTGGAACCAGTTTAAAGACACGCGGATACTGAACGGCGAATTAGTTTTCAAATAGATATGTAGCGGTACGCGCGTAATTCACGCAGCATAGACCAAACAGTAGTCGGATTACTTTTGATTTTTATTAAAATTATTATTAATAGTCATTAGTTTTTATAATTATAATTATTATTATATTATTTAATCGATGGTTTTCAAACTCGTAGCGGTATATTTTTTAGTTGTTTGCCCGTTTAACAGTGATGGAGAGAGAACAGCGAAAGAAAGTAAGGAACATATATTATTATGTATATTTTAAATTTTAGTGATATTTCAATTAACGTTTCGAAGGAAATATTGGTTTTTCTGCCTTCAATCCTAAACTGTGCACGAATGTCACACAAATAAGACGTTTTCACTTGGTAATTTACCAAAATATTTGAAGTAAAAATATTCCACCGGGGCTAACCAAAAAGTGTTCACCTGGTATTAATAGTATCGTCTCAATAGTTACTTTCAATTTTATTAATAATTTTCATTTCATTTTGAAATTTATTATTATTTTTTTCTTTTTTCCGGAATGAACTCTAAATAACAATGGATATGAATTTTAATGCACTTATGTGATAATAATAAATAATGAATGGGGAATACATTAAGAACTTTTTAAAATTAATTTCCAAAACAGCGAGTGCATCTAACTTAACTTACTGATTGTTAAAATAATTGGACATTTTTAGCTCATTTTCCGGGCTATCATTTTTGTGGACCCGGAACAAATTTTTTGGAACGCATCTCTCGTGGTCAACTCGGTATCAATAAATTAGACGAAGCATGCCGATTGCACGACTCGGTATACACTAGTAGTACGGACTTGAAATTGAGAATAGACGCCGATATAAAACTGGAGATGCAAGCATGGGATAGGGTGATAGCGAAGGATAGCAACTATAAAGAAAAAATTGCAGCATGGATGGTGACGAACATTATAAAGATGAAACGGAAATGGAATACTCGACTTTTACGACGTCGGCGTGACTACACGAAAAGAAACGTAAGAAATTGTCTTTTACAAAATGTAATTTAATGTTCGTAATAATCAAAACTTCCAAATAATAATACAAATTAAAAATAAGTAGGCAGGCACTAACAAATTTGAACGAAAAATGTCTCAATACCTTGATTTAATTTTGTTCTTTCATTTTTTTTTTTTTAAATATTTGATAGCGTTTTTTAATTAATATACTTAATAAACTTATGTAAAAGATTATATTTCGCTACACCATTATGTCTAATGAATATAATTCATTTGTTATCGGATTTCAAAACGAATCGAAAAGATCATAGCTATATTAATTTACTTTATCGGTTATTTGGAAACACTGAAAAATCAGTGTTTTATACATACAAACATAATACATGGAATGAAAAATCGTTAAATGAATCATTTCGACGTTAGAGCAAATATGTTCTTTTAAGACGCACGCACGTACGTGGTAAAATCGGTAATAATTAATTTAATTTTTCCCAGAAGCTAAGTTTTATCTCGCATCAATAATAATTGAAAAAAAAAAACGAAACCATAATAACAATTAGTCGTACACAATTATTTCGCGTGTCTCTAATTGCAGGGTCTCGTGGATTCACCCCGCCAACGGATGTTTCTTCAACACAAATCAGTGTATTTGTACTTAAAATTGTAACGCCAGATAATATTTGGTGTATAATATTATATATACCCTGTTCAAAACTCAAACAAAAACAATTCGATAATGGCAAAATATTAACGGAATAAATTGTTTATATCCTTTGAAATTTACTTTTTACTCGCTCACAAAGTTCACGACATCGGGTCAAAATCTCCCAACGGCCACTATTATAATATACTTCATACTTTTTTTGTAATGCCAATAATTATTTTCATGATATTCTTTATCTACACCGCCTATTTCGCACATTTACAATTAAGCTGCAGGCGTACGTACGTTAACTAGTCGAATTTTTTCCAAGTTATTTAATTTCTGAAATTTTATCTCAAGAATTTTCCTAAACTCAACAAATATGTTTTTTTAGTACAACTTGAGTGTGTACATTAAATTCATTATGCATACATAGTACCAATCAAATATCATAACATTTTATTGTTTGGAATTTTCTCCGAAAAATATGAACGACCAGAAATTTCTATTTTAAACATTGTGGAAATTGCACGCAAACTATTTCTCTGTGGAGTGGAGCGGTGCCAAATGGTTTTAACCAATATTTCACATTATCATATACAGATACGCATTAAATTCATTTAAATTCACGCTTTCTACAACAGCTGGGTATATAGATACCATTTCATACGGGTGCAGTCTGCACGGCTACTATATGCGATTCCAGGGCGACTGACAAATCACCTGTTTAATATTATACTTATTCAAATTTATTGACCACAACAAAGACCTGTTTTATGCGGTTTCGGCAACTTTCTACACGGTGTACCCACTGTTTTTTATTTATTTTTTTTTTTATGTTTGTTGTTTATGTCTTCATTTTCCGGGTTGATCCAAATAAAGTCATTTTGTTTTTGTTTCAACTACTCGTATGCGATACACATTGTCGATGGGCCAACAATCATTTTTTACAAACTATTATTAGGTACTATTATAGTCCGTGGTGCCGTAGTGGGTAATTTGAATTATTTCCAAAACCATAGTAACACAAAATGAATGATATTTGTTTTTTAATGAGTTGTTTCAGTCTTTTGCTATTGTCGCTGAAATAGGTACCCGTCCGATGACCGTTATGTATTTTACAAAAGTGACTAAACTCTGCCAATGAAATATGTGAATACGTTAAAATTCCTCCGGTTTTCTATTTGATTGAATTACTGCAGTTCTCGAATAATTTATGGAACGTGGGTGCAAGACTTTTTTAATTTTTTCCCATACAGATATGAACAAAGGGATCCATAATCCAATTAACTCAAAAAAATAGTATAATTGTTATGAAAAACTGAAATATATTACAATATTTGTTTCAGTTTTTAATAAAAAGTGTCATTATAAAATATGTTGATTAAATTAGTTTCTTATTTTATGAAATCAATCAATTAATTTGCAAACACTTGCCGTGGTTAGGGATGCGGGTTACCTATTTTTCTTTATAAAATAAATAATTCGTTTACTTCCGTCTACTTTTCTCAATGCCCATGTTTATGTTATGCATATTGTAACAGTAAATATCATAAGTCTATTAATAATAATAACAATAATAATAATAATAATAATAATAATAAATAACAATAATAATGATAATAATCAAACAATTAATGTTTAATGTTTCTTCTTATCCCTACATATAGATTATGAACGAAAAATAAAAACGTTCAATATTCCGACGACGACAATCATTTATTTCAAACATCGATATAATAATTGCAGCACGAAAATAAGTTGAAATCATTGTTGTCTGAAAAATATCATATACCTATATTTAAGTTATTCAGTATGTATGTACCTACTCATTGTACTTTAAATTATATTATAATTTACTCGATGAAGAAAAAAAAAAAAATGTCTACTAGTTTTTATGCAAACAATAAAACGAAATTAGATTTTAATGAATGCTCGTATGCAAGGTGAAATGTTTATCATGATCCAGCGAATATCTACCACGATTTTGAGCAAAGTTGATGATTTTTAGAGAACAATATTTTTTCAAATCTGAGTAAAAAAAAGAGAAAAGAAACAGTTGCTGTCATTTTAAAATCAAAATTTGACAATCATTTAAGGCATTAGGAGCGGGAGTAAACAAAATTCAAACAATTCAAAAATGATTGAAAAAACAGAAATCAAATTTACTTCAAAATCTCCCGGAAAATCGACTGATCATGATAATTAAAAAAAAAAAAATCACCCTGTATAGGTACGATAAAATATACCTATGTTCTCTGAGAGCATTATTTTTCTTGCTGCAAATAGGCAATCTACAAATCTACATATAGGTATCTTGAACCTTGAAGTTCAATATACGCGTAGATAATAGAGAATGTTAAGTACCTACACGCTGTGATATTATATTTAATTAGATATATTTTATTATTATTATTGTTATGTATTGAAAGATACAATGTAAAATATGTAATGATTTAGAAATGACAAAACAATAAATCTAAGACATTTTTTTTTTCCGTTTATATTACCTAGTGTTCCTATACATGAATATATATATTATACATATGTTTAGATATCGATATAGGTTTTATAATTAGTGCGTTTCACGTGGTAACAGTGGTATGACACAGTGACGTCATTTTCCGGATGCAAGGGTACTTACGAAAAGGCATTCCGTAAACTATTTTTTACTACACTTAAACTATGCAGACGGAGATATAATTTCGTAGAATTTATAATATAAAACAATCGTTGTGATCACCTACAATTTTGTCATTATTAAAAAACGTGAACGCGGTTATAAAAAAAAAAAGAATAGAATATTGGCGACATGTAGTACGGAGTAAAGATATATCCGCAGGGATAGCAACGATATATCCATGCATCAAAATTACTATAAGGATTATTATATAATATTATATAGGTGTTCTAGGTGTATAGTAACGGACAGTATTCAACGGAACTATAAGTTTTTGAATATGTTCGGCCCAATATTACAATGATACGCACAAAATAATAATAAAAAAAAAATTCATAATAATAGTAATAATAATGGTTAAGTACACATAGTAGTCAACCATATCAAGGAAAAGAATTATACGATGCCGAATTCGATTAACCGTTTAGTGAAAAAGTGTCCGTCGTGAAATATATTTTGTATTTCACAAAGTGTGAAATGACGTCATTTTTTCATGAAAATATCGATTTTACGAAGAGTATAACATACATACATACATACATATAAAAAAAAAAAAATAATAAGAATACAATGTGACGTTAGTTCGTGGACTTTTAGTAAAACAGCACTATGAATTATCGCAAGTAAACAAATATACTCCGAATTCTCCAAATAAACCTAAAAAATTAACTTTTTATTTTAGCGTTTTAATTCCAAATAAAATAAACAATAATCCGAAAATACACTGTGATACGACAAAAAAAAATTGAACTATTGAAGTCTACAACACGCAATTTCTTATCCGTATAAAACCGATAAATTTTATCTATAATTAAACGTAATGTTATGTGAAAACCGATTTGATCAATTTTCGCTCAAATAAATATTAAACTTTCACAAATTTCAGATACGCATATATACAACACACTTTATTATTATTTTTTTTAATTTTATGTACGAAGAATATACAATCTGTTCCTAGGAACAATAAGAATATGTGATAAATGAGTAAATAAAAAACATGGTGAAATGAAGAGAGGAGTCACCCAGTGGTAACACTACCCTAACTTGATGGAAACACACTTTATTAAAATAAAATATTAATGAAACAAAAGCTTTGAAAATCAAAAAATGACTAACACCGTGAATAACTAGATTCAAAATACAACAAAATATTTAATAATAATTCTGGTAAAAAAAATAGTTTATAAAAATTAAAAACAATGAAATCAGTAACGCCTTGATATGTCGTATATATATGTCGTTTTTCCTACTATTTGATTTCAGGTTTTTTTGTTGTAATTCAATTTAAAATGTTCATAGAGACTTGAAATTTGGGCAAAATCTTGTATTTGCCTTTCTAGACGTGGTAAAATTTTTAAAACATTTAGAGCCATTTTTGTGCTATTTATAGACATTTTATTTCCATGAGTTTATTACGTAATTTTTAGTTAATGGGTACTATATGGATAAAATTGTTAGACCAAACAGAAATGCTTGAAAATTTAACAGGAGGTTCATTATAAGTTGTATTAAGTGGTCAAAAAAAAAAAGTAGAGTATTTTTAAACATGGATAAACGAACACCACCCAGAATTGTTTTCCGTTAACAATGATTAATAATTGTTGCATACAGTTATACATTCAATTCCTCTTTATATATCTTACCTTCCCAATTTCTCGCCTACAACAAAAACAGTGTCCAACATCGTGCGAAGTATATCCGTCTTTTTATATTCTGAGTGTAGCAAAGAATGTATTGGTTTTACTAAGATGTTTATTTTTTTATTTTTTTACCTTATGTACAAAAATTCTACCAGAAATATTGTTCAGATATATACGCACAGCACCATTTCTGAAATGTAATGTTGTCCAGATGGTACTACAGAATGGTCATTTTTTGATTTTCCGAACGGTTTTCTAAATATCTGGAAAAAACGAGGATAAAACGTAAGAAGAACGGAAAATTTACGAAAGTAATGCTTTTATTATTTTTCAATTTTGTTATTTGTTGTAATTCAGTTAAAAATATTCGTATTGACTCTATAGACTTAAATTTTTTTTTTTTTTCTGGGTCAGAATATTTATATTTGCATTTTCTAGACGTGGTAATATTTTTAAAAAATTTAAGTCATTTTAAGCTATTTATAGAAATTTTAATTTTGCGAGTTTTATAATTTTTACTCGGTAAGTACTGTGATAAAATTGTTGTACTTAACAGTAATGCTTGAAAATTTAACAGGAGGTTCATTAAGTCTTACTTAATAGTAAAAAACAAAAACCAAATTGTTTAATTTTTTTTTTATAAAGGAATTTTTATATCAAATTTTGATGAAAATCGTTTAAGTAAAAATTATGTGGAACAAATCTAGTTTTTCAATATTTATTTTTTTTTGAACTTATGATTTAAGAATAATAATGAATGACAGAATTAAGCAGACTGACTAAGAAAAGGTGGTTATTTTAATATGGAGTGTCCTTAACAGACCTATATTTATGAGTGAAGATCTTAACAGCGTGTCTTGAAAAACAACAGTTATGGCGTTAAGTATAAACCAAAAAAAAAGGTCTCTCGCTGAAAAATTTGTTCTCAAATAGTATATTTATGTTGTAGTATGTATAATATTTTACAATAGAATACTTTAAAATTGTTCAGTAGGTAATAGATGTGTATGATATAAATGTTCCTTGAGAACTTGAGATATTTACAGAATTATTGTGTGTCACTAATTCAATTAATTTAAGTTTAAATTTAAAGTCTTTGATGTGTTTTGATGATAAAAATGTATTGATAATTTTCTTAAGGATTCCATAATTGTATATGTTGTAGGACATCAACATACCACAATGCAGCACTGCTAATTTATGCCTCTTACTAGACATCAATTGTTGAAATATTGTTTTTAGATTTTTGCATAGGTACCCTTGTAGTGACAATATGTCTATATAGGAAAAAAAGTGAAAATTCTTTTAGAATAAAAAAAAAAAATGTATTTAGTTTAAACAAAGGAAGTGTCTGTCTCACTGGCATAATCAAAAGGATAAGGTAATCATGTGAAAGTTTAATTCTAGAAACTTCAACTGAGAAATGAAAAATAAACATATACAAATAATTTTTTAAAGCCACTATAAAATATATTTCAGAATAAAATTTTTACACAAATTATTAAATTTGCAATTGTTGTTTTTAGGATTAAAATAATACTACGTGTCACTTACATGTCTTTTAAACTCATTCCAAATAAAATTTTGATATTTTTAATATTATATAGACGAAAGTGTCTTTTTAATAAATAGTAGGAGACAAACTATAATCTTATATCTTATTTATTTATTCCTGTCAACCATTTTAACATAAATATGCATTTCTATAATCATAAGTTAGATACATTGGTTGCACAGCTTTTCTTTCAAAAGTAAAATACTTGTACTGAAGTTCAATTAAAAAAAAGTTATAAGCTATTGGAAATCCGATTGATATAATATACGCGAGTACTTATAATAATGAGAGTAGTATATAATAAAATTGACATGAATAGTATACATGACAAATTAATATATGAAAATAAATCTAAAGTTAACGTATACTAAATAACTATTTGTTTAAATTTAAGCCTAATTATACATTTCTTAAATAAAGCAAAGTTATGAAAAAGAGTAAAAATTAATATTCAAAAATCTACATAATTTGGCACAATAACTAATCTACTTGTAATTTTGTTTATTTAATTCACTATTTGATTAAATATTTTTAATAAAAATATAGAGAAGGTTTTTCAATCATCTCTATGATTATTTTTCTTTTTTGTCATTATCAATGGCTACATTAGATGGGGTAGATTTGAAAAACATGTTTAATATTTTTTTCATAAAGTAAAAAGCAATAATTAGGAACATGAATTCAATTATTAAAAGAAAAGATATTACATCGATTAACAAAAACTGAATCCAATTTAATGAATTATTAGTAGTTTTCAAATGATGAGCACCATTATGGTTTATAACATATTCAATCCAGAACACAGCTTTGTCCAAAGGCTTCATTGGTTGATCGTGAAACATTTTAGATAACTTTTGTGCATTTGTTTTGTATCTGACAATAAAAAGAAAAAAATGTCTTATGTTAATTTTTCAAAATTGTATAGATAATAATAATAACATTTTTAATCGTATATACTTACAATGGATTATCAAGAATCTTGTGCAAAGAATCTGCAAAGCTATCTTCGGTAAGATCTGTGTATTTCAATCTTATAGCAGCACCTCTTGATTCCATCATTATAGAATTGTATAGCTGATCTCCAAAAATAGCTATAGCCAACATTGGGACTCCGTAGTAAACGGCCTCTTCAGTACTGTGAATACCTCCATGGGTGATAAAAAGAACACAATTGGAATGCCCAAGAATATCAACTTGAGGAAACCATTTGCTAACCACTACATTTGATGGTAACTCGGGCAATTCATCAGACTCCCATTTCCACAAAACCTTTTGCTTAAGTTTACCAAGTTGACGCAAGAACATATCTACATGATGTTTCGGCAAATGTGTGGCTTTGACAACAGAACCAAAACTAAAATAAATAACACCATGAGGTGCGGTGTCCATAAACTCCTGTAAATCCTACAAATACCAAGTATTAAAATTAGTAAGAGATAATGATATCACAATGAAATATTACTTTTGGCAGTTTTGAAGCAGGCTTTAAATGCATACCAGCTACTTCAATAAAATTTGGAACTAGAGGCCTAGGTGTTCCTAATGTAAAATGTGTGTTGATCAATGTTAATGATATATTTTTTGACATTTCTTCCAATGTTGGTCTACTTTCCCAACCCGTATAATTAAAATGATTTAACATAATCTCATTTTGTTTAGGCATATAAAACAATGGATATAAAACTAATTGGAGACACGTCACAATGGTATTCATTATCCGCACAGAGAAGGGCATTTTATCTGTGAATCCAGAATTAGGATCAGGAATGTAAGAAGGATTAAATGGCTGACCATGCCATTGAGAAAGAAAAGCAACCGGTGACGCTGGAATGAGTTGAATAACGTGAGCACCGTATTTGTGGCCTAGTGTTACAAAACATTCGTGTTGGAAATTTTCAAATATAACAACGTCAAATTTATAACCATCTGAATGAATAAATTCTTTGACTTTTGTGTTGTCCAATGTTTCTAGGGTTATCTGAGGTCCAAAAAACAATGTTCCCACAGGAATAACCCACGGTTTTAAGTATTGAGCAATAGACAACATGCTAAAATCTGAAAAAATACCATTATAAAATACGTATTCAACAAATTTATATTAATTAATTAATAATTATGTAGCAACATAAATACTTTTATCGTCCGCATTTTTTTGTTTCGAGACATCGATATGATGATAGGTTGGTGGCGGATCTTTCAAAGGAAAATGCGACACGACAGTAACATTGTGACCTCTAACAGCCAATTCCTTTAACATGGGTTGGAAAGGACCATAGTGACTTCGAGCAAATGTAGGTAAAAAAGCTAGTATGTTGGCTGACCAGCAATGACCAACATACAATAGCAAAACGCTGAACAACAGTAATTTCATCTGAAAATATACAATATCTTTAACAATATCTGGAAGAGTGTTGTTAACAATGTAATACAAAGATTTAATATATTTAAAAGAGTTTTTAACATATAGTATAGTAGAGTAACTTTTAAAGTTCACTACTACTGTTAGGTTAGGAAACGGAGAAAAATCATTTGATTCATAGTGTTTGGTTAAGCTACTAAGCAACTTTCATGTTTACTGCTATAATAATATGATAACATCAAGTCAAATTTGAATTCAAATATAAAACGACGAAGATTAAACCATAAAAGTGTTTTTAAAGTATTAATTTTTTTTCGGCACTGTATTCAATTTTGCAAAAACGCTATAATGTACCCATATATCTGTATTGGTACATAAAGAATAAACAATTCTCCTAAAACTTAGATAAACGTTTGTATGATAATAAAACCAAAAAGAAAAAAAAAAAAAAAGGAAGAAAGAAACTAGGTCAAACACAAATTGAGGAAATAGAAATAGTAAAATATAATACAACTGATTTACAATGAGTTACCAGCAGTTTTAACGATAGAAACTGTAAGTTTAATATTTAAAATGTATACATCGCGGATACCTGCCTACACACAGTCTAATGACAAAAATAATAACGAATACTCGGTTACTTACATTTAATTTATGTGCTACACGCAAATAAACTTAACTTGAATATGTCACAATATGACGCAGCTACATTCTATTCGAACAACATGAGACAATGTAACGGCCAACACGAATACAAAGTATATATTTTATTATTATGCGTTAATTTACACCGAGAACTACGCGTTATATAACATTTTCGTAGTAACTGGTAAGCGAAAATTCAATGTTCCGCATTTCTGTGGGTGTAAACAACTACGTATTATCAATATTATGGAAAAGAAAATCTCGCGAATTCGTACAAAGTTCATTATAAATCTTCGTGGCGATAAGAGATAATAGCCATTTTGTTTTTGCCATCATATGGTGGTTCGTTTATTCGTTAAATTATTTTTTTATGAATGTTATAAAAAATTCATCTCGGCTGGTCGAGTTGTATATTGAATGATCCATAGGCCGTAATCAAAAGCGTACTGTTCTACAGCTACATTGGGCCGGGATGCCTATGTAGGGCCAACACGGTGGCTTATTTATAAACTATATTTATTTTAATTTTGAACCAAAAAAAAAAAAAAAAAACTGTTCAACAGAACAAAATTATAATCTATTTCCTTTCTCCCAACGCGTCAACATGATTTAACAACAATTGCAGTCGGCATAAACATTGTAGGATACTATCGAGATGATACCAGTTATAACTCGTAACAAAAATTTGTCAGGAGTTATTTGAATTTTACTTCAAATAGTAATGTTTATTTTAGCCTCTAGGTACTTACCTATTTTAGATTTTGAGCACAGCAAAAAATGTATTAGTTTTACAATATTTATTTTTTTCTATGTACAACTATGTACTTTTCTATCAGAAATTTTGCTCCAATTTTACCAAATGTGGCACATTTTCAGAAAATAAATTTTAATAATTTTTAAAGCAGTTTTCTTATAAATTGGGATAACGGGAAAATGTATTATTTTCAATATTGTTTTTTTGTTGTGATTCAGTTAGAAATATTCATAAGGTTTAAAATTTGACTATACAAGTTATATTTGCCTTTTCTAGATGCGGTAAGATTTTCAAAACATTGTAGCCATTTTTGAGCTGTTTAAAGACATTTTAATTTTAATAGTTTTGTCTACATAATTTTTATTCGGTAGATAATCTGTGAATAAAATTGTTAGACCAAATAGAAATGTTTGAAAATTTAACAGAATATGCATTTTAAGTCGTATTTTTCAGTCGAAAAATAAAAAATTGTGTGCAAGGTAGAATTTTTTTTTATAAGAATTTTAATATTAAATTTTAGTTTAGTTTCAAGTCCTGTATTTTATATTAGTCTGTGCTATTGGCTAATATTAATTATAAACATGAGTCATAATCTTATAAGTTTTCTAATGCCATTTCTTATTATTTACTGTCAGTGATATTTTTCAATTGAAATATGATTTATTTTTATTTTTCTACAATGATTTATTTAATAACCTGTATTGGGTTTTTTTTTTATCTAATTAATCCAATATTGAGTCAACAGTTTTTATTTAATAATATCTTGGGTAGAATATTTATCCACTGATCTAAATTTATAACACAATTTGAATAGTATAGTAAATGATAGGAATAAAAAGAAAAAATGACAATAAATAAAATAAGAGGAGAAATAATAGAATATTATTAATTTAATCAAATCAATAACTATTAATTCACAAACTTTGCGAAATTTGTTTTGCCAATCCACTTTTGTCATAGATTAACTTATTTTTATATCACCAAACACAATTAGTTAAATACAAACGCTTTATATCAGATAAATGTAACTTCAGGTGTTCCTCAAGGTGATCATATTTCTTCTCTCCTTTTCAACTTATTTACTAATGATGTGACGTTTTCCATCTCAAATTCTAATATTCTTTTATTTGCCAATGATGCGAAAATTCATAAACCAATATTATCCTTAGATGATAATCTACTTTTGCAAAAAGATCTAATTAGTTTTAATGAATGGTGTTCTTCAAACGGCCTTTCACTTAACATTGATAAATGCCAAATTATAACATTTTCTAAAAAACATAAACCATTGAACTTTAATTATTCTATTTCAGATACTAATTTTAGTACGTGCATATGTGGTAAAAGACTTGGGCATTCATTTGACGCGAAACTGTTATTTAACACATATTAGCCATTAAAAATAAAGCATTACCTGTCTTTGGTACAATAAAACAAAACTGTTCCGAATTTAACACTTGAATATGTTTCTATAATTTGGTGGGATACTAACATAATTAGCCATTGTGACCAACTTGAAAAAGTACAATACAAAGTCAAAGGAATTTATATTGAGGACCGATATATATGTTTTAAATCTAATATCCCAAGGACCTTCCACTCTGGATACGAAAATATTTTAAAAATGTTAAACTTAGAATCTCTAAAAAGACGGAGAAATACCTGTAACTTCCGCATTAATCAATTATTTTATATACCTCCTTACTCTCAAAGTTATATGTTAAATGACTCCTTTAATATTTTAATATCTTCCGGTAATAATTAAATTATTGATAATTCATTCAAGTGATCATTGTAATAATATAGATACCCAACTTATTACTTTACCTTCTTAATTATTATTTTGTATTACATAACTTCTACCCTTATACTCCTAATTTTTAGTATTTTTTCCTATGCAATTTATAATTTATACCATATTGTTTATTCAAATTCGTATTAATAGGGAAGTTTATTAAATGTTTAAGTATTATTATGTTACTACTGTAATTATTATTACTATATTGCAAATTGAACATTATCCGTATGGATTATAAATAAATAAAATATATTAATATATAACAGAAAAATAATTATTTGTAAACAGATTAAGCATGTAACAATGTAAGCATTTTTAAACAGATTCTTGAAGCATACGGTAATTATAAACCGATCCTCGTTCAATAGTTGAGGCACTAATACATTTTTTTGTAGTATTCACAGTATTTTCACCATTAGACAATGACCCGTATCCACCACCACCAGGAGTCAATAACAAAAATGTATCCTACAAATGTATACAAAATTAATTATTTTTCTAATGTCAAAATTACTTAAATTTTTAATTGGAGAAAGATTTTTGGACTCAAGTTGTGTGCAAACAAATAAATAAAACAAAAACATTATTTTTTATAATATTGTATACATTACTTACACCAGGACTGATATCAACTGCAGTTTTAGCACCGAGTCTAATTTTTCTGCCATCACTCTTGATTAATACATTTTCACCTTTTTGGCCATTCTCGCCTCCTAAAATAAATAGTATTTCATTTAAATGAAAAATATCTTTTAGTTTTTAATGATAAATAATATAAATTTTAAAATACCAAAAACCAAAAATTTTCCCAGTTTTTCTGGGAATATTAAAAAGGACCTTGCCAATACACCAACTAAAAAAAATATCTAATTAGAAATCTTGTTCCTGATTTTGATGATTAGAACAAGATACCTGGTATAATAGCCACATTAATATTTTAAAAAACATATTAGTGAAATTAATAGCTTATATTTCATACAAGTTTGTATCTAATAATTGTAGTATTTATAGTACTCTTAAAATTTAAGAATTAGATCTAATTTTAAAAAAAAAACATCTCTTACTTCTTTTCTATCATTATAAATATATGCTTAATATATGTTCTCATAACTATATTACGAGACACAAGGTAATAAATAATAATGTTAATATAATCAAGTATAAATGCAATACCACATTTGAAAAATAAACCCTTTAAATGTTGGAATTGATGACTGTATTCAACTAAGTTTTCAGTTTTAAAAATATATATATATATATATAAATAGATTATTGTTTAATGTAATATTAGTTAAAATGTACAAACTTTGTAGTTTATTATTAACATACACATACATGTATTTTCTTATTATTTCTATTATTCTTAATAATAATTATTCTTGAATGTATATTACTATGTAACTTTTCTAAATATTTTAAATAATTTAAATTTTATTTCCATCCTTATGCCTTTTCTTATTTTGTCTTTATTGATTACAAAAATAAAGAATTATTATTATTATTTATTATAGAAAAGTTGTTTATAGATGAAAAACACATCATAGTAAAATCAATACATTTTTCTAACTATATTCCGAATTTAAAAATGATATATTTTTTTAAAATCATAAAAAATTAAATATTATATTTAATTTATTCTATATTTATATATATGTTATTTTAACAATTATATTATGTAATAAAAATTACAAGCATTTTGTATAACACGTTTGTAATTGCAATTGTTAGTTTTATTATTTTCATTAAGGATTTTTATTTTTTTTATCAATATTTATATTATTTATAAGTGCACAATAATATATACCTTTGATTCCATTAGGGGCAAAAGATCGTCTTTCCGTCAGTATTGATAAAGTTACTGGTGATCTAAATTGTAATTCTCTCACAACTCCGTCGCCTCCACAAAATTGCCCATTACCGCCAGAATTTTCGCGTAATGTAAATGAAGTTAAGAACACAGGATAACGCTTTTCTAATATTTCTGGATCTGTTATACGAGTATTTGTCATATGAGTGTGAACTCCACTACGACCATTCCAGGTTGGTCCCTAATGTAAATAATATTTTATAAATATAATAGTCAGAATTAAATACTTTTATTTTCAGACATACAGCGCCTGCACCACCAGCTACAGTTTCATAGTAACCCCAGTCCTCTTGGCCAAATGTAATGTTGTTCATGCAACCTTGACTATCAGCAGTAGCATCAAATGCTTTTAACACAACGTCTACAATACGCTGTGAAGTTAATACATTACCTCCAACTACAGCAGCATTCTCCGACGGATTGAGAATAGTTCCAGAAGGAATTATTACTTTGATTGGTTTTAAACAGCCCTATAAAATAATAAAAAATATGTACTTATGCTTTTTGAAGATAAAGAAAAATTAAAACTATGTACTTGATTTAATGGTATGTCATAGCCAATCATACTTCTTAAGCAATATATTAAAGCTGATAATGTAATAGCTTTAGGAGCATTACAATTTCCCCAAACTTCATAACTGGTTCCACTAGATAGTTAGAAGTTTCAATAAAAGAAAAAAACCATAAAAATAAATCAAAGTTAAATCACCTAAAATCGAATAGAGCTTCTCCGTTTTCAACATTTATTTGAATAGAAAGTTTTATAGTAGAACCGTCATCCAAATAATCAATTGATTGCAATGTATTTAATCCTCTAACTAATAAATTAGTGTTACCAATGTTTTTTAACATATCTCTAACTGCAAGTTCAGCATTTTTTTGTATGTGTTCCATATATGCTTGAACAACATCTAATCCATACGAATTTATGAGTTCAGTTACCAAATAAATACCCTTGATAAAATACACAGTTAAACATATTAGATAACCTTTTTTTTTATATACATTCAAAATACTTTTTGATTAGCTGCAATTTGTGCTTTTAAGTCTGATAAATTATCCTTTAAATTCCTAGTACCAGATGACCCAGGTAAGGAAGCCGGAGCCATAAGTGCATCAGTGACTTCTTCTTCACAGAAGTGTCCACCACGAACCAAAAAGAAACTTTTGAACTGGGCTCCTTCTTCTAATAGTGATTTAGAATGTGGTGGCATTGATCCTGGTGTCACACCTCCAATGTCTGCATGATGCCCTCGACTCGCAGCATAAAAAACTGGTTTTAATTGGCCACTAAAGAAAGTAAAAACAAAAATTATAAAATAATGAAATAACAATATATTTTTTTTTTTTAAAGTACACACGGATAAAACACTGGTGTTATAACTGTCAAATCTGGCAAATGAGAACCACCTGCTATTGGATGATTGCTAAGAATCACATCCCCTTCTTTGATCTCATTACCAACTGTTCTAATCTAGTATTATAATGTATATTTGAAGATTAGTTCTACTTTGAACAATTAATAAATAAATTAATAAACATTATTACTTGATACTGAACCGCTTCTTGCATGGCTCCTAAATGTACAGGAATATGAGGTGCATTAGACACCAATCCGCCATCTGGTCCAAACAATGCACAAGAAAAATCTAAGCGTTCTTTGATATTAGTTGATATTGAAGTTCTCTGAAGTATTCTAAAATAGGAAACAAGTTTATGAATAATACAAGGTTTGTTATATAAAAAATAAATAACATTTTTACCTTCCCATTTGTTCAGCAATACTCATGAATCTATGAGAAAAAATACTCAATTGTATTGGTTCCAGGTCAATACTAATGTTACTTAGCTGATCACAGTTTACTTCAATTTCTAAAAGTATGTATTGATATTAATGCATAATCAGTTACCAGTAATATGAATATTACCTAAGAACAATACTGCCCTCTTATGCAAAAACACCTTAAGTTGAAATAAATTTAAAAATGAGTTACACATCAAAAAATCGTAAAATTTTGATCTTTTAGATCAATATATTGTATATTTGAAATTATTGTTTGACTATTAGCAATATTAGTTTTGACAGAATGCTGTAAATGGTTGAAAAAAAGCATTTTTACTAGATAATAAATATACTGTATGTATTGATAAAGATAACAATAAAAATAATAATTTATGGCAATTTATAAATTATAAATATATTTATAATAAAAAATGTTAGATAAGTACTTTAAAATATATTCTTTCATAGTTATGAATACTTCATTACATTTATCAAATTGCATATCAAAATCCATATCGTACTTTGATAAGTAAAATGGTAGAAGTATGATAACCATCATGATGGTTTTATGATGTTATTATGAAGTTTAGAAAGTGCAAAAATATAAAAACCTGTTTTTCTCAAAAAATGTTCTATTGTGACTAGCAGAGTTTTTGCTTGTGAGGGCAGTATATACAATTTTTATTCTTCAATAAACATTTATAAAAATGCCTAAACTAGTTTAGGTAGCAGAGCTGTTCATAAAATGCATGGGGATTTCAATTTAAACTTCTGATTGAAGCCACGAGTTTTCACTCCAATCAAAAATTTAAGTATTTAAAAATAAAGACCATCCTATTGAAGAGGTTATTAGTTTTACTATTAATTTTTTTTAAATGCATTTTTGTTTTCTCAGGAAACATTTTTTCAATTAGTAATTTGGCATTTGATACTATATTAAGGAATCATATATAAAATTATAGGTAAAATTTGTAATAAAATTAAGTATTTTATGTTTTATTTGTACTAAAACCAGTAGTAAATTAATAATCCCAGGTTTTATCTTTAATACTTGTACTATAAAATATTATCCATATAATTAGTAACAAATATAAAGCACAATTATAATAATAAAAGATACTAACCAATATCACCAGATTTACTAATTGCAGCTGTACATTTGGGTTCAACTAATATTGTACTTAATTTATCCATTATAACTGCTGGACCATTAATAATATGACCTTTATGTAACTTACTAAATAAGTAAATATTACAATCTATATAGCCCAAATTTTCAAAATACACTTTTTTTACCTAAAACATAAGACAAATTTTATGGAATTTATTGAAATATTTATATTTCAAATATCAAAACAACTACCGTTTCGATTTGTGGAGTTCCAAAACTTTCAATTCCTTCATTGTCAATATTTAATAGTGTTTTACCTATACCTCGTACACGTATATCATCTACATATATTTTACGCCCTGATAGTATAAATCCAAATTCGTTTTGATATCTGTATTATTTTAATATAACATTTGAACATTTTAATGCTGAATAATCTAATGGATAACTATTAATTATTATAAAAGTATTTACTTTGCAAGGAACCCGCTCAAGAAATCTCCATGAATAGTGCTAGGTTCACCTACACAATCATTGCTGGCAGAACACATAATAGCACAATCAGTTCCATCATAACGTAAATGAAGAAATGGTTCAGTGTGTAATTGATTATCCAAGAATCCTTGTGTTTTAAGTTCGTTAAAACATTTAGAGCTTAACTCACTGATTCTCTCATTTAAATACGCGAAATTCTCTAATTTAAAATAAAACAAATAATTAATATTAAGTCTTAAATACTTATGTCTACGTGAATCAACTACTTACCAATATCATAAGTTAAAGCACAAGGCTCTTGGACTTCATGAACTACATCAGCACAGGCCATACCATAAGCAGATAGAATGCCAGCATATTTATGCACAACAACTCGACTAATTCCTAAAGAACATGCAATTGCGCAAGCATGTTGTCCGCCAGCACCTCCAAAACAAGCTAATGTGTGCTGTCTTGTATCATATCCTCTTGCCTATTTAAAAATAAATATTACATTTTAGTTAGTTACTTTAAATACAAATGTATAGAGGGGAGGGGACTACAATTATGTGCAAGCAAAACCACAAAAAATAAATGTCTAGAATGTGAAGACTGATTATAATTTACCTGAGTTAAAGCTCTTATTGGGCGACACATTGATTCATTAGCAACTCGTATAAATCCCATTGCGACTTCTTCAACAGTCATTAGATTTGAATTCTCAGATTGTTGTTTTAAAAAATTGTTCACCTATATCAAAAAAAAAAAAACATTGTGAAAAATTTTTAAAATAATTATAGATAAATAATAATTGTATATACTTCAATAGTTAGAGCTTTAAATTCTTTTAAGGCTGATTCTTTATTTAATGGCATATCTTCAGTTGGGCCAAATATTGATGGGAAATAATCGGGTAGTAGTCTGCCAAGAATTAGATTAGCATCAGTAACAGTTAATGGACCACCTTTTCTGTAACAAGTTGGTCCTGGATGAGCTCCAGCACTCTCTGGTCCAACTACAAATAAACCAGATCTGAAGAACAATCGGCTTCCACCACCAGCGGCTACAGTATTAATATCTAACTAAAGAAACATTTTTTTTTTTTTAATAGATAATCAGAAATATAAATGTTAATTTTGTATTTACTTGAGGCGCTTGGATTGTAACACCGGCAGTGACTGATTCAAAAACATGTTCAAATGATCCATCATAACGACTAACATCAGTCGATGTACCACCCATGTCAAAACCTATTACAGGTTTGTAAGGAGTGGTAGCTGTATAACCAACTACACCACCTGCTGGACCAGATAAAATAGCTCTTGAACCATTAAAACTAAAAAAAAAAAAAGATTAAAAATACCACTGTGATGAATCTTGTATACAATTTTTGAGAAATTATTTTAAGCTACTATTTGGCAGTGAATCAAAACAAAACCAAAATTATCGAAAATGTTACCTATAATATAAATATTCTGGGTTACTCAAGTTTTGTCAGGGTTTGCAAGGAAAATGATTCTTCGCTCAGAATGTAAAAAAAAAATGGGTTTTTAGATTATTTGGAAATTTATTTTTGAAGGGGTAGATGAATTCGCCCCCCCCTTGAACTTTTATTATAACCATTACACCACAAAACTGATGATTGGTATAAGATTTCTGGAAGAAAAGTTGTTCAGGGGCATATCATAGAAAAACTACTGGTTTTTCTTTGTTCACAATTGATTTTGAGATAAATTATTTATAATATTATACACTGTGCATACGTATAAAACAGAAAAACAAATTCAACTAAAATATGTCTGTACCTGTTCATTGGTGTTAATCCACCATCACTTTGCATAAATAATATGTTAACATCCTTTAAATTATTTTTAAATCCTGATGCAAATCCCTAAATTAAGACCATAGTAAAATTATTTATGTACAAATATGAAATATATTCAAATTTTACTTCAACATATTTTTTAATATGAGGAGTTAAATAAGCATCTGCACAAGCTGTAAATCCACGGGGCACAATTTTGATCATAGGCATAACTTCATGTGACAAAGAAATATGTCCAAAACCTACTTCTTTAGCAATTCTTCCAACAGTAAGCTCATGTTCAACATAACTAAACATAAATATAATTATTAATTATTTGCACCAAGTATAATATAATAATCAAATGTAATTTTTAAATCAAAATTACAAATTTTTTAAATTATATTTACGTGTAAGAATGCATTAGAGCCACAGCGATACTATTAATTCCTTTGGCTTTTAATACAATTAAGTCACTTTTTAATGCAGCTTCATCAATTTCTTTTAAAATTTGAATATCTTCACCAGTAACACCTTTTACAGTTAGTTTATTATTCCAAATAGATTTTAAATTATCACATTTTTCACATTTAAAATTGATTACGCGACAGTCTACTTCTAAAACTTCTTCATAAAGAACATCTGGTGTAACAATTTCCTGCACAAATTATTATCTATACATTAATAAAATATTTTTATTTGAATTTTTAAAATATATACCAAATCAAATATTTTTGGACGAGCTTGGTTGCCAATATGCAACAAATCTTTGAAACCGCGAGTAATCAATAGAGCCATACGTTCACCTTGACGTTCTAGAAGAGCATTTGTTGCTACAGTTGTTCCCATTCGAATCCATTCTATGTAACTGCTATCAATTGGCTCATTTTGTGGCATACTTTTCCCAGTTTCCTAGACAAATGTATGCACTATTTTTAGAAATTTAAATTTTTTTATTATTAGTATTATTATTATTTTTACAGATTCTAATATACGCCGTATGCCTTCACGTGGCGCATCTGAATAATTAGTTGGATCAACAGACAAAAGTTTCATTACTCTAACTTCTCCATTTGGACATCTAGCATAAATATCTGTGAACGTACCTCCTCGATCTATAGCAAATTTAAATTTTCCGCCCATGATACTTGTGTAGAAACACTAGAAACTAGTAAAAACAAACAAATGTCAAAAATTAATAAAATATATACAAATGTTAAAATATCTTAAATATTATTTTTATTTATATAAAACACATTTTTATAATACATAAATTAGTTTTAAATACAGCTTAATAATTATTTTAAACATAGCTAATAATAAGCACCAATTTATAGTTATTGCGTATAATATATTATTAATAAATATACTAAATAAAATGAATAAAAATATAATCCTTAATAAATTGAATTAGAAATGTAAATTGTAAAAATAAAAACTCATAAAACAGCTAACCAATACTACTTGGATATTGAACCTTTAAAACAAGTTAACAATTAATATTAAACTGAAAACATAAAAAAATAAATAGATCCTATAGATATAAATGTTTTACTTGAATTAGTTTAAACCTCTGAATTCATTGAAATATTTTTACTTAAACGTATTACTAAAGAATGTAATATTGTAAATAGTACTTGAGATAAGATTAACTACTACTATAATATAAAAGAAAAGAAAAACAACTCGTTAAAAGTTTAATATTTTCATCAGTAAAGAAAAAAAAGTGGACATTAGTTAAATATTTATTTATTTGTTATAATTGAGTTATATTACTTACTATTTACTAAATGTTTGAGTGGAAATATATTATACCTACTAATTAATTTGCCAACAAATAATGAAACATAATAAGAAGTATTAAAATTTTGAATAATCAATTAATAGTACTATAGTCTATGATAACTGATAAATAAAACAGGTTTAAGATTATAAAGTATGCCAATAGTATGTAAAGTGAATGTCAAATATGAATCTATCAGGTATGTCTATTACTTAATAAGCAGTACAACAAAAATATGTTTACATACTTTTAATAGTAATCAGATGTTATTAGTAGCATAAACTTGATACTGGTGGCAAAATAAATATGAGCAGTTTTACTAAATATCTATAGAATTAGTTATTTGAAAACATTTTAATAGATTTTATTTCCATTTGAAAATTAAATATCAAGGTTATAACACTAATGAGGCTCAAGTACTATTGAAATTAATATAGTACACATATTGTATACACTGTGATTTTTTTTTATCACAAACCAGCAATTTTTTCATAGGATTTTTAGTGAATTTGATTTCTGTTTTTTTGTTCATTATGGAATTGATAAAACTTTATTTTAAACCATTTTTAATTTCCATCCCTATTTTATGCACCTTAAATTATAATTATATACTTCTGTTTTTCAAATAGGAACCCCCCTCCCCTTAGAACACAGAGAATATTTTTCTAGATATTTTGATATGCATAACACTCGTATCAAATTTACAACTAATAAATTATAATAGTTTAAAGTTTAGATCGAAGGAGTAGGGAACAGTTATGAATTCATTCAAAAATAGATATGCAATTATTACCTTTCTCTCTCCTACAGTCTAAACTTTAACCAATTAGAACTCATAAACAGTATTATAATCTGATATAAGTGTTATGCATACCAACATTTCCAAAAAAATATTATCTATTCAAATCTGTGTTTAAAAAGGGCGCATTCCTATTTGAAAATTAAAAAGTATGTACTTAAATAAGGTATATGGAATAGGGGTAAAAAATTGAAAATAGTTTTAAAATAAAGGTTAAACGATTCGACAATGATTAAAAATAAACAGAAATAAAATTTGCTTAAAATCTTCCAATTGCTGGTTTATAAAAAAGAATCACTCTGTATTGCCTGTGAGATAGATAAAGATGATAAATGCTTAATTGTTTAACTTCATAAAAAAAGGTAATTAGCAAATAGTATCACTTTTAATCATATTGTGTAAGTACACTAGATTCCAGAATACTATGATATTCCCAACAATTATCAAGGTTTCCTAAAAAATTAACAAACATTTTCTGTTCGATTACCAAATATTTCTGTGATTACTAAACATTATTGAAACATTTGTAGATCTGGATTCAATCAAACAAATGTGTGTTTTTAATATTTCTATGGTACTCTAACTCTAATAGACTTTAAACTATTTAAAAACTAGGTATTAAAACATTGCTTTAAATAATTTAACCGAACAACATAACAACATTTACTAGACAGATTCATAAACAAATATACTAAACTATCGGAAAGATCCTTAAATTTCTCATTGTAGTAGAATTTCAAATTATTTGTTTTACAATCTTAACTGAAATGAATATTTGTATACAATGATCTATAATATTGATCAATTTACAAGCCTTTTAATTAAATTGTATAAGTAAAATTAATAGCCTTAACTCAAACATCTTATTTATAATCAAACAAGCATGTGTTGAAAATTGGTTTAGTGCTAAAAAGTGATTTAAATTTTCCTAAATTTCTTTTTAAATTTGAATGTACAAATAAATTGACTAGGAATTAAATATCAAACAAATTCTTCAATGGAAAAATACAAAATCTTAGTCTTTAATTTGTAAAATTATTTTAATTTTAAGTCTTTAGAGACAGAGTATCCATTTAAAATTGTTTAAGTTGAAACTTTTGAAACTTTGAAAACAAATTGTTGATATAGGTAATTTGTTTTCCGTTCCAAAAGCCAGAAATCAGACACATTTTCTATAAGTACTTAGATAATATTATTGATAATAACACTACCATAGGTAGGTACTTGATTGTTTAATTTTTTATTTACATTTTGTACATTGTCGTGTGATCTTTTCAGAGCCTCACTGCTGCTGTTTCTCTTACTATGACGACCGAACTTACACGGAGACTCAGTAGTCGCCATTATCGTGGGAAAAAAAAGTACAAAAACTAGTTCCTAGAAAACTAAAAAAGTACAAAAACTAGTTCCTAGAAAACTAAATAAGTAAAAACGTTAAGACTGTCGACTGTCCAAAGATCGACCCGACATCCGTCAATCGGATCAGTTATCACTTATCAACACCAAATAGATAACAAAAGTAATCATGATAATATCTTAATATCTTAATGAGTCATTGATATTAAACATGCATTGATATCAATGCAAGGACCTAACCTAAGCCTTAACCGTTATTGTGTAAATATTTCCGGTTATCCCCCATTATTAAGAGGACGCGAGAACGTAAGTCGTACCTACCCGCATATGCTGTCTCAGATCAGATATTTGATTGACATTCACTCTAATATCAAAACCTACTTTTTTATTATTTTTTTTTCCAGTTCATTGCGTGCCGCGTTAAAAGTTGGAGATTAACTGCTGGGTATACTCCGTCTCACGGGAGAAAGTACACGCTCCGCGCATCGGCGAGTGCACGGAGGCCGAATTTCTCCCACTCCTTATCGCGTAAAATCGTAACCGAACGGGCAAAAGTGGTGGGATATGCGCAGCGACGGACGAAAAACCGTGTACCTTCTCTCGTGAGACGGAGTATAGTGTCTCCGGTCTCGACGGGTCGTCTTCTTTAGCAGATCGACTGGACCGCAGTCCACCAACAGGTCCTGGAAGTCTGACGGGGAGATGCTCCTGGCACCCACAAAAACTTTCATTGTCTGTCGGGAGGGTTCCTAGTGGGGACAATAAAACATAGTGTGCTGCGGGTGATATCAGTTGAAGCATGCGAATCAGGAGCTAATCCCATTCGGTGGAGATAGCGTCTGAAACACCCGTGGCCCGGTAGAGCCTGGGTAACGTGGAAGGTTATCGTGCTCACAGCGTGGTCTAATCTACGGAGCCGACAAGGCGGGGCCTGGACGCGTGAGATCATCCCCGATCTTAAAAGGTGGGTTCTGAGACGCCCGAGGGATCAAAACCGATCTAACAGTATGTGTACTTAATTAATGTCTTTGCACAATACAGCGACACACTGATACTTATTAATAAGGTGTATTGATACGCATTGACTCGTAAATAAACGGTAATGCGTTATTAAATTAAATTATATTATTGTCGATAAAATATTTTAAATTAATTTAACTGATAAGGAGAAATCTGAAGAATATAATGATGGAATCACGATGTGACTACATCGACGTGAATAGGACACACGAAGGTGTACACAAAATAAGTGTAGGTATTTATAATATGGATGATTTCATGACATATACCCACTCAATTGTAAAATTAAACAACATTGTAATTCAAGATGTCGAACAGTTCTGATACCATCGGTTCCTATCATTCGCATTTTCAATTTGCATATTTTCATGGTTCGTTGTTAAGTACGTAAATCTTTCTTTACTACGTCCTCCAATCATGTTCGGGGCTTTCGTACGGGTCTTTTACCCACAATCCTTCCTACTGTGATTCGTTTTATAGTCTTTCCATTTGCTTTCCAAACGTGTCCAGTCCATTCTATCCTCTTGCTTCTGCTATACCATTGTATATTTATTAGGGGCGGATTTGAGAGGGGGCGACGTAGCAATCGTCCGTCCCTCTCGGGATTTTTTCACTCACCTCCACCGGCGGCTTAGTGGTATACATCAGGCGAATTCCAATTATTTGGCCTGTAGCTCATTCAACGTTTATTAGGAAATTAGGAAATTGATTTCGAATAGATAAATATAATAACCAATTACAGAGATATACTGAATACTTATTATACTTATATATATGTTACAGTTAAAACCCGAAATCCGTCAAAACTAGTTTCCACAAATCCCTTTAGTCAAATTTAATTTTGACTAGTTAAAACTACAATTAACTACAGATTAAAATAAGTCAGTCAAAACTAGTTTTTAATAAAATGCACGTATTCCACAACCTGTACTACCTCGAACGCACGCAATCACGGGCGATCTATAAATATTGTTCCATAAATTCGACTGGCCGGCTATCAAATCAATTAAGATAACTTTAACCAGTCGTCTATCAAATCGTTTTTAGATACGATAACATCGACCGATTATACCTAGTGGATAATAATTCGGTCGTTGAGTTTTGCCGGTTCGTTAGTTATCGTTGTATTAACTGTTGTACCCACGCGTTTGTCTCGCGCAACGCCGTTTTCTACGTTTTTTTTTTAATATTCTTTTCGATCTCGTTGACGGTATTGAACATCGTCGTCGTGTTATTATATACTTTTGTTTCATGTCGAACACCGAGAGAGAAATGAGTTATCGAGAACGGGTTTTTTTTTTTTTTAAAAAGGCTTACGGATCCGGTTGAAGGGAAAAAAGACAATCATTATAATGTCATGACGAAAGATACGTGCGATTCGCTTCTAAAGGATGTCGAGGATGCGATATTAGCTACTCGAAAAACCTCCGCTCAGTACAGAAGGATAAAACGATTCAATGTTTTGGCATTTGGCGATTCAAAAAAGCTGATAACCCGCGGAGAGCCAGTTAAGTATTATCTTCCGATGGAAGACATTTTTGATGTCATTGGTTCGTCACATATTGCTGTTGGGCATGGCGGGAGAGATCGCTTAAAGGTCGAAACTTCAAGAAAGTACGCTTACATCACCACTGATATGATTAACATCTTTTTGTCTCTTTGTGAAACACGCCAGAAGAAAAAAAAGCTCGGAAAGAAAGGACTCGTTTCGAAACCAATTTTGCACACTGTGTTTAATAATAGATATCAAATCGATTTGATAGACATGTAGTCGCAACCCGATTCACAGTTTAAGTTTATACTGAGTTATCGGAATCATCCGACAAAGTTCGTTGAGCTCCGCCCATTGCAGTCTAAGCGTGCAGAAGAAGTTGCAAGCCGCGTATTAGACATTTTTCTGACTTTTGGTGCTTCGGTTGTTCTCCATTCAGACAATAGGAAAGAATTTGTCTACAATGTGATTAATGGGCTAAAAACACTATGGCTGGAGTTAAAAATCGTGCACGGAAAGTCGAGGCACTCACAAAGCCAAAGCTCTGTAGAGCGTGCAAACCTAGACGTGGAGCGAATGCTCGCTTCTTGGATGACAGACAATAAATCGTCTAATTGGTCTATCGGTTTAAAGTTCGTTAAATTTATGAAAAATAGAGCTCACCACGCCGGGATAAATATGACGCCTTATAAAGCAATGTATGGGATTGATCCAAGAGTGGGGCTATCAATCTCCAACCTGCCCGATGATTTTATTAATATTGTAAACGACGAGGATGATCTTGAAAATCTTACAGGTACTCAAACTGGACGTGAATATAGTGATCGAGCAGTGAGCTGCAGGTATGTTCTTTAATTATTTTATTTCCACTTAATAAAAAACTTTTAGACATTTTTTTTTCCTTGGATATGTTTCACGTACCTCTTCTATACGTACAATTAGAAAAGAAGCGCACGCAAAAAAACAGGCAGCCTGAATGATGACTCGATCTGACAAAAAATTTCCCGCGGTCGATGTTGGTATCAACGTAGTTTTTTTTGATGTTGACAAAGGCAACACAGATCTTCCCGATCTCATCGGAGTAGTGTTAGAAAAAACAGAACATTTTCTATATAGAATCGGAACTAATGATGGAATTCTGGACAAACTTTATTGTAAAAATGGTTCATTATCATCTTTTCTTCCACCAAATAAAATAAAATTAGTAATAAATTATTAACCGTTAAAAAAATGTTTTAGGTCTGAATTCATAACATGCGAAGAAAAATTGTTCAGTGAGATTCAAGTTCCAAGCAATCATATTTCCCTCCGGGCAGCTGTAACAAAAACATTGACAGGGTCAGTGCAAGGCTTTGTAAGATGCACATATAAGGAATCTTGCGGAACAAATCGTTGTTTATGTAAGAAAAATAGAATATTATGAAATTAAAAATGCCATGATAGTTTGCCCTGTAAAAATAAACAAAACTTTTTCCTTGTTAAAACTAGTTTAAACTATCAAAATAAAAATTACGGGTTTTCACTAGATAATTCTAGTTTTAACTAATATATTTCAGACACAACTAGTTCTGACTAAACACAAATAAGTTAAACCTAGTTTTACCGGTGAAGGTCTTAGTTAATTCTAGTTTTAACTGGTCATAACTAGAATTGACTAAAACGATTTGTGGAAACTAGTTTTGAAGGATTTCGGGTTTCAACTGTAACATATATATATATATGTATTCAGTATATATTTGTGTATCCAATTGATTTTTATCATAATATCTTATCATATATCACTAATAATAATAGTAATATACTCCACTGTATCCAAATGACATCATATTTATCACTGTAAAAAAAGCAATTGTGTAGGTAATTGTGTACATTGGTCAAATATGTAACCACTAACTAACCTATTATAGGTATTCAATGTTATCTATATTGCTTACACCATTTACACTGTTACTAATGCAAAAATCAACCATTTTAATGAACTAATTGCTTACACCATTAATATATTCCTTTAATGATAAAAAAAGTCACCTTTTTATCATTGATAAAACTGATTTTTCTGAATCTTTGATATCAAAAAGTCAAATTGGCTAAAAGTGTCGTTTATGCCCTTTTGCCTATAAGGGATAGATTTGTAGCTAACTAATAATCATATACTTTAATGCTCCAAATAGATACATGCTGTAAGTACATTTATTTTTTGCTTACCGCTTTATTTATTATATTACAAACATAGATGAGATCACACATGAGACAAAGTAGATTGACTGGCTTGGCATTACTTAATGCACACAGGGCTATAAATGTATTTGTTGAAAAATAATAGATAGATTTGTGATTGAAAAAAAAGAACATTAACGTTATTATAAATTGTGTTTATTATGTAATAATATATATTATATTGTTTAACTATGTTACTGTTATGTAAGTATACATAACATTTTTTTATTATACCTACTTAAATATATATTTTAATGTTTTCAGTTGAATTATATTTTTAATTTATAGTTAAAAAAAAATTATTATGTAGGTGTAATTTATTATTTTAGCATTATTCAGTTATCATGAATCAATATGTTAGTAAGTACCTTCATACAAAGAAAATAATGGAAGTATGTGATAATGAAAATTTACACACCCCCTACCCTGCCATTCATGGTTAAAGATCCTTTGAATTAAACATATGATATCAATTCGCCTCCCCCTTAAATGTTCTTCAGATCCGCCCCTGATATTTGGTCTTCCATACATATTTTGTAAGTCATTATTATGTCTTCTTTCGTATATTCTCGTTTCCACATTATAAACTGGGACAAATATTTTTCTATGCACTTTTCTTTCTGTTATACTTAAATTAGAGTAGTCACCTTTTGTAGTAGCCCACTTTTCATACCCGTAAATTAAAATTGATCTTAAGTAACTTGTCTATAAAGTTACCTTCGATTTTCTAGATAATAATTTTGACTTGAATAATTTTAGTAAAATGTAATGAAATGTTTTCGCATTAGCTACTTGTTCTTTTAGCTCTTCGTGAATGTTATTTTAGATTCTGAGTGGAGCGAAGAAGCTTATAGTTTTACAAAGAAGTTTATTTTTTATCTGTGCGCAACTTTTCTACCAGAAGACTTGCTTAGATTTTCTGAAAGGAAATCGGCGTGGGTATTTTAAAGAAGTGGTTTTTTGATTTTCCTCAGGGTTTTCCCAGCTAATGTGAAAAACCTGGATGAAACATGGGGAAACCGGGAAAAACATAGGAAAATTAGAAAAATCGGTATAACATTAACAAACATATATAAATTCTTAAAGAAAATATATAAAGCATATTTATTAATTATTTTTTTTTTTTACTATAAAATGGCATATATATATATTGTTGACAAAGCATCACTATCAACTGAATTCCGCTCAGAATAGTTTTTTCGTAAGCAACGGTTTATTGTTGCTTATAGGTATACATTACACTATCTATAACAGTGGCTGCACCCGTACCCATTATCCTAGGACGTCTTTTTTTTATAATAAAAAAAATATTATTTTCGATAAAAATATTTTTTATTACGTATTGTGCATGTATCTTTGACAATGTGAAAAAACCGATAATACGATTGCCTGAGGAACTATGATAAGGTGATTAAATGTGTCATGTCCACAGATATAGGTATAAAACAAATGATTGGGCCGGCGAAACGAAATTCTCCCGGGCCGGTTAAAATTCAAAATCGACGACCAGCGGAAACTATCGAATTACTGGTTCATCCAACTATAACCGATCTCGGATATTTTAATCCGTGTATAAGAGGCCGGATAAGCAAAAAATAAAAAACGCCAGTATTTTTTTCATGGGCTCCTTTTAAAATTTCCCGGTATGCTAAATTTAGCCTGTTCGCTCACATGCTCATTGATCGTGAGCGTTCGAAATTAAACTATATGCGCTTGCCGACCGAACGATCGAATAAGTTTTCGAGTGCAGAGAGAACACGTAGGTAATTATTTTGAAAATAACGATTTTTACGATATTATGCGTTTGTCGTATTCATGCGAGTAAAAGAAGAAATAGAAAAAAAAATATTAAAAAAAAAAAAAAACGCGAGAGCTCGCGGTGACCGCCGCCGAACCTTATCGCGAAAACCCGACGACGGACAGTACAGTGATGTAGTAATTTCGGTATTGTTTTGTTTTATTTTTTTTTTGTGCTGTGCTGTTTTAAGGCGAATATTTTCGTTTTTTTTTTTTTTTTGTATTTTTTTTTATCGCCGTCGTGATATAATATTTTATCAGCTTTTGCGGCCGCTCGGTCCTCGGCCATTCTCAACGGTCGCGCAGACGAATGGTAATATCATATTTTTTTTGTTTCGCGTTACATAGGCACTCGCCGTCCGACCGACAAACGACGACGCCGCGGACGAGCAAGTCGGTTTCGTTTTTTTCGGCGGTTTCTCACGTTAAACGTATCGACGCCCGTCGTCATCGAATCGTTTTCTGTCGCGGTTTTTCGATTTTCTCGTCTACAGTGCGTGCGCGTCCGTCTCTTGTGCCGTCCGACCGATAGTTTTCCAAACCCGAACATCATCCAAAGCGATCGGGCAAGCCACAACAATCGAAATAATATAATAATAACAATAATAATAATAATAGCCAAAATACAAAAGAATATTGCCGACGAAGCCGCGCGTTATCATGAGCGGCCATTTTTCGTTCAGACCGTCGCCGGACAACGTCACCGACTTTCAGCCGGACCGCGACGACGCGCCGCAGCAGCCGCCGCCGCCGCCGCCGTCGTCTTCGACCGCCCGCGCGCGATACGTCTACGGAAATCCGACGGCTTCGGCGTGTTCGGTCCGACCGCCGCCGCAGGTAACAACGATGCTATGTTATAAATATTGAGGTGGCTTCGCACGTAAGTCGCAAGCTTGTCAATCGCGCGGACACGATCTTCTTGTACAAACACGCGCAGTTTTCCTCTGGCACCACACGGTACGAGTGTGCTTTTGAAAAGCAATGTCCCCCCCCCCGTTCGTGTCTCGAACGCGTCGAGTCCGGACGATGCCGCGCTCGATTTAGCAGCTTTTGCTTACGTTTTAAAAACGGAAAAATTGAAGAAGAAACGTGCCACGTGGTGGTGTAAGACCGGCCAATGAAAAGAAAAACTTTTTATCATATTAACGTATTCAATTAATTAAAAATATATCCACGTGATTGGCACAATTACCTGCGAACGGACGAAGAAACTTATTTAAACCTTTTGTTGTTCCCTATCACACCTTTAATTAAAAATACGTTATCACATTTTAACAGTTTTTCGTTTACTGATTGTTGCCTGAACCGAACGTGCGTACACACGTTCAGATAATACGCTTTCACCAACGTGGCTTGTACAAGTATGCAGATGAACATTCAATCAATCTCCATTCCGCTTGTACAAGCACAATGTTTACACAAAATTATCACACAGATGCTCAAGCATGCTTGTATAAAAAGATTGTATCTGCGTGATTGACAGGTTTGCAGTTACGTGTGTAGCCACCTTTACCCGCTTGCGCATTTGGCTGCGGTCCGAGTCTGGTCCCGGACCCTAGTGGTTTCGGTATGGTATCTAGGTAATAAAGACCCGCAGCAAGGGCCAGTCGTTTTTTTTTTTTTTTTACAATTACACGCCGGCTATTTTTTACGTTTTTATTTCTAACCTTATACCACACTACGAGCCCTACGAGTAGATACGACCGGCGACCGGGTACACAGTTATACGATAAAGAAATTCCGAGCCGGACCGGGCTTTGAAAAATATTTTGTAAGCCCGGCCGAACCAGTTATTAGAACGAATTATCGTTCCGTGCAGACCTCTAATACCTAGGTTGTACCCTACTAGTTGGGGATAAATCGGACGCGACTCGTTTCGCCTAAAACACATTTTAAGCATTTTAAATTTAAGTTGGCAATGATTTTTGAAACACATAGAAATTATTTAAAAACGTACCTACGTCACAAATTATTATATTTTATTATTTTATATACACACGTGCCACAGTATGTACTTGTTTGCACAAACATGTTGTATTAAATCCATTTAAAACGTCCATACTGAATTAAACATTATAAGTTGTAATACAAATCATTTTTTTTTATTAAACATTATCACAAAATTAAAGTCATAAAATACAAATCATAATTTATTTTAAAATATCTCCACAATTGGTACACATAACAAATAAAACGAAATGTAAACGTTATGGTATAGAAAAGAAATTCGCGGAAAGAAAACCTACTCGAATAATTAAAAAAAGGGGGGAGAAGGTTATAAATTATGATGGAATTTTGAGACCCTGTATATAACGGGTAGACTTCACCCAGGTAAGACGCCAGTAAGGCACAGATTATATTGCTATTGTCATGTATAATTGGCGCATACGAGTTGGGTCCCGGGATAAAAAGTCAACACTAGCTGGGTGCTGGGTTTATAAGGACAGTGGCGTGGTGAAAAAATCTCAGACCCTGGCGAAAATCAATAAAATATATTCGGTAAATAAACTAATAGCGTTTTCCACCTGACTGCATTAGTGTTCATTAGTGCATGTTCCATATGGAATATTGGGGCACATTTAGTGCAGGTTTTTATGTTTTATATGCGCGCACTTTACTAGTTTCTTACCCCGATTGCAGTGATAATAGCCTCTTATTTCTTATTGATAAAGACATTAACCTCGATGCTTGAATAATAATATAATTTTAACTGATAATACATGGGTAAACTTTTTTTTTTTTTGGACAAAATTAATATTATAATATTTATACCTGATAACTGTAAAAATTATGTTCCACACGTGTTTCATGATTCGACTGCACTGGACAGTTTTTCGGGCAATATAACCTGCCCGCTCTAGGTGTAACGGTGCAGTCAGGTGGAAAACGCTATTAAACGTAAAATCACCTTAAAGGCTGACGCAATCGTGTGGCATCAGGCGATCACCGGTCACTACGCCACTGTATAAGTATACTAGTTGGATCCTGGGTTCTAACACGTAGTACTATATAGTTAAGTAGTACCTACCGTGATATCATCAATAATAATTATAACAGTTTTGATGTTTAGAAAATTAAAGCACAATATTCATCCCAATAAATATCGATCAGTTTATAGTCATTTTTTAAAATACACAAATCGATAGGTAATGCGATTAAAACGACATGTTTTGAGGAAGAAAAAAACTCGAAAGAAATTGTATTTTACAAAGAAAAAAAAAATGTATAAAATATAAAATGACGGAAAAAATCACTGCCAATAAATATTCTTAGTCTGTAGAAACGAGAAGTAAAATGTTTTGTATTGCTTTTAAGCGTTTGGATCCATTTAAGTAGGTACACTCATTACCTCGGAAGTATTAACTTTTTTCGCCATTTGTTTTCTGTAACTTTTATGAAACATGCTACTCTACAATTTTATATTTATGTTATTTTTTGTCACCCTCATTTTTGGGGGGTAAAACCACTACCTAATTTTGATTTTCAAATGGCAACCCATAATAAAAATTCCATAAATAGGTTAATTATTAGTTTTTAAATACATTTTAGTGCTGATATTTTTGATTTCCGTCAATCCGTTGACGAGATATTCCACTTTTAAGTTTGGGTTGGTGGAGAGTACTGAGTAGTGGAGTATCATATTTTGTGTGGCGGTACGGTGTACGGCGTGTAAACAATGCACCTAAAACGTTTATCAATTAACATAAAACATTAACCGGTTTCTATAATTATCATTACGATACTTAATGATTATACACAATAATGGTATTTATGATTCTTTATGTGCGATAAAAAATATGGGAATTCAATGAAAAACGAAAATAGAATTAGATAATACGTATCGTGATGGTAACCTATGTTTTATTCGAAAATATTTCGTTAGATATTTACGAAAATTATTAGAGCAGAAAAATAGCTGAGTAGAAAAGTATTTAAGTTTAAAAATAATTTATACGAAAATAAATTTATTGAAAAATAATTTATTAGACATGTATTTTGTTAGAAAATTAGTTTTACCAAATACAAATAGAGCGAGCTGTTGGAAAAATATACTCCCTTGGGTTGTAGATACCGTTGTTATAGATAATACCGAATGCTCAACACGACATTCCCAATTATTTCGATAATATGAATTGCGTACTTTATAATATTTTAGCACGATGTTCAGAAGACACATCGTGTATTATATGTATATAGAGAGCATAAAACTATGGTTCAGTGGTTAACAGATGATATGAGATAACAGTGTTATCACCTCGGTTATCACCAATATCCGTATTTTCTACTAAAATATGGTTCTAAAATGAAGATTAGAGATAAAGAGACGAAACTTCTTACACGAAAAATGGGATGACAAAAAGCACACGGTTATTTTGCCACTAGGATCGCGTCGTTCGATTAGAGTCCGATGTTTTGCATTGTGTAATTAGGATTATGTACATCGTCTTTGGTTGTTTTTTTAAATAAAATAAGATTTATTATTAAGCACTTACATATTATTTTCTCAAGTTAACCAAATCAATCTAAGTAGATATTGATAAGAGTATAAGACGATTATTACACAAAGTTGTAATTGTAAGCATAAATTAAAATCAAAAAGAATGTGTTATACGTATAGACTTGTAATTTGAGCAGAAAACTTGTGTTTGCTTTTTCTAGACGTAATAAAATTAAAAAAAAAAAATTTTAACTTTCCAATATTTCAATTGTCAAATTATTGAGTATTTTTGCGGAGCTAATCAAATTTTATTTAGGTACATAAATTGGAAAATAGTATTATAAATAGAATTTTGGCGAATCGCAGTGATTTTTATGATTTTTAAAAAAATTATAAATTTAAACTCTTAACAAACAAACAAAATTCGTGACTAATAATTTTCGATATTTTCGTATAGTACCAACAATAATTACTTGTGAACCTAACCTAACATATAAAAACTAAAAAAAACTAGACAATTTCAATAAATAGCTTAAAATTTGCAAACATCCATAGAGTTAGTATTTGGTAAAAATGTTGGATCTCTACGATTATTGCTAACCGAATTAAAACAGAATTGACAACAGAAACCGTGTTATTGTCTAAATTGCCCAAGGTTTTCCGACGTTTTTATACCCAATTTTTCCCAATTATCGAAAAATGAACTCTCCAATGCACCACCAGCTAGACGATATTCGCAATCGGAAACCAATCCCAATATCAATGATCGAAGTGTGATCTTTGCTGGTAGAAAATTTGTTAATATAGACTGAAAAAACTGCACACGTGACACATCATAGTAAACACCCGGTGTAAAACCAATACAAAACCGATAACTGTCAAAACCCACATCAAATTAGATGTCTAACGTGCGTATTTTGTTTGTGTTTGATACAGTTAGGTTTTTGTTTTTTATAAAAATACCGAAACCGATTCAACTGTTATTGCAAACATCCGCTTACCCGTTTACCGAAAACCTTCCGTTCATCAGATATTCGCGGCTTTGGTTTAGGTCTTTGGTGGATCCTTTTGATGTAAGTACTGCAAACAAGAAATACGAATACTGTGTATGTGAACCGCGTTACAATTCGTTTACACCTCGTTTACGGCCATCTACCTACATAATACCTATATAATAATAATATGTACATGTATAGGTGCAGTGTCTATTTGCTCGTAAACGTTTACAGAGTGTAAACGACCGACGTGACGGTCGCGAACATTTTCAAATAATACCCGTACATAAAAAAATTCGATAAAAAATATTAATAATTTCATTATTATTATTTTTTTATCGTGAATCCACGATCATCATGATTATGCATAACGATTTTGTGATAAATTGATTACAGTTTTTTTCTCTATATTTGTTTTACTAATACATTACTCTATGATAAATTTTAGATTCGAAGGGTAGCGAGGAATGTATTCGTTTTACAATGATTTTTATATTTTTGTCTTTTTTTTTTTTATTCTGTGAACAATATTTTTACCGGATGTATCAAGTGTAGCATTTTTTCTGAAAGAAAATTTTATCGATTTAGTACTTTAAAGAGGCCATTTTTTAATTTTTTCAAGGGTTTTAATAATAAATTGGGAAAAAAAAGGAAAAATGTACGAAATGTATTTTTTTTAAAATCGTAAATATTACGGCCTTTCAAAACATGTACAACTGAACTCTGATTAAAATAGTTTTTTGTTAGCAATGATTAATCTTTTCGTACAGATTTATATTAAATTTCCCCTCTATTTCCCAACTTTTAACCTACAACAATGACCAATACATCTTTCGCTTGTTTTCTTTTTTCGTTGTAATTCAGTTAAAAATATTTATAAAGACTTGAAATTTGAACAAAAACTTATATTTGCTTTTTCTAGACGTGATCAAATTTTCAAAACATTTGAGCCATTTTTGAGCTATTTATACAGATTTTAATTATGCGAGTTTTTTAGGTAGGTAATTTATATTTGGTAGTTACTCTGTAGCTAAAATTGTTTGACTAAACAGAAATGCTTAAAAATTCAACAGTGGTTCATTATAGGTCGTACTTAAAAAAAGTAAGTTTAATGCATATTTTTTTTACAAGAATTTTTATGTCAAATTTTGACGAAAATCTTAAATACGACCTTTCAAAACGCGTATATCTGAACTTCGTTTCGAATCGTTTTTCGTTAGCAATATTTTATCGCTGCGTACATATAAATTAAATTTCTCTTTATATCTTACCTTCCCAACTTCTCACCTACAATAGTGGGCCGTCATCTGTCATGAGAAGTACCTATAACCGTCTTTTTATCTTTTTCGTTTTTATAGCTCTATGATGTATACTATCCTCGTTATATTTTTTCGAGTTAAATTTATCCTGTAACAATATTAATATACTCTTTGGAATACCAATTCCGATCAAAAACTAAAATAATATTAGTTCATAAGATAAATCGTAAAGTCCCTATTTCTAATCAGTTCACCCATCTCCATAATAAATTATACTCAATGTGGTATTTCTCTAAATTGTTTAAATTTGACCGTTACATTTTGTCTCTGCCTCGGTGTAGCTCCGCCAATCGAAATGTTTACGCGCGTAGACTGTCGGACGCCAAGTCGTAGTATAATATTTTTACATTTTTATCTACCGAAGATAATAACGATAATTTGCCTTGATTTAACTGTTATTTAATTGTTGACGATTCGCGATAGTATCCGATTTAATTTCAGTATATTTTTTTATTTTTCAAGCAGGATTTTTACTATGGTTCCCCGACGAAACGGCACACCGTCTTGTCTGTTCGTTATCGGTCTTATCGGATTTTTATTATTGCCACTATAATTTATTTATTTTTATTTTTGTAGTAACACAACTTAAAAAAAATACGAGTATACGATAGAAAATAATTTTATGTGTACTTTCACGTAAATAATATTATGTGATGAGTCACGGGTGCTATCTCCTGACACCGGCGATGATATGAGTAATATAAGTGAAATACCACAACTCAAAAATGATCACAATCAAAATTTTATATCTCGCTTAAAAATTAAAATATCGAAAAAAGTACTGTCATAGGGAAAGATGATAATATGCTCATCTTTAAGTTTGGCACCTAATATAGTCACAAAAATATGTCAATTCACTGTAATAATAAACATAGCGATACACAATTTGTCGTTTGTTTTTCAGACACATACATTAGATGCGAGTTTATTGTCCATTTAAGATACGCGCAGTTCTACAAATGTTACACTGCCCTCCTAGATGGGCCCAGAATCATAATTCATTTGCAAAATGACCAAACTTAAAAGTGGTATTGCTCAACACTAACATTTTGATTGTGGTTATTTTCTATTCACCTAACACACACACATACGATACAAACACATAATATAGAAATTTAGACGTATTTTACTTCATTATACATAAAAAAATTGACATGAGTTTTTGCGAGGCTCTTATGAATATTATGTATTTATGATCATGATTACATTAAATTATAAATATTTAAACGTGGGATTTAATTAATATATCATCTGACATCACTGTGGTGTAGTAATATTATTATTTGTATCATTTATTTTTTACGTAAAAATATTGAAGAAAAATGAGGTAATAGTGGAATATATCGCTCTCACTATGATTCTATTATGATATGTGTTTTTATTTTTTTATGTATGTAAACAATTTTTCTACCATACATCCTACTTCAGTCATCAACCTAGAAAAAATGTCGAGAAAGCTTTTAACTGTTAAATTTACACAGCGACGGTTTCTGTTAAATTATATTTTGTTTATTCAGTACAAAATAATCGCAGATACCGGACATTTTCCCGAATACTTAGATAGGTATAGTCTCTTATATACAACTCTTTCTAGAAATGATACAATTTTCAAATCATTCTGGAAATTTTCAGCTATATATAGCCATTCGAAATTATTGAGTTTTCTGTTTGATTTTATTTGAGTTTACATGATAAAAATTATTTTTGAATAAATTGAAATTAGTGGGAAAGAAGTCCAATTAAAAGTTTAAATTTTTATAAAACAACACGACCCAAAGGGGGTGGTGGGCGTTTGTTTTAACACTTCTCTTGTATCCACTACTGAGACCTATCCGTTCCACTTCAAACAAACAGTACATAGAAATACGCTTTAATTTTTGAAGGTACTCTATCCGTTTGCGTTCGATCTAATTCGATCTTTGCCTCCTCCCAATTTTTTTTTAGGATAACTCCGAAACCAATTGTGCACAAATAATTGGATATTATTTATTCCCATTTGTGCCCAAATGATTGTCCTGCAGGGCAGAATGTCCGAATTCAAGGGAAGCGATTTTTGCGTTCTCCCTCCCCAATTCGTTTCTTCAATAACCGAACTAATTGTGCAAAACGACCGGATTTCGTGTATAAACGGTCGTCCTGGGGAGAATTTTCAAATTTCAGTTTTTAGGATTGCCATGAAAAGTTGATTATTGTCAATAGTATTATTTTTCTAGTAACTTTTGAAAACAACACAAATTTAAACGTGTTCACACTAGTAAACCAATACGTTTATCATTTCGCTCAGAATCTAAAATATTCTTAAAAACATTGAAGTTTTGTTAAGTAGTCTCGTAGTGACATTCAGAAAGATATTTAGGTTAGTAACATAATATTAAAACGCAGGTGTCCAGTTGTAGGTACGCAATACGTATTGTAAGTATTTTTTTTTTTACATACCGTACCTAACCTAACCTAACCGTACCTACCTATTTGCCAGAGAGACTCATAAATAACGTATCAAATCTCTCTATTGTGTACAAATAGTAATTTACTTATTTATTAATTTATAATATAAATATAGTCTTGGCAGGTTTAAAATAGACAATAAAATATATTATAGCTATAAAATATATTACACCTACAGGACTACAAATAAATTTTTAAATATAAGTTATTATGACAATAATTTATATAGGTAGATAACTTAATTTTTAGATACAGAGTGCAACTATAAATGAGGCTATAAATGGTTTCACTATAAGATGTACATTGTTTTCTCGGAAAACAATTTTTTGGTTAGTTAAAAATGCTCCGATTTTTCAATGGCACGCCTTAAAAAAATGTGGATTATTTGGCAGGAGATAGTTTACTTGACACAAATTTCTAGATTACAAACAGTTTTTGTATATAATTTGAAATAAACACGAACGTTTTCGATACGTTGTGACTTTAGTTTTATTATTTTCTGGATTATACCATTGGCAGCCTTAGCTATACAAGAGGAAAAGTACGTGGTATATCAATACTATTCTAATATTATTCCGCTCAGAACCGTTATGAATAGTTTATCACTGCTTTTGGTACTTAAATTATATCTTAGGTACCTCTATGTTCTATTTATGTAATATGCGGTCTTTCAAACTTTTTACCCATAACCCAATGGCTCATATCCACGAGCGACGGTTGAATGGCTATTTAATATTATATTATCGTGATTGCGTTTTTATTTATCGATGTTTTAATTGACCATAAATTACCATTACTTATACATGTAAAGTATACAACTGTGGATACTTACAAACGACGAACCGTACTATTTTTTTCGTGTCTGAATTACGACTTTTTATATTACAATATATAATAACGATGAATATATTATTATAAAATGACGTTTGAGCAAATAACGTGCATTTAATCAACTTCTCCTCTCCCCCTTTCCTCACCTTTTTTTAACCAAAATTTAGAAAAAAACATGCGGAGGAAGGAGCTGTGGGAAATTTTGTTCCGATATCCAAGTGTAGCACTTTTTCTTAAAGGAAATCTAATTGGGGTGATTCTTAAATAGATCATATTTATTTTCTTAGGGGTTTTCATAATAAATGGGGAAAAACGTAGGAAAAACGAGAAAATTTACGAATATATTATTTTAAAATCTTCAATTTTACGGCCTTCTAAAACATGTATAACTAAACTCCTCTCAAAATCTTTTTTCGTAACCAATAATTAATTTCTGCGTATAGGTATATACATTAGATTTCCTCTCTACCTACCCAACTTCTCACCTACAACAGTGGCCCACCTATTGTGCGAAGTATATCCGTTTGTTTTTTAAGAATATGTGGACAATTGTGGTAAATTGTGTAATTATGCATTTGTTTATTGACGTGTGTGTTTGCATAGAATATAAAACGACTGGAAAAAAAAACATGCAATAAAACTAAATTAACTTTAATAAATGTTATAATGAATTACGAAGAGAGGTTCATGGTGAAGACGAAGATGACGAAACAGTGAGTATACCCAGTGAATATTACCCACTTGTATAGTTATTTTAGCGGTGTCTGGGTAGTGGGTACACAAAATACGTAATTTTGCACTCTCAATTTGATTTAAGTTCGGCGTCACTGATTATATGTTATACAAACACACTTGTCAGAGAACAAATGCAAAACGTCAAAATTTAACACAATAATATTATGACATATTTTCACAGAAAAATACGAGACAATAGTGTAATCTATTTGTATTATTATTATAAAAATTGTTTCTTGAAAAAAAGTCGGTCCAGTCAGTGGGTTATATACACATTATTTAACCCCATGGTAAACCCCATGACAATTTCAACAAAATATTTAGTACTTATCTAGCGTTAAACTTGTATAAAAATACTTGTATATTATATTCAATTTAATTTTAAATTCACAATGTAATTGCAATAATAAAGTGCCACGGTTAAAACTACGTTTTTACGTTATTGTTTTACTATGTATAACACAATTGAATTAATTAAAAAAAATTAGTTTTGTATTTTATGTAATTTTAATCTTTATTTTACTATCAGAAAAATAAAATAAAAATGCATTCTCACAGATTATGTCATCAATACTAAACACCACTAAAAACCGAATAACGTACTTACCTGATAATATGGCCTAACAGTTTTTCTATTTTCCGACAAACTGTTTTCACACAAATTCTGAATTTGATCGCACAAATGCACACTAATTACGTATTAAATTTAAAAAAAAAAAAAAAAATCGAAAAAGTGTGGGGAGGGCTGGTGAAATGCACGTCGTAACATGTAATACATTTTTAGTCTAGGCGAATCAATCAAAGTATTCAGGACCAGCAGATTAATGAATCTTTAACGTGGAACATTTCGTTGACGGACGATCAAGACGAAATATCGGAACGATTTTTGAGGATGCGCGACGAACCGACGACGATGGTAAATGAAAAATTCGGGCCAGCTATAGCGACGGTGCCCGATTATTTAAGAAAGCAAGCTGATGAATTATTCAGGCCTACGGACATTAACCCGAGCGAAATATTCGATACGGTCAATAATACCAGAGCCTCGTGGATACTCCCGTCTGGTTATCAACAATACATCCAGTCTATCCCTCAAAATGTGAGCATACAACGTCATTTTTACACTCATGATTAGGGCTGATATTGATATGATTTTGGGTACATTTATTGATTATGCAAAATGAATTGATGTTATGTTAGTTTATACCAATAAAAATGCGGTTTTCGATTTAAGGTTTCTATATTATACAAAAATGTAATTTTTATATTTTGACACTTTTAGATTTTTAGAGTATACCTTGAGGACATTTATAGAATATTTTTTTTGGAACCGCGTACTTTTTAGAGCATATCTAAGGATTTCGTACATTTTTTAGAAATATTCAGTTCAATGAATAGCGAGAATCACAATCAGTGGTGGATTTAAGGGAGGGATCCTAGGGGTCTTGGCCCCCCCAAATTGGCCTAAGTTAAGTTTTATTAATTCAATAGGCATACATGTATATGTGTCATATATCACTGAGTATTGGAATATAGGTCCCCCAAAATTAAATTCCGGATCTGCCACTGATCACAATTATACAAATACTTAATTGTTCAAGATAACATTAGAACGTTTTGATGAAATTTTATAATTTATTAATTTGTTTCACTCAAACAGGTTGTTATGGGTTTCCCTTCAATTTGTCAACAATACAATATATGACATTAACTGATGTATACATTTTTTATTTTCAGAATTAGTATTGGTTTTACTGATTTTTTTTTTTTAAATAATTGATTGTGTCTGTGACAACTACTCTTCTACCAGAAATTTTGCTTCAATCAAAAACCGACAAGAAAGCTTTATTGTATAATTTGGGACTTAATTGGTGTGGTTAAATTAGGTTAGGTTAACAATTTTCCTAATAATTGGGAAAAACTTAAAAAAAACGTAAACAAATTTACAGTGTTAAAAAATTCATTATTTTAAAATTAGGCTTTTCTTTCAGAAATGTTCCAACGAAATGCAAATGCAGCATAATTTCTCAAAGTAAATTTCGTCTGATCGGTAAGCAGAAGATGCCGTTTTGATTTTCGGTGTACTTTTCTTAGAAATTGAGAAAAACCAGAAATAAACGTAGGAAAAACGGGAAAATGTACAGCCATAACGGTTTTATTATTTTCGATTTTGTTTTATTATTGTTATTCAGTTAAAAATAATCCAAGATAACTGAAATTTTCACATAATACTCACATTGGTCATTTTTAGACGTGAAACAATTTTGGTGATTATTGTACTATTTATAGAGGCATTCTATATTTTCAAGTTTTTTTAGTTTTTATTTGGTTAAATATGAATAAAATTTCTTTCGCCAAGCAAAAGTGCTCGAAAATTTTACATGAGTTTCACTTTAAATTATTCTTGGTGGTGATTTTTTAAAGAAACGTTTTAAAATATGTTTAATCGAATTTCTTTCAGGATCGTTTTTCGATAGGTTTTCGCCAGATAAATCAAATAAATTAATATAATTTTTTATAAAAAAAATGGCAATGTATTTATACAAAAGAAAAATTAAAAATAAATCATAGGGCAAAATTTTAAATTAAATTTTGCCCTCTGGTTTATTTTCCTGTGGATATTTTTCATTACAAGGAGGGGGGACGAAATTGCCGAATCATATTATATTTTATAAAAATATCTGAAAATTGATATAGAGACTTAATATAGTTTATTACCGTTTGTTCTACAATAATTGAAAAAAGCAACAAAAGTCAAATTTACTAAAAATCCTCCCAGAAAAACAGAGAGAAAATCGTGATTCATGATAAATTGATCTTTCTGTTCATGAAATTATTATATTAACGTGTTAACATATTTATACCTAATAAACGCGGATAGTTTTAATTTATTTTTGAACTAAAAATTAATACGATTTTCAAACTAAGTTTGTTGAATAATGTTCAACTGAACTTCGCTCAGATTAGGTTTTCGTTAGCAATAATCTATCTTACTACAGGTATAAATTAAATTGTCCTCAATATTCAATACCTTTACGCCTGTACAATATACACCTATATTGGCTTTTTTTTTAATTACCTTTAAACGTTCGATAAAATGCTTCATTATTTCTCAAGTTTAATCGAGTCAATTATATTCCGTTAACATGTTCACCTTTGTTATAGGTGCTGGAGAAACGGGAACGGCAGATACTATATCCATGGACGCAGTGGAACACGTCGATAGGCGCGCGTCACCGTCCGGCGTCCAACGGTATCGTTGGATCACCCGCCGTGTCCGACCGATCGCCGCTGTCGTCGTTATCGTCGTCGTCGTCGTCGACGTCGTCGTCGTCATCGTCGCTGTACGCGCACCGGCTGTTCGTCAGGTCGCCCGAAAGCAACTTGTCCGTCCACGGCAACTCGACTGGCTACGGAAACACGTCCGGCTACGGCAACACGTCCGGCTACGGCAACACGTCCGACTACGCTAACATGTCCAGCTACGGCAGCGGTATGGCTTCGACGGTGACGACTGACACGTCGTCCGCCAGCGATTTCACGAGCAGCTATCCGCCCGTCGTTTGGATGGCTCGCGAACAGCAGAACAGCCCATACTCGACACCGCCGCGGTACGCCTGTTCCACTCCTACTGTCTTGGCCACCGCCGCCGCCACCTCCACAACCGCATCCATCACCACCGCCAATACCACTGTTGACACAGTGTCCGGCGGCGTCACCGTGGCGACTGCTAACTCACCGTCCCGTCTCTACTATTGCGTAAACAGGGACACCAACACCATTAACAAGCTGGTGGAGCATTACTGCACGTTTTGCTACAAAAACCACGAACCGCCCGAGGTGTACGGCAGTCATCTGCTCCGGGACTCGGTTCGGACCACTTGTCCCAAGCTCAGGGCGCTCAAGTGCAAACACTGCAACGGCACGGGCGACAACGCGCACACCATCAAATACTGTCCGTTCGTCTACGCCAACTACAAGTAGTCGGACCGGCGGTTCGCAGTGTAGGGTCTCCTGTAGGCGGTTAGGATAGGTTAGGTTTAGGGTCGTTTTGTATTTATCTGTCTGTATAGTGAATATAATATAATAGGTAAGGTACTCGGATTATTTTTCGTATCATTTTAAGATATCTATACATAGTAATATATTTCTGTTAGTTTTTTATTTTTTTTTTTTTTACTCCCGTTTGTTTCAACGTATAAAAATGCACGTGACAATTCGCCACTTTCGACAACGCTTGCGATATAAGACGGACAATAATTGTTTTCGATTTCGAGCGTTTTTTTTTTTTTTTTTGCAACAAGTAGTTTCGGTTAAATACTGTTGTGCTTAATTTTTGTAACGTACTTACGTACGCGCGTGTCCCGGTCCCGTTCTCGCTCGGCTCGCCGTTTTTATATACGCGCGCATCGCGTGACACGATTAGGCACCACCTGTTATACCGGGTGTACCGCCGCAACAATACCGATTGTCACGCGCAATCACGGCAATCACTAATCGTAGCGTGTTGCGGGCACGCCTCAAACCTCGGAGAGGGGAGTAGAAGGGCGGACGGGGAGGGGGGAACTTTATATTACGACACGTCGATTTGATTTTTTTTCCCTCGTCGGCGGGTCCCGTATTTCCAAACTTTCTCTCTCGCTCTCCCCTTCCATATATCATGTTATAATCGAATCTCTCGCACCGTTTAAACTTTTTTTTTTTTCTTACTGATTATGCCATATATTACACTCGTGTTACCACGCACGGGCAAATACATAATATACAATAAATTATATCCGTATCATTATTATTATTATTATTATTATTATTATACCGTTAATCACGCGTCGTATACTTACAATGATAACAGTATACAATATGCACGCACGCGCTAAATATTTTGTATTCATAGAGATTACACGTTTACACGAATATTATAAGTGCTGCGTTATTTCGTCTTTACGTTAAATAATCGATCGACGGAATATCGACGATCGTTTACATACCTACTTACATAGGTTTTTTTTTTTTTTTAATATTTATCTAAATGTAAAAATATATTTTTAACATCGACACGATTATATTTGTATTGTTGTGATGTAATTATACGGTTTTAAGTGTACTCGTTATACTTATTGCAATATGACTGCGTTTTATTTTATTCACTCGTCTCGATTTGTATGGTATAGTAGGCCTAGGATTTTAAAATTATATTAACTAATGCATTTTGAATCGATTTAAAAATTATTTTTATGTTTTATACTTTTACACATGTTTAATTTTAATGTTGTGGGATAAAGGTTAAATAGGTATTAAATAGGTAATAGGTAAAAATTACTGTACGTAACATATTTTTTTTAACCATTAAATTATAGAACACAATGATACTGTATATTATACTTGTTTTTTTGTGTGAGATCCAGCAATTTTTAATCGAATTTTCACCGAAAAACAGTGACTATTGCAGCCCACTTTTAGCGGCTTAATCTGGACCAAATCAACTCAAACTAGGAAAATATAGAGCGGTTTTATTAGCGGATCGAAGTGATAAAAGTTGGAATGAATTTCAACATGTTGTTGTGGGTGAAAGGGATTAATTTGTTTAGGTTTAGCACTCCTACAGCCCTACAGACAGCCAGAGTTCGACTCTCTAAATGAAATTAGGAGTATAATGCAGTATAATACGTATAATACGCATGGCGTTGTATCAAGAATATGTTTTTCGGGGGGTTTGATTTTAATGTAGTGAACCTATATGACTTTTTCCCGATGTCAAACCTATGATTGATTCGATATTTTAAATCGAAAACCACAAGTTGTCATATCGAAATTAATCGACATATCAGTTTAAAACCAAATTTTTAATCGTTCAAAAACGTTTTAAAGTTAAGACTAGTATGCAAAAAGCGTAAAAAAAAATATAAATACGTATGCATTTTCAAGTCTAGGCGGTAATTTTATATCCTTTAGACTATATTCAAAAAATGTAGTAGTTTTTCGTATATAAATGTTTCAAATTCAAACCTAGGTGAAAATCGTAAAAATTACGTCATTTTAAAAAATGTTTAACCGAACTTCGTTTAGTATCGTATATCGTTTATCTGCGCACAGATGAATAAAAAGGAAACTCTATATAATATCTTATCGTCCCGACTTTCCGTTTGAAACTATGGCATACTTATTAGCAGTATTAACACTTATTTTTTTTACCGCTAATTACAATTTATGATGAACGTTGTACGTCTTTTCTAAATACTTCTGCTTGGTCAACTCGGCTAAAACAATTTTATCTATGTAAAACAAAATAAAATTTAAAAAAACCCGCAAAAATACCTACCGCCTATAAAGCGTTCAAAAGTCACCGAAATGGATCAACGTTTTACCACCTTTATAAATAGGTTATTTAAGTATTTTATTAAAATTTCACGTGTTAACTATTATTTTCAATCGAATATAACAAAATAAAGATAATGGAAACGTTATTTCTGTATTACTTTCCCGTTTTACATACGTTTTCTCGGGATTTCTCAATCATAAAAAAATTATACAGAAAATCAAAAACCGAACTTCTTAATGCATCAGCTAGATCCATACTGCGACAGTAAGTTCTGTAGTCGTTTTGTTAATCGGATCATTATCTGATAGAAGAGTTTTTCAATACACAAAAAATACAAATAAAAATAGTACTCGATATTGTTTAGTGTTGAAATGGAATTATAAATCCAAAGATCTGTGCTGTTTAAATGTTAAGGTAAAGTTATATTAAGACGTTATTTGTTCGTACCTGTATGTTCGTTCAGATGATCAGTATATCTCAAAATCATCGTGTAAGTATAACTTTAGATATTTTATTTCGAAGACGATAGGAATATCTATCAGAAGGTGATAATATGTTTACCAAAGCTTTACCGGAGTTCAATAAATTAGTGTAATCTGTTTTTTTGGTAAGAACATCATTGACTTCGGATTTACTCTATTGAACAATATAAACACTATAATAATATAATATATATATAGACCAGGTGATCCATTTAAGTGGGGACACTCATTATCTTGGAAAGTATTAACTTTTTTCGGAATTTTTTTTCAGAACATTTAAGAAACAAGCTGTTCTACAATTATATATTTATATTATTTTTAGTTTACCTTATTTTTTCGGAAATTTCTAGTTTTTCGAATTTCCATCAAGCTGTTGATGAGATATTTTATGTTTGATTTAGAAGAGAGTAGTTTTGTATTATTAACACGCAGCGAGCTGGGCCGTACCGCCACACGAATGATACTCCACTACTTTCCTCCAATCAAAAATTCAACACTAAAATGTAATTTAACAAATATTCCATTTATTTATAGATGTTTTATTATGGGTTATCATTTGAAAATTAAAAGTAGGTAGTGATTTTACTCCGAAAAAATAAAGATAATTAAAAATAATATAAATATATAATTGTAGAACAGCTTGTTTCTTAAATATTCTGAAAAAAAAAATTCCGAAAAATGTTAATACTTTCCGAGATAATGAATAATCCCACTTTAATGGATTACCTGGTATTATACAACAATACTAATACTGACCATTTGAGATATAAGTCCTACAATAGCTTCCATCTATTACAGGCAGTTTAAAATGAGAGACGTTTAAACTCGAATCGTAAAACAATTTATGACACAGTGATGACATCGATTAATTATTATAAAGTACAAATTTTTCTACCTCCCTGGATTTTAAAAATTATAAATTCCGTGGTTTTTCGGTATCATATTAAATGTCGTAAATTAAAGCTTTTGTTTTATTTTAAATAATAAAACTTGAATAGAATTTAATGGTGAAAAAGAAAATAAATTTGATTATTACTGTTTTTATTGTGGTATGTATGTACAGGACAATTATTACACGGTATATAGTATAAATTTGCAATCAAACTGTGTGGTATCTATTTCGGGGTTCAAATCATCATTTCTATCGTCGATTGCTTCGCTTTGTTCACGCCAAGTAACACCTCACCGTGTATCGCAAACTTCTCTTGCCCATTTTAAATTTACAGCACCCCGAAGTTCATGATTAATTATTTACATATTCATGACTTGCGGAGTATTGCCTAATTTTATCCGAATCAACTTTGCTACTTAAGCACTTTTTTTTCGCATGCAGTTATATTTTTAGATCGCCTATTCTATTAGCAACCTTTGTTTGATAAATCCGATAATTATTATTTTTTTGATAGTAGTAGTTGTTACACTAATGGTTTGAGTATTTACCATTCTCAAGTGATGTTGGGTAGTAACTTAGTGTTAGTGTCACATGATGCTAATGTGAAAGCACATGTGTTATATACAATAAGTTTCCTTTCTATTGTCTTTGTGTTAGGTTCACAGATTGGTTGTGAATTTATAGCCTTATAGGTACTTCATACCGTGCAATTATAATTGTTTTGTACATACCTTAATAAGAACCGTATTAATCAAATTTATATTATATTTTACCATTGAATTATATTTAAGTTTTATTATTTAAAATAAAACAAATTTTTTCATTTATTAATAAAAGCAAAACAAATTCCGTAAACTATCAAACAAATACAAACTAATTAGTGTAAGTATTTATTAACCCAAAATCCAAAAAAGGGGCCCCAGTGTAATGTACGTCAGGCAAAGCTTTTTATTTTTTCAAATGGATTGCTTCCAAATTATTACCGACCGGAAATAATAAAATTAATAGACTGATTTATGGATATTTATTTGAAATATGCAGGACTTAATTGAAAATATTTACTCTATTTTTGAAATCAATGTACGGTGTAATTTGGTTAGATCGTCTACATGGTTTTAAGAGCCAATGGATACATTTTAAAAATGCTTAATCAAATACTAAGTACAGAAAAAATACCAATTTCTTTTAAGAAAGCTAAGACTATTGCAATAAACAAACCTAGGAAAAATAACAGTGATGCTAACCTTTATCGCCCTATTTCTTTGTTTAACAATCGCTACAAATTGCTTGAAAGGTTTCTCAAAAATAAAATTGCTTCAGTAATAGAAAAAGTATTACCAAAGCCACAAGCAGGTTTTTGTCCAGGAAGGAATTCCTGTGAACAGATTACTGTAGGAAATCATTCCCTGCTTAAAATTAAACAAAATATTGAATACCTTCACAAGAAGTTGTCGGGCACACATATATAATTCACATAGCAACTGGAGAAACTTATAAACAATTGATCCTTAGCGCTCCATTTTAGCGTCGATTTTGATATGCCAGAAAATCTTTTATTTCTTAGATACCAATGTACAGACGACACAGCACTAGCAGTTCAGAGTATGGGCTTAGAAACCTGTGAAGAAATACTAAATGAGGACTTAGACATGCTTTTAAATTATTGTAAAATGTGTAAACTGAAACGAAATCAATCTAAAAGGGAATCGATGATGCTTGAACAACAGATTGACTAATTACAAACTTAGTATATCAACTTTGATGAAAACCGAGTTCAACATGGCATATCACCAACGTACCTAGGTGCGAATCTGAGCCCTTACTTATAGGCCTCATTTAGAGATAATTGCTTTGAAATTACGGACTCACAATAATATTATCGCTAAACAAACTAGTACTAGACGGGGAGTAAACTTTGCACATACCAATGAAACCGAAATAATAGAAATCTGGATTACTGGATAATACCAGCACTTATCATACTATCAAGGAACGCTAGGAAGAATAATGGAACAAGGAAATGTCATAAAACTACGAACTGATCGAGAAACTAAATCAAATGTTCACAGAGTTCTACCTTCCTAGGAGAGGGAGTAGTTAAGGTTTAACTGTTTTTGGCAGGGGTGGTGCTAGGAGGAAATTTGGGGCGTGTGCCATCCCTTCACAAGTGGAAAATTAATTTCTGGTTGAAATTGTAAAAAAATGCCGAGTCGGAAATGTCATTTATTTACTCAATGATCAATCTCTATCAATTTCTATATTGCCAATTGCAATATAGACAGCGCTAAAGTAGCTAAGGCATGATAAGGCCGCTTAGAAAAAAAAGGTCACCAGCTAAAAATGTGTTAAATTTGTATACGTATAATTGTTAGCCACCGGCTCTAACTTTCGGTGTGGTCAAGGAAGGTCCAATTACCTAATAGAAAAATGTAATTTAGTAGACTTGAAATCGTGATGACGTGTAAAGTCAACGGCGCGAATGGTTCAGAGAATAGTACATACACGCTTTTCCACATAAAAGTTCTCCTTGTTTTTGAAGAGGGCGTGTTTTATGAGGCTGTCTGATTTAAAAAAAATATGCGTGACATTTATTTGTATTACTTGTTGGCTAATATTGATATTTTAAAATTATTTTTCACTTAGAATGTTTAAATGCCTATATTACGTATGTTGTATGCATTGTTACGAGTCGAATGTGTACCTCGAAAACAAATAAATATAGAACCGTCTTCTAAACCCAGAAACATACCTAATCTTTCCACGAACATATTATTTAACAGCACTCCAGTAAATGCCTGCCAGGAACCTCCCGCTAGGAAGCATTTTAGACTTCCCGGGTATTATCTGTTTTAATCCCGATTGATGCTAGGCCTGCCGGGAAGCATTTCGACGTTCCAGGGACGTTATATTTCGGTCCTCAAATCACCCCCTTTACCTGAACGCTGACGTCGCGATACCCAGTGTTTTGGTAAGCGTTTCTGTAGAGAAGGACCCGTAACGCGACGGGAAATCTATCGGGTAGCGACGACGGTGAGGGGTGGAAGCAATAAAAATGTCTCGAGTGACCGGGCGCCGAACGGCGGTGTACGCGACGTCGACGACGGAGTGGGTGAGATTATATTATTGTAACACGAGTGGAGCATATATAATAATAAATATGAAAACCGTGTCGCCGACATGTTATAGTATTGTAATACGCGTACGAAATCGTTCGCGTTCGACAGCCGTAGCGTAATGACGAGTTTATCTTATCGACAGCTGGCTGTTTGCCGGGTGCTCGTGACGGGTTAGCTATAGGTTAGTGCTGCCGGATAATATACGACGGCGTCGTCAGATAAACAGATACACACGCGCGGTTTCGAGTGTTCAAACAATAAATAATAATAATAATAATAATAATAATAATAATGATGATAGATACTGACAACAATAATAATAATAATAAAAATAACAGTAATAATCTATACGCGACCGTCACCGCGCGTTGTTGGCGCCGCCGTATTTGCTTGCAGTATACGCGAATACGCGACGACGAACGTTCGCCGCCGCCGCCGCCCCCCGCCGTCGCCGTTATGACCCGCGGGCCAATCATCGCCACCGATGGCCTGCTCCTTAAATCACTGTTGTTCGCCTGTTGCTCGCTCCTGCAGCTGCAAGCCACTGCGCCACCGCTGCCGGCGGCGTTCGTCTCGTCCGCCACCAACGTCACTGACACCGTACCCGTCCGCCGCTGGCCTCTGGAGATCCTCACGGCCGTCATAATGCCCGCCGACCCCGAATACCCTACGAGCCTGTCAAAGGTCATGCCCGTGCTGGAAATCGCCGTTCGCGATCTGTACACCAAGGGCGTGCTCCGCGAGACGGACGTCACGTTCAAGTTCGTTCAAAGGGACGATAAGTGCGAAGACATCGAGGCCTTGAGGTCCAGTTTCGAACTGAACGTCAACGGGCACGTCGACTTGTTCCTGGGACCCACTTGCGATTATGGCGTCGGTGAGTAATTTTTTTTTTTTTTAACCTGTAGGATGGTTTAAAACTTCTTTTTTTCATTCATCATCACGGTCACTCGCCATTTCTTTTAGTGCTCTACAGCCTTCAACTCCTGCATATTTCTCGATTTTTGTCCGATAAATGTATTGCGGGTCGTCCGGGTGATCTTTTCCTTTCGACCATGTTCTCTAGTACTGTGCTGTAGCACAGCTCTTTAATGAATGTCCATTTCGTATTCATTTTCTATCTTCTCTTTCTAATCGAGTCTTTGATATACGTGTCTCACCGACTATTTCCAGAACATCTTGTTCATTTATCCGTTCCATTCGGCTTATTCTTTGCATGCGTTTCCAGTACCACATTTCAAATGCTTCTATTGTTTTTCATTCGGTTTAATTTATAACCCACGTTTCACAGTCGTGCAGGGTTATACTCTAAACATATGTTTTAATAGGTCATTTTAATGTTAAGGTTCAATTTCTTAGACGTAAATAGTTTAGATTTTTTACTAAACGTTGGTTTTATCATTCCTATGCGTTTTTTGATTTTTATTGTGTCCTTAAGTGAGTGATAAATAGTAATAATAATAAAAATTTATACAGGGTGTTTTTGAAATGTTTGCTACCACAAACATCACTTTAATATCTGTTTGCACATTTTCGCACGATTTTAACGCTAAATTGTTTAATAATATCGATTGGTATGAGACCTATTAATGAATATTTCATTGGAGGTGTATACTTTTAAACTCAGGTTAATATTTTAATAAACTAATTAGAAAACAAATTTCAGAATTTGTTTTACTGGGCCGAGTTCATTTAAAAAGCATAGGTACTTATTTATTCATACATATCGACGACCGGCTTATCGATACCGAGTTTTAAGATTTTCACACGAGAAAAAATGTGAACCACTCTTTTTATAGAAGTGATTAAAATATATTAATTTTTCTCTGTGAAATTCTATATAATATAATATAGAGTATAGTGTTTCTGCATCAGTTGTTATTTTTAATAGGAGTGAATTGGGAGTAAATTGAACATACCATATTCAAATAATTTATGGAAAATCGACGGACACCACATTCCTTGTTCATTCTTCCTTTCCTCGGTGTTTGGTGGAAAGCGTTGGCGAGCGAACTGTTTTAGGTCTTATTCGCAATTCACTGTCATATGCTAGGATATATTACTATGTGTTTTTTTTGAAAATTGAAAATAGTATTTAAAATTAATTCTATAAACCTGTATATAAGCAAAAAATTTGAAAAAAAAAAAAATTCGTATACTTGATATATCAGGCAGTATTAATCAAATTTACTTCTTATTTGGGTTGTTTTTTAGGGTAAACAACTTCCACGAGCCTTGTTGATTAAATTAGCTATAAAACATTAATATGGCGTATACATTTCTGTCAGTAATTTTATTTAAACAGAATTTTTTTCAGTCGAATGCCAACAATAACTATACAAAGTAATCCTATTATAGCTAGGTAATAAATAAAAACAGCAATAAAAAAACTATCAAATATAGTGAGTTATTTTGGTCTTTATTGAATATATTATGTTGTTTGCATTACACTCCTTAATTTTTTATGTTTATTTTTTTGTTTTGTTATTTCAAAACGCATGTTCACACCTAATAGTCAGATAATTATAGTATTAATATATTACAGAGACAATCAAAAAACGACTTTCTTATTTGTCAACTAATCCAATATCCAACAAAAAAAACTCTCTCGACGGTTTTTTACTGGAACAATATTTCTGGTAAAATAGATCATGCGTAAAAATTTTCAATAATAAAATCGAACGTCATAAATCGTTCGTCATTTTTTGTATTTTTCAGGTTTTCCAAACTATTATTGCAAATGACTTTGAAAATCAAAAAACGATTTACTTCGTGAGCAACTAAATACAAAATTCAATAAAAAGAAGGTATCTAGGTATTTTTTGTTTAAAGCAATATTTATCTACTTAATAGAAAATATAGTTCACAAAAATTAAAAACTATGAAATCATAACGCCTAAGCATGTCTAAATATTTGCCTTTTTTACCTATTGTTTCTGGTTTTCATCAATTATTTTGAAAACCAATGGGTTGGAAAAACCATTGGAAAGAAAAAATAATATTTTTAATGCACTAAATCGATCAAATTTCGTACCAAAAAAGTTGCTTCACTTGATACACCGGAACAAGTTTTCTTTTCGAAAAGTTGTTTAGAAAGAAAAAAAACACACACATATTGTAGTCGAACCAAAACTCTTCGCTCTGTTTCGAATCTAAAAAAAAAGAAAACACCTATCATAGCATAAAAAATAGATCTCTCGCAAATTACTTTAGTTATTGATATAAGTTTGAACTAAATGTTTATTATGTATATTTATTTTTTTTTTTCTGGTGGTTCTGTTAGATTAAATCACTACCTGAGTGGATGAGTCGAATATGATTTAAAAAAAATCTGAGTAAATTTAAATTATACATAATTATAAGTGATGGCGAGGTACCTAATTTATATTAAATTAAATCATGAGTTTATTTTAACGTTTATAAAGGCTCTCATTAAAATCTTTCTAAATACATTCCACTTAATCTCCTTCATCTATCATTATAACTCAAATTCAGAACAATGAACATGCTATAATATAATAATGTATATTATTATATTATTATCTTTTGTGCCAGAGACTGGCTTTTGTATTATACTTTCATGATCTTGTAATATACAGTTCGTTAATTGTCGAGCTATTATAGTTTTACACCGAAAGCTCTTAAAAGAAAACCAAATGAGACGTGGCTTATTTAAATTATTATGTTTATGATGTGATGTCAGTTCTAGAAATTTAATTGAAAATAATTTTTTTGATAACACTTAGTGTAATTCAAATAGAAATAATATACGGTTTAAAATACCCTTTTTTTTTAAACCATATAAACCGTTAAAACTTTGTTGTAAAGCGTTTAAACGAATAAATGAACATCTTATATGGAAAACTCGGTTCAATTATTCATTTGTATAGAGTATTTCAGTGTTTCAATAAATTATACAATTTTTTTTTCAATAGTATCTATATATATATTTATTTTAAAAATTTGGATGTTTTTTGTTTTTAAATTTTGATTGTAGCGAAGAAACTACCCAATCAGCATACAAATGATTCTCCCAAGAAGTTTTTGGAGTGAGTAGAACACGATTGCGTACGTTTATAGTTTGGTTAAAAAATAACTTTAAGAAAAAAAAATAAACACGACTGCGTATGAAATTGTATGTAACGTTGTCAAACTTATTAATTTCACCATATATCTAAAAAATATTCAGTACACTTCTGTAAAAGTTAATATAAAATAATAAAATGTGGCTAATGAGAATAACGAAACAATAGTAAATTAATTATTTAAAAAAAATATATTTTAATTTTAATTCTCTGAAATCTATAACCTACTGCTTTTAAATATTGGATTAAATTTTTATGGATTTATCATATATACTGGTATGAAAATTGGTAAAAACGTGTAATACTTTGTACGTAATCGTGTTTTACCCGTTAAGGTGGTCTATAGGGACTCGGCAACTATACTAGTAATTCTCGGACAGGTTTGGCATATTCTAAGAAGGTCTGTAGGATTCCAAATTCGAAATATGAGTTCAGTCCGTCTCCGCGATCACCTGACAGACTGCACCTGGGAACCCTCTCCCCATTTTTTTTAATTTTATACGTTATTTCAGTGTATTTTATATATTTATAAAAATAGTAGGTTATAAAAAAATATAAGTGCCTTCCTTCCTTTCCCCTCAGCACAGAAATTATTTTCTGGCTACAGTAATGAAGAAAATCTATAAATAATAGACAACGTTTTGGTGTTTAAATCGTTTATACTTACCCGTCTTTGAGTCAGCGAATGAGGAAGTATGCGGAGGGAGCTATATCGAAAGGATGGGAGGGGATGAGAGTAGGTGGAAGAGGGAAGGTTTAAAGGGGATTGATTTATTTTACACACCAAAATAGAAAATTCTTAGAAAGGTCGAAATGTTTCTCAACGGCAAGTTTCAGATGCGCATTAATGTAACTACTTTGACTCAGTCGGTTCCCGGTAAGATCAAAATGCTTCCTGATGAGAGGTCTCGGGTGAACATCTATTAAGACCACAACAGTCGGTTCCCGCGACCATCTGTTTATTAGGGTAAATTAGTTTTACTAAACGTTTTTTTTTTTTCGGAAAAACTTTTTTGGTTCGTAAAAATAATTCATATTATTCTCCGTAGTAGCTCAGATGGTGATACTTTAATTTAACATTTTTCTCAACTTTTTAAAAATGAAAAATACTAGCAATAAATAACAAAATGATAATTTTACTTTAGTTTATTTCTGAGTTTTCTTGCAAGCTATACAAGGGATACAAATACCGTGAATTAAAACGATGATGGAAAAATTATTTTATTATTTTATTAAGTAACTAATCTCCAATCAAAATCATTTTTTTTAAATTTTTTTTTGTTGCAATTTTTTATCGTAGCTTTCTGAATTAAAACTGTTAAATAAAGTAGATACCCTCTCCACCTTTAAAGCTGCAACACTAACCTAGCAACGCATGAAACATTGAATTTCCGGTTTTTTAAATCTGTGATGATCATTTTTTCGGTTAGAGAAAATATTACAAAAATTCCACACAGTTCGTGTCGGTATACTTTAATCATTCGAGAGGTGGTATTAAAAGCTCAGGATTTAACAGTAGTTGTATATTTTATTTCAAATTTTTGTAACGTTGGATGAGAGTTCAGCTTTTCATTTGACTTGTAGCAACACTGTCTTGATTAGACATTGTACATTAGATTAAATAAAACAAGTTCAAAAACAGCATATTGTTTTTTAATCTGCAAGACGAGATAAAATTGGTAAATCTGGTATTACATTTTTATCAGTATCAGAATTTGTCTAGACAGTGATTTCGTCTCTCCACTTATTTACTTTATAATCGAAAATGCCCGTAAACAAATAAACCCGAGCGGAAAAATGTAATTGTTTAAAAATGCATTTTCTAGGGTGATTTAATTTATCTGTTCGCATTGATAAATCAATTCTAGCAAAAAACGATCCTGAACTATATTTAGTTAAATATATTTTGAAAATAGTTTTATTAAAAATTGAATTCATTGATTAACTTTTTTACCACTGTGGACAGCTTAGGATGAACCATGCTAAACTATTGAGTATTTTTAATTTGTCAAAATATTTTTGACCCAGTTTTCTGACGTTTTTTCTAATTATACAGAAAAATACATAAACAATTATCGTTTCCGAGTTATAATAGACAGAAAAAAAATATATCATAGTAAAACCAATATATTATATTGGTTTTTTCAGAATTTAAAAACTCAGTAAGTATCACATAGAAAATATAAAATTGTTCGCCATAGAACGGTTTCGGGTCAAGTAAAGGGTTTAATCATTTTTATAGTTTTTAAATTATTATATTAAATGAAATAACAAAATTATGGCCTTTTAAATATAACCGAACTCCGCTCAGAATCGTTTTTCGTTAACAATAATTAATCGTTGCATATAGATATATATTAAATTTCCCTCTATATCTTACCTTCCAAACTTCTCACCTACAATGGTGGCTCACCTATCGTGCGACGTATGCCCGTCTTTTTTAGATATCAACTTATAAATTTCTAAAGTTTGTATTAACAGCTAATCAAATAACCTATTTACCCAGTACATTTTTAATATGGGTATATGCACTTAAACTGAATTATACTTGAAGTATGTCTATTTCAGGTTATTTCAAAAAATTATATCTCCGCTTAATATTTTAGGTGCAGCGTTATTACGTCATCGTACTCAAATATTTTGAATCACGAGTAACTATTGATACAGGTACTATGTTGTTGCGTGAAATTTTTTCAACAGTCCCTAAATATATTCTATTTAAAATAATATTATTCGTAAAATTGTTTTATAGAGTGTAAAAGCGTATTTAAGAAACCACGTTTGGTTATTATTATTTTTTTTTATAATATTAAAAACCTTAGTTTTGTAATATAAATTCTATTATTTTAGTAGCTCTATTAATATTAAGAACCCGTACCTACTACCTAGCTACTTGTTATTTGGACTTTTTAGATTATATATAAAAAACAAAAAAAAAAAAAAAAAAAAACGTTCAACGGATTAATATTTCAAGAAGGTACGCAAAATATAACAAACCATTATTATCGAACTGTTCGAACGGTATTTTATATTTTTCCGTAATCTCGTTAAGATTCGAACACACAAGTACCCCGCATAATAGGTAGCTAAATTTAAATAAATACGCGTCCAAATCGATCGTATTATTATTATTATTATTCGTACTTTGATTTGTTTGAGTGTATTACAATTATTGAATGTTAATTAAATAATAATATAAATAGGCATCGTTTGCCGGTTTCTACCTACCTAGCTACATCTACAGATAATAATTATTCAACCGTATGCGTTTCTCTGCATTCGATCGTCGTTCGTTATTACGACACCTGCAATACCTAACCGCTCTCGAGATGTAAAATTATTACTTGGGTGTGTTTGTACAAGTCTTACAGGCACAATTGGTACGATAGGTAGTTGTAACAAATGGTATTGGGACCACCTACCCCATCTCCCCGGTAACGAGTACTGCAAGGATCCGTTGTGTTCGTCGGGCTATTAATACATTTTATCATGGATGACGTATTATATTATTATTATTTTGAACTCATCATCGCTATATACAATACGCGCATATAATAATCACAGAGAGCACGGATACGACCGTGACAAAATATATCTTAGATAAGATAGAAATAGATAGAGGTATCATTATCACGGACTATGGATAGAATAGACTGGAAACAAGAGCCGTATTACCGATCCGCTTGGCGTTTGTTAGTTATTACTCGCGAGCGTCGAGTACCGGGGAGATTGTACGTTTTCTATATTAGCGTTACCTAGACGTTCAGCTCCTCCCCCCCCGTTACCCATCCGTCATCTCTTGTTCAACCCGCGGTCCACGCTATCGAATATTACCTCATGTCAATGATATCCGGTATCATAGTTTCTACCTATCATATTATTATTTTGCCCAGGTGTTGACTATGGTAGTTTACTAATTGTGCCTAAAATAACCCTTTTATGTACCAATAATTACGCTCAAAACATTTCGTGTTGATAAACCAATTGGCCAAAACATTTTAGGATGATAGACCAATTATTGCGCTAATTTTGTACAACATAAGGTTATGTCTAATATAATAATCTAATATAATTTAATATAAATAAATAGTTTTTTCACATTTAACACAATTTATTTTTGTTCGTCAACTATTTATAATTCAATTTAAAATATTTTACATTATTATTTACATTTCAAGTTTTTTACAAAAGTAATAATAAACCGACTTAAAACATTCTTTGTAATTTCTTCAGATTTATATTTCTTGATAACGAATTCGATTCCTAATTATTTTCTTAAATAGGTACGCTCGATTTGAAATATATTACTTTTTTTATATATTGTTCATTGCAAAATAAGTGCTGGTCTATGTTTCTGTAATTTCTTTTACGGAGATAAAAATATTTGAATAGGAAGAATAAAAGTTTGAAGAAAATGAAGCGTGAAAAGATTCACACGTAATATACCCTGTTTCAAAAGAGAACGTACCGCTTCCGCGACCAGTTTCCGTTCAGCGGCCCCACCAGGTAACACCGGTCGCAACCATAGACATGTTAAGAAATGACATGTCTAAAATGTCTATGATGTAAAATTTGATGCCCACATAGGGAATGTAAAACACGATGAAATATAGTTTTCAACAATGCAGTTAGTGAAATTATTAACATTTGAATTCATTGATTGATTGATTGTTATTATTTTTTTTACAAATACATCCTCCTGAATTAGCGTTTTTATACTCTGTCGGTAGCCTACAACTTTAAACATTCCTCCACCAAGCTTATAATAAATGGAATCTACATCCTACCTAAATATTAAAGACCAAACTTCATACTCGTGTGCGTAAATGTGCATAGTAATAATTATTACTATCAAATATAAAATAATTTTAATATACCAATTGTATTAACAGAATAGCTTCATAATTTTGTAATTTTCATTTTTTTTTTTTTATTTGCTACATTAAATTCATAAATTGTAAAAAATTATGACGTGGTACGACCAAATGGTTACTATATTTGAATTGTATGTACATATTTTTAATAAAATCAGTAACTAGAAACAGGAAAGCTTTTAAAAATATTTTTTTTTGTAGACCTGTGTAACTGATAATTAAGTTTCATAAAATTCCTGATACTGTTATAAAATAAATAACCAGTCATTTTACCGGTAATTAATAATTGATCAGTTTTTAATTTTTAAATATTTTAATATAAAGATATTGGGGACAAGTGCAGACACTGTTTTAGGTGGGAAATTGGGAAAATAAAATATAGACAAGAATTTAATGTATATCTGTATACAACGATTAACCATTGATTACGAAAAAAACGATTTTGAGTGAAATTCAGTTGATTATGTGACTTTGTCAAAAATATGTATGTCACACTATGGTAAAAAAAATGTTTAATGCATATGTAATTAGCATTAAACATTTTTTTTAAATATTTGTTTAATATTGTACATTTTCTCATTATCTCGGTTTTACCTTGTTTTTTCCCGGTTTTCCCCATTTACTGAGAAAATCAAAAAATGATCTCCTTAAAATACCACCCTGGTCAGATTTTCTTTCAGAAAAAAAGTTTTTTTTTTCTCACCTAGAACAGTGGCAGACCCATACACGGGAAGTATTCTATTTTCGTTAAAATTCGTTGCAGGATTACATTTTTTCATTATTTTTATTTCTAAATTTCATTATTCTATATACGCCGTTCGCCGAAATAAAATATGCGAAAATGTTTATACGTGAAAATCCGCACTATACTTCAACATAAGGCGTTAAATCGTCGCTATAAAACTATAAATACCAAAATACATATACGTGGTTCCCGTGCAAATGATGTTTATCAGAATATAATATTGTCTCTTTTGCAGGTACATCATCATGATAATAATAGGTAATAGTAGGTACTACAAGTATGTCGATTATCGTCTAACGGCGTCCCACCGGTGTACAAAAAAACCATTCCATTCGGTGAATTTAAATAGCACATTCGAGATGAATACAAAATTTAAACGTATTAAACTATAGGTGCAACACAATAACGGTTTATAAAACACGTTCGGTGTAAATATAGCTGGTAGACACTCGAATACTAATAAAGTAACAGCTGGTACTCCGGTAAAATGTGCAGATAATATTATTATATAGGTACGAGTATGTTTGGTGGTTTAAATAATACTTGTGGCTTTTGAATTGAGATCTATATATAATATCTATATTATTTATTATTTCTTTTTTCAATAAAACATAATGATATTAGTATACGTTTAAAAAAAAAATGACTAGTCTTTCAACGAGACTCGAACATTTTTATAAAAATACATCGATCCGAAATAGTATCGAAGGAATAGAAGGCAGATAGAATAAATTTTGACATTAACCGTTTGAATAATGTTAGGTTATTATAAATGTATAACTGCGGTTTCTCGAATGAAATCTGTTAATATACAGGGCGATCAATATGATGTAAGACAGAAATTATCTCAGAAAGTGTTTTTTTTTTTTTTTTGTAAATTGTAAAAACGTTAGCGTTTTTTTGTGACAGCCTTATTTTCGAGGATAAAACCACGATCTGCTTTTTATTTTCAAATTTTCAACCTATATTAAAAATTTCATATCTGGATAAAGTATTTGTTTAAGATATGTCAACCTACGTCGCGATTTACCACTTTTAATTTTCGACAGAGTGAGATTAGTAGGATTACCATTTGTGGTGTGGCGGCAGGAGCACGATATTTAAATAGTGTTGCACTACTCCGACCTGGCCAAACTTAATATAGTGGAATATCTGGTCAACGGGTTGACGCAAATTGGACGTGCAACGATACGTTTTTTATCTTTCGCATCAGAATTTCTTGACGATAATCTGGGAAATTGTATTGGATTAATGTTGTGCAAATCTTTATTGCTCGTGTTTGAAGATTCACTTTACAAATAAGATTCTAATGCATATGAATATACATTTTGTATTTGTTCGACACCTTATATTATTATTTTTTATTTGTTCTGTATTTCTTTGGCGGTTATTTTCTCTTTTGCATCAGAATCACTTGAGGAAAAAGAAACGATGAATAACAGTGTGGCGATCTAGTATCAGTGTACCACGATGAACTGTTACAATAAGAACAATTATCATTTAATCAATTTTCACACTGAAAAGATTCTATTGTTTTGGACAATAATGCATAGTTGTGATCTAATTGTACTTTAATTAATGTCATACGCACTAATACTTTTGTCTCTGTTTACGAACGTATTCTCAATAATGATTCGCATTTGGCCTTGGTGACATTACATATTTTTTATAGCGGTAAGTAAAATCCTGGGTGTCACTATCGTTTGGAGTATCGACTTTTGGTTCATAGTAACAGTATATTAAATTTTTATTTTTGTTTTGATTCGCTTGTTGAGTTAAGGATTATTGTATTCCAGTAGTTTTAAATAGTTTGAAGTAGTTTTAAGTATTTATGTATTATATATTTATACAGTATTATTCTATACTTATTACCCTTTTGGGGTATTAAATAGAAAAAAAAAAACTATTTAATATTTTGATAGTTGTATTCAGAGATTTTATAGGAGAATTTCAAGTAAATTGTGCAACCAGTTTTTTCCCAGAGATTATTAAATTGTTTAAACTTTATTTGAATAATATTTTCAAATTTTCACCCCTATTTCTCTTAATACACTAAACCTTGAACTTTTAACTTTTGATTGACAAATACTAACCTTCCACCTTTTAAATACAGATTTGACGGCCGGTTGTATAAGTTGTACTTAATGGTAAACAAAATTAGTAATGAGTGTTATGTAGTAATTTATTTTTATAATAATATAATGGTTTATTGTCAAATTTTAATGAAAATTATAAATATTCAGGTCTTTCTTTATGTATAAACGAACTTCGCTCAGAATCGTTTTTGGTTAGTAATGGTTTATTGTTGCTTATAGATATAAATTAAATAACACATATACATTAATTTATGTATCCTATTTTCCTAACTACTAACCTGCAACAATGGCTTCACCCATCGGGTGTTATTATAAAAGTAATTCATTATGTACTTATACAAAATTAAACCAATGTTCAGTTGAAATTTATCAAGTGTTTTAAACAAACTCTTCTCAGAATCGTTTTTCGTTTGCAATGATGTATCATTGAATACAGTATAATATATTAATTAAATTACACTTTATACTCTACACATTTCCAAATTGTCACTTACAACAGATCATTTATTCCCACTAATTAATTTTATGGTTTACATAGCTGAATAATTAAAATTGTTTGCATAAATTACGACAAACGCGTCTTGTGAACAATTGTCGTGGTTTTATTATATTTACTTATATTTTCAAATATTCGCCATGCAGTTAATTGTTATAACTCGATTTACATGGTGATGAGGTTAGATTTAGTTAGTTCTACTTACTATTGGGGTGAGTACGGTGAGAATTCGCAGTCAGCATGCATATATTTTTGGTGAATATTCGACATTTACGCTTTCAAAACTAAATTGTAATAAAACTCTAGCAACTAGAACCATTTTAGATTAATAAATAAATACAAATATATTATAATATATTGATTAATATTGTAACGGTGAGAAGTCGACTGATAGAAATTTCGATTCTAATTCTGCAGCTCACGGTAGTTTTTTCAAATTTGATTCAAGCAAAAACAAAAATGTTTGGTTGTTTTTAGTTTAAGCGCGAAAACGGATAGAGTCCGTTATCATTGCGTGTAGAACTCGTAGGTACCGATTTTTTTTCCCGAGAGCCGTTTGCCTACGCTCTCGTTTCATAAAATATTACGATCCGCGTGTAATACGGAACGGTTGTTTCGGAATAGTTTGCACACACCGGATCCATGTTATTATTATGACATGTGCGGTCGACGCAAAGACCGTATTCGGTCATCGTCCCTCCCATCAGCCGCGTATTACAGCGACCGAAATTGCGTTTGCTCTCGACAAGCCGATCGGAGAGGACCCGTGGGGGTTTTGAAGTCATTAATGATAATAAATCAAATCTATAATATATTAATTTATATATATATATATAAATACACAATATACATAAAACGTTATATATTCGGTTAGATAATCGTGTTAATATTTCGGGATTATTATGTATAATACGAATATAATATATTATCACGATGACATCGGCGGATCCATTCTCGATTTCCATCCACGAGCGAGCTGGGTCCGAGCAGCCTGCAGTAGGGCGTGCGCTCGACTTTCCGTCAACTACTGTTGAACTTCAATAATATTATAAACTATCGGTACGATAACGATTTTTTGAGGGGGGGGGAGAGAAGGGAGGAGGTAGCCGAAAAATAAAATAAATTTCCACAAATATCTTATCGTATTTCTATACGAATAAAAATTAGCAAATTATAAGCCCGAGGAATCCATGTCCGAAATTTCGTAAAACACAGCCTGCGAATTTGGAATCACTACAAGAACGCTACAAGTATATTTTATTATATCATTATATAATTTTACTGTCACGCGGCCAAAAAGGTCATCGGCTTCGTCTGCGGCCATTACGATGTCAACGATAATTCCTTACAAAACACCCGAACAAAATCGCACGGTGGCGACAATGGCCAAATGTTTTGCGACTGACTCGCGTAATAATGTTTACTGGCACCCGCCGTAATAATAAAATATTTTATCGATCGTTGTGGATTTTGGTTTTTTTTTTTACGATAGAACATGTTGGTGGTGTTAAGGTAATATTATTTAGGTGTACACGCTGTATTAAATTGGACAATAAAAATAAAAATAATAAAATACGTCTTGACATTTTGACAGTTGACACAATATGTATTATTATAATGTGTTTGCACTCGTCCCTTCAAAAATCCAAATCGACCGGAATGTTTTCAGTTTCGTGAGAAAAATATTATAATAATACATTATTATAATTATTGTGATGGAAAAGTGTTATAGGAATTAAAAATTTTAGATTCTGATCATAGCAAATAATGTGTGTGTTTTTTTCTGTCTGTGATCAACTTTTATCCCATAAACCTTGTTCCAATTAAACACTTTCAAAATAATTTTTGTTGAATTTTGAATCCAGTTGGTAAATTAAGCAGATCAATTTTTTGATTTCCCAACCAATTTTTATAAATTATTAAAATCTAGTAAAAAAACAAAAGAGAAGAATTTTTTAACAAACTTAATGATTTCATTATTTTAAATTCGATTTGGTTTCCTACTAGAAATCTTGCAATGAAATTCAAATGTAGCATGTTTTCCGAATAGCAATCACGTTTAGTTATTGCGTTAGAAGGTCTTGGTTTTCAGTATAATTTTCTTAATAATTGGACCAAACCGGGAAAAAACTAATAATAAATGGAAAAGTTTACGGAAATAAAAAATTCATTTTTTTCAATTTTGTTTTTTTCGTTGCAATTTGATTAAATATAATCTTAGAGACATGAAATATTAAAAAAATATTTATATTGGTCTTTCAACAAAAATATAGAAAAAATAATAATCGTGTCTATACAATCAAAACTCAATACAATCATAGTCAGATAGTACTTCTTTGACAAGCTCTACTTTCTACCGCTAGAGTGCGTACTGCTTACTGCTTAGCAAGAATAGTAATAGTTAAATTTTACTTTAGCTTAATGGTTCAAATCATTATATTTTTCCATAAAACGCTAAAAGAATCATACCTCTTCCTCTAAAATTGGTGTCAGGTATTTGATTTTTGAAAAATTCTTATCATTAATACAAAATAATTTTTAAATTTTATATATAATCAATAATCATAAAATCGTTAAGAACATTTTTCAATATTTCTTATCACTTTTTAACTATTGGAAAAATGTCTTAAGGATAGAATTGTTAGTTTTTTTTTGGGGGGGGGGGTACAGTTTCTTTTCTTTCAATCAGTTTGATTTTACTTATGGTAAGTCTACTATAGGTGCATATTTCATAGTAAATGATTTTATTTATAAAAAATTGGATGAAAATTATAAAGTCTTTGGAATATTTCTAAATGTAAAAAAAAATATTCGACATAATAAACCTTACATTATTATTAAAAATCTTGAAAATGCAGAAATTCGTGACATTTCTAGTAAGCTAATTCACTCCCACCTTTCAAATAGAGTACAAAATGTTAAAATTGACAATATCTATAGCAATCCTTTAAGCCTTGATGTACCGTAATGTATAGTACTGAACCTCCAACTAGGATACATTTAGTATACATAAATTTAGTGACAAACAATGTTAAATCATGGTTTTTAATAATTTACTGCCATTAAATTTGAATAAGACTAAATATATGTTTTAAAATACGAAATAATAGATTTAATATTACTAATTATAAATTATATGTACATTCATTAACTCGCAATAGTGAAAACTGTAACTCAAATCGTTTTTATTGAGAAAAGGTAAATAACATTAAATATCTAGGATTATATTATAATGAGACACTAAAATGGAACATTCGTGTTAATTATTTGACTAAAAGATAAAATAAGAACATTTTTTTTATATTTTTAAGGATGTCAGATATGTTTGTAATATCCAACTGAAACATTTAATATGTATATTCATTGTATAATTTATATTAATGTTTGGTATTGAATTCTAACATTGTAACTATAATATTCACATTTTTATTTTAAAAAAACTAAATAAAGAATTTGATAATCTATATTTTATATAACTCCACATCTAATAATAATACTATTCATAGTATGTTGAATATTCAAGAACTCGATCAAATGTATAAAAGCGTTTGCTACTTCTTTTTCATTTTAAATATATGTTTAATTTTTGAGTTCATAGCTATACTACGAGACATAGTAAAAATATCAGTCTAATACAATATAAATGTAATACCAATTTTGGATAACTAAATCCATTAATTGTAGTAATTGATATTTGTTTTCAACTAAATATTAATATCTTAAGTTCTAAAAATATATAAAAGTATCAACATTATAAAAATATATGTATAATTTCAAACACAAAATGTATAAAACCGAAAACAATGCAAAATTATATCCTATATTCCTTTAATCTACGCATTCATATTTTGTAACGGACTTTATTAAATAAATTGCTTTGGAGGTGTATTTAGGTTTTTGGCACTATATAGGGGCAAAAGTCATTTTCCATTCTCCGCGGGTATTTCAGTAATCTTACCGACTCCTATTACGCGAGCCTTCCTGCAAAGTCTCGCTATATTAATATCAGTTACTACCTAATGGTAGTTGGTAAACTACATAAACTACTAATAAAAAAAAAAATAATAATCATAATAAAAAATAATGTTATATTAGTCAAAATATTTTTCCATTTTAGATTCTCTGAATATGGTGCAAGGAAGCTATTATAGTTGTTTATCGAGATGTGTTTTTCTCCTGAAAAAACTTTTTCTGTTTGTGAAAACTTCTTCGAAACTTTTATATCATACGGATGTGAATTTTCCGTTTGGTGGCGGTATTCTATTTGAAATATTTCTCTAGATTTCCATCAGCAGTTTTTCTTAAAACAACTGATAACAAACATCAGTTTTGGATAAATTCTACATATAAAATATGCATTGTACATATTATATAGTACCTAGAAGTCTGAAATGATGAACATAATCGGTTGACAAATGAAAGCAGTCCGGTAAAACATCTCAATATCGGATTTTTAAGTTTTAATTACATAATGTACATTTACATAATATTGTTATGAAGGCAAATTTTTGAATTTCGGACCTTTTGACGATTTTTAGGTTACACGCACAAAAAAAAATTGTCTAGTTATCTAACCTAACCAGTTAATCGAGTTCCACTAGGGATCATTTTTTGCTTACAATAAATTATTAAAGTAAATAAATATATAAATAAAAAATGTATGTATAAAAATAAAATAAATAAATGAACCAATACGTCGCATAGACTATTATGATAAGTGTTGATGCGTTTTACATTTTGACTATGATATACCCGATGATGAATTTTCAGTTCAAAACCGGTAGTTTAATACACGTATCATAATACTCCAGGCGATGAATTAATTAATTAATTTATTTTATTGTTATACATACATTTTTTATTTATACATTTACTTTAAGAATATTAGCCATTTTAATAATTTTGTTTTTACTTTATTATTTTATTAATAAATTATTGTTGTTTAAACCTACCCAATAGTAGCTAAGTACCCGTATGTGTACAGTGTGAAGATATTCTTTATACTCTGACATCCAGAATTTAATAAATTTAACTTCTAATTGTTTTGTTAAAAAACAATATTTTCTTAGTGATATTTAACAATGCTGCATATTAAAAAATTAAAAAGTTAAACATTAAGTTAATTTTAACTTTAACCTATTTGTTTACATCGACTTAATAAATAACGAGTTAATTTAGAATTATAATATCACGTTCAATGAAATTCAATTTCTTTTAATTTTGACATAATATTAAATTTACATAAATAATTTTTTTTAGATATTATTGCAGAAATAATACAATTTTTTCCTATATAAATATGTATGGAATTCGAAGTTTAAAATAAGAATATATAGTATAATTTGATATTACCAAAGAATAAAGTCTCTTTGTTTAAAATAAAAATGATTATCCTTATTTTCAAAAAAAATAACAAATTATCGTTTTTAAAATGTAAAACTAAGTACTAGAGTATCATTAATTTCGAAACTTGATGGCTCTTTATAAAGCACAAATACTCAAGTACCTACAACGCACGTCAACACTGGTTCCAATCTATTCATTGGCAAAATATTACGCACCGATAGTCGGTACAGAGAAACGGTAGCCACTGTGAGATGATGTACACCCAATTTAGGAAAGTTATGTGCTTAATAACAGAGAGTGCCATATCGAACCCACTTCCATGGCATATGTTTTATTATATATAGAACCTTCACATATCTTACAGAGTATACGCTCTTCTTAAGCTAATGAAACGTAAAGATCAAGTACTTCTAATTTCTCAGAATGGAATTATTATGAATCACCTCAAGATCTATAAACCTTTTCTTTACAGAGAAAAAAGGCTGGCACTCTACTACAACAATGACCCGAACCTACTTCACAGAATGACATAAAACGTCTCACCAAATATTGAACTAGTCAGTTTCTCCTTAATGCCACAGCTTGAAATGAAATTTCCTCGCCAAACATAGGTCGCTTCAATCGCATATGTATCAGATAAGGACAAAGCAATAAACTCTTAAATAAATGGAAACTAAAGGATAATCAAAACTATGACTATGAGAAGATTCAATCAATGGACCAAATTATAAAGGACTACCCGGTTCGATAATATCCAAGAGCGATAGATGACTTCTTCAAAGTCTAGTTTATTGAATAAATTAGACGTTGAATTATAAACAAAATGTTTTAATGAAGTTATCTAACATAATAATAATATGTATGTTTGTTTATTTTGTTTTATTCTTTTTAACTTAAATTCAATTTTATTAATCGTTGTTTAAATCTATAAGTATAATATTTGTAAATTAATCTTTGTATGTTATATGAAATAAATAAAAAAAGTGAAGTTGAAAGAGTGCATATATAGAGTAATTTAATTTGTATGCAATATGCAATGATAAACTACGAAAAAGAAAAACTATTCTGAGTAGAGTATTATTAGTTGTATTTTTGTAGAAAAACGTAAAAACGGAATGTGTTTTAAGTTTTTTCTTTAGAATTCGTTAACAACAAAAAAAAATATCACGAAGAAAAAAATTTTAACTAAGAAAATGGCTGATTTATAATGTGATAGTTAATTAATCGCTCTGTATATACATATGAAAAACTAAAGTTTCTATTCAGAAATTAAATCTAAAAACGATATATTTTATTCGTGTATTAGACCTGCATTATTTATGATGATGAACTATACCTTATAAAAGATCTGGAGTTTACGTTTAGTATAATATGTTGTCATAATATATTTGAATAATTAAGACGGTATAATATTATTATGATGATGCATGATGAGTGAAGTAAACTCAACGTTAATAATAAATCATCTATTTTGCGTTAATAACTTCAAAAACTTAATATATAAATTAAAATACCACTGAAAAGCTAAATGCAATATAATATTTACTTATAAAATAAGAATAGAAGACCTTTGTTTTGAATTAAAATCACAAGAGTATAATAATATGCAATTAGTATTAAAAACTTGTAGATTTTGTACACGATTTTATTGCGGTCAAATAAAACACAGTTTTAAAAGTACTTTAATGTTGTACAGCAACGACAACGATGATAAAAAAACATAATAAATTATAGTATAAAACTTTATTCTGGGTTGTAATAATAACATAGTACCAGATAATACTGACTGAACCATTATTACTTTTTGAATTATAACTTAATTGTGAATTGTGATACACAGTGTATCGGAATATCTAAATACAATAATAATACAGTTGTTATACATATAAAATATTATGTAAGGTAATCTAAATACTGACAAACACTTATTATTTTTAAGATATACTTACCTTTATAATAATTAGTTTTAAATTCTAGGCAAAAAATGTACTAATATTTTTCTATGAGTTTTTTTTTATGTGATTATATCAACTTTTTTACCAGAAATCTAGTTGTTACATTGAAGAAGTCATTTTTGATTTGTCTTAATAAATGGGAAAACTGCCAATTTTATGTGTCTTTGAGTTATAAAAAAAAAATTTACGACTGCTAATACTTTACTCAGGATTGTTTTTCATAAGCAATGGTTTATCATTGCGTACTGATATAAATTAAATTATTCTACATGTACTTCTTTCCAAACTCCCTCGTAAAATAGTGGCGCATCAGCAGTATCAGCTTTTTTAAATTTTTTTTTATTTTGTTTTTTTTTTGACAATATAAGATACACGCAATTCGATTATTAACTATATCAAATTTACTTTTTTATCCTTTATGCGAGATACCTTTATAAAATTTTTATTGTCAAGTAACGGTATTTCCTAAGCCGAATAAATTTCTATACATAATATACTGATGACGTATATTGTATATGTCCACACAATGCACTTACAGCTAAATATCTCATATTGAACTAACAGTTTATTATTTATGATCATATCAAACTTCAAATAAAAGGTGTGCGGTGACACAGGGTTAATATTAAACGGCAATAAATTATACATAAACTGAGTATAGGTTAGATATTCTAAATATATATATATATATATATAATATAAAAAAATATAGAACTCCGGTAAATATACTATTAAAATGATGCATGATCAATATTATGTTAAAAAGATAGGTATTGATTTTGTAAAATTTGGTATTTTCAGGTTTTTATTAGTTTGCATTATTAAATCGGGAACTTAACTTTGAAAAAGTGAAAAAAATAATGATGGCATATTATAGGTACAAATCTATACTGTGTTCTTTATTAAAAAGATTTACATAAATATTAAACATTTTTTCCAATTGAAGAATAGTTATAACTATTTTTTGTACGCATTTTACCTAATATAACCTTACCTAACTTAACTTAATGTATTTGTACGCATATTTCAGATCTCGTGGCCAGAATGATAAAATTTTGGAACGCGCCGTTGCTGACGACCGGAGCTATTGCAAATGATTTTTCAAGTAACAAACAAGATCCGAAAAGCAAGTACTTTCTACTAGTGCGCACGGGCCTTTTGGATTTTCAGGACGTAGCGGATATGGTGGTCAACGTTTTGCAAAAGTATAACCACTAAAATGTGGTATCACGTGATTTCTGATGCGTGATAACACTTATAACACGCATTATGAACGTTTTCGATAACGTTTTTTTAGGTATTCGTGGAAACATGTGTTGCTCGTGTACGAAATCGAGGGCTATTCGAAAGTTTCTGGAAAACAGTCTTGTTCGTTGATGACTAAGACTTTAGTGGAGAGTTTCAAAGGCGAAGCGGGTATACAGTACGACGCGTTCGACTTGTCGAAAAACCCGCAAAACAATTTGACGGAAAACTTGCGCATTGAGGCCAGCAATAAGTATTCGAGTAAGCGGTTCATTACTTATTCATTTTAAAAATGCTGTTGTTAAGGCTGTAGGTAAGCTCGTACTGGCTACTATTATGGGATGGTTGCAGTTACCTATTAAAAAAGTGTCTAAATCAGTGACAATTTGGAAAATGAACAATATATCATTTTTTCCTATTTGGAGGAACACAACGAACGATTTTATCTATTATTTTAATAGACACAAATATGCTTTTAAAATATAAAAAAATGGTACTTCTCACGGGTAAAATACGAGTATATACTGTTGGATTATCACTATTCTAAGTGAGTAATTAAAAAGGTTGATGATATAAAGGATGATTTAGTTTATATAGTGTAGGCAACGATAAATTATTTAAAAGGAAAGAACAATATTCTGAATTGTATTAGTAATTTAAGTCGTGTTTTATTGTTTCGTTGCTATGGTAACCCAGAAATTAATACATATAAATAATGCATCGGCATTTGTTGTTAGATTTTTAAATTTTAAAAGTAAAAAAAAAAATTGTAGAAAAGCTGTTGGGAATTTAGATATTTTTTTAATTTAATTGTATCTAATTGTATTTCTAATTTAATTGTATTCTTCTCTATTTTCCTATTTCCCGAAAATTGTAAGTGAACCTAACAGTATAGGTAATGTGTTGTAAAGGGTGCATTGTAATAGAGTGCATCATAGTGCGATAGACAAACCAGTTCGGCAAACCAGTACGGGCTTTTGGTGTTGGTATAATATATACATAATATTTACAGTTTCAAATATTTGTATAAAAAAACGAATAAAATATTTACATTCGCTAGGGCACAGTATACATAAACCTAACCCAACCTTACCAAATTAAATACAGATGACCTATCTAGGACCACTCTTTACCACTTAATAAAAAATAATACAAATATAATAGCTAGATGCAAGTAGCTAATTGTAGAATTTTTTTGGATATTACTAGTTTTTGAAAAGAGCTCAGGTACAATATTTCATTGTTGCCTTCAACCATTCCTTCACAAAATATAATTTTATAACACCGTAATTTCGTATTATGGTTCTTATGCATCAAGGCTCTACCTCGCAAATTGCCTAATTCAAACTGTGATCTATCTGAAGCAGAGTTTTCCATACTGCCTACTCTTTTATTTCTAGCCGACTTGATTTTTTAGTGCTTAAAAAGTTTTAGATTTTCAATTAGAACATTAATTGGAGCAATATGGAGGTTTTGCAAAGGCGAATTTTATTTTTTTAGCGTTGAAGTAGCTACAGGCCACTATGACTACAATATTATTACCTTATCATTTTGTTTGACAACTGAGTACAATCAAATACTATAGATGACCATACGGAACGCTCATTAAATTCCTTGGGGGGACAGTAACCCTTGAGATGATAGCAAGTTGTTTAATAAATCCCCTTAAATATATGTAAATATATTTTGTGTTTGACAGAAACTGATTTCTGATAACAAATACTATAGACACTGTTAACTGATAGCAACAAATATATTATTTAATATTTAATCGGTGAATTATGAATTTTAGTTAACTTATAATTTATTTTTAGTTTATTTTACTATGTCAAGCGGAGCGATAAACGATAATGTAATGTTTATTATGTTGTATATTATAATATATTATATTCTTGATATTTATTGATCAGATGATCGCGATAGAATGTAAGGAGTTGAATAGGCAACCATTCATTTCTTTTGAGTCCTGTGTTCTCAGTAATTTTCAATGAGTGTTCCATATAGTATTTGTTACATCTCGTATGACTGTACGTATTAGTGTTACATATTTAGGTTACCAATGTTATTAATTTAATTTTATAATTGTAGTATATTTTATTGAGGTGCAGATGCTAAAATATATACTTTTTCATGCTACATATTTCATACTACTCGAGCAATACTATATCATAGATATTATCACTCCCTCCCGCAATGGAATCGTTTTAGGTTTGATAGGGGGAAGAGGAATATTTTTGATCAGCATATTAAACGAGAAAATAACCTTTCGCAAATTAATTATAATTTACATATTCTTTTATGTACTAACATATTATAAAGGACAAATAGCTCAATTTTTTTTTTCAATTGGATTTTCATAGGAACTAAGTAAGTATGGTTTTTTTTTTTTTTATAAATTAACTCAAAATCATTTTATAAATACAAAAATAATACATACAATCTACTCGTCTGCTATCTGAATACAATAATTATTAATTACACACATTATTAATTTTGATTCTTTATTGAATAATGTATACTATTATACCTATTTATTAAACATTGAATGAAGATACGTTTTAGAATTTTTTTTCTCCAATAATAATTATTAAAAATGTAAAATTAAAAAACGAACAAAAATAAGTATCATAATATAGCTGCTACATACTTTTTTATTTCGAACTGCACACTTAGCGTTTCGTATTACATAAAGTGTGTCGTACTACACACAATTTTAGTCCCTGTAGAGGTGTTATTATTCGATTATTGCGTAATATGTATATAGTGCGCGGAGCACGGAATTTGAATAATGCCCCACTAATCTCCCCCTACCCAAACATTAAATATCTCGTCAACAAGTTTATGGAAATTAAAAATTTCAACATCAAATTTAACTAAAATGTAAACTAAAACTAAAACGTTATTTGTTTGTAGAATGTTTAACATAGCTTTTCATTTGAAAATAAAAAAATGTGTAGTGGTTTCACCAGCCCCCACCCCTTAAAAAAATAAGGATGACAAAAAAATAACGTGAATGTAACATTTTAGAGGTACTTGTTTCGTAAGTTGTCAAGAAATAAAAATTTCGATAAAAGTAAACATTTCGAGTGTAGACACTTTAATGTATCACCTTGTGTAATACAAATATAACTCGTACATCTACACCATTCCAATAAAACTATACGTTAATGTGTCATTTAATATCATCAATATTAATATTAGAATTACAATATTCGCTAACATTTCACTATGGGTATCTATTACATATATTTGCAGTCATTAACAACATTTTGGTCGCAATATGTTTTAAATTTCCGGCCGTGTTTGAATAACGATCGTTATTATAGGCATGCAATATAGGGATATTAATGACATCCACGGTGATATTATTTGGTGTGCATATTTTTATTATTTATGTATCGATTTTATGTACCAGAAAAAAAAAATAAATGGTTAGGTTTTTTTACTGTCATCACCTTAAATTATTTATGAGATACCTCATTATTTTACGAATCAATTTTGTGAACTATCTACCTAAATAATATTTTGTTATTTATTTTCATACATAAATACAGTCCTATAGATGAATTAAAAATAAAAAAAGTTAAGATAATGAGAACGGGTACAGCCACCGATGTAGGTGGGAATTTGGCAAGGTAGGATATAGACGGGAATTTAATATATATTCATTAGCAACGATAAACTATTGATTACGAATAAACGATTCTGAGAGGAGTTCAGTTGATAGTTATATTTTGTCAAAAATATATATGTCATTTTATAGTGAAATAATTAAATAGACTTTATATATTTTCTTTAATAAAATTTGTTTAATGTTGGACCGATTTTCCCAATTTTCCTATTTCAATATTTATATTATTATTATTATAATTCTTTTTTTTTTTACTTGCAATTTTGTAAGATTTTTAAATATGAGATCGAACACGTCCGAATTTCAAGTAACGATTGGTAGGCGTTAGGTGAATTGCGTCCCCGTTGTATATAATAGGTAATTTGTTGGTCAATTATTTAATTATTTGTCAATCATTTATGTAAAAAAAAATTAAAATTATTAAAGTATATTATACATTTTAAAAAGGTAAACATTCAAATGAAACGGATTTGCCGTATTCGAATCTGGTCAATAATTTCTTATACCTATTCAATAATTTTTTCTCGAATATCATTTTCTTTTTCGACAATTTGACGGAATTTTCTTTGTCCATTACTTCGTATTTTTATGTTTGTTTCAAATTGAATATTTTTCAAAACATCAATAAAGTTGTGAATTTAGATGATGATTAGATGATAAGCAATAAATAGATTATTTAATTTGAAGTGAAATACCTGACGATTGTTATTGGTTGTCCAATTTGTCGTTGGTATAAATTCAACCCAGAAATTTGGAGGGAAACTTGCATCTGTTGTAATGCAGGTTTTGAATATGTATTCTATGAATTATACGTATAAATAAAAACAGTTTCGGGGACGTAATTCACCTACTTGTAAAAAATATCCGGGCCGTAATTCATCGAGCTCTGTATTAATATTTTATTTTTAGGACGCAATTCAACGAACTTGGATTTGAATACCTTTGAAGTTGTACAAATTATATTTCATTAATCAATTAAATCACACCAACTACATAACACTCCATAACTAGAGTTTTAACAATTTAATATACTAGATCAGCGGCTCTTAACCTTTTGTAGAACACGGACCCCGATGAAAGATTTTTAGACATCGCGAACCCCCTAACAATTTTTTGTCGAATACCTTTTTTTTTTTTTACAAAATATCTCATGTTATCCTAACTGAAATTATAATAATTATTTTTTATTACAAATTATAGATACATTTTCGTATTCGTATCTTACATAACGCAATAATACTGATTTATTAGTTATATCGGTACTTTCATCAAGTTGGAGACTAAAATGACTATTTTAGTCACTTTTATTAATTCTTTTCAACAACTGTTCTTTAATATTTCCTTATAAACCATCAATTAATTTTTTTTATTGTATCATTTGGCAATGCAATTTTATTTAAGCTATTTGCAGCTTCTTACTCTNGGAGTCTTTTCATCATAAACGTCAGAATTCTTCCTTTTTAAATTTAGTCAACGTTCCATTTTAACTTAAATGTCTTAACGATGATTTGAAAAAATATCACGTATTAATACTAAATTACGTAGGTATAAAACTATAATTGAGTACAATCGATCAACTGCACTTATTGGTAGTAAATATACGACTGCCGACTAAAGTGTTGTACGCCTGTACAATTCGTATGAACAAGAAAAACTGAT